ATCATATGTAAATGTAACATGATCTATGGTTTGTAAGTTCATAAAAAAAGAGATCATCTGCAGATATGAACTTTCAGAGAGAATTATTTTGAATAATGTTAAGAATCTAAATAGTAAGATGATGTAAAAAATATATGTCCAATACAAGATCAAGTATCATAACTCGATACCATACCGTCTGAAAATGAATAAGACAGTTAAGGCAGCTAATAAGAATATAAAAAAATTATTGAGAAGATGACTAAAACTTATAAAGATTGACATAAAAAGTTACTATTTACATTGCATGCATATCGAATGTCAGTACGTACCTCTACTGGGGCAACTCTATTTTTTTTAGTTTATAGGATGAAAGTTATACTACCAGTGAAAGTGGAGATCCCATCCTTGAGGGTTATAAAAGAAGTTAAATTGGTAGAAGCTGAATAGATTCAAGAATGCTACGAACAGTTAAATTTCATAGAAGAAAAGAAATTAACAGCATTGTGCCATGGTCAACTATATCAAAAAAGAATGATGAGGGCTCATGACAAAAAAGTTTGACCTCGTTGTTTTTGAAATGGAAAGTTGGTCTTGAAATGAATTCTCTCAAATCAACACGATAATAGAGAGAAACGAACTCCAAATTAGAAAGAGCCATATGTGATGAAACAAATTTTTTCGGGTGAAGCATTGATATTAGTTGAGATGGATGGAAATGATTTATCCCATCCTATAAATTTTGATGCTGTGAAGAAGTATTATGCTTGAAAAAAAAAAGAAAAAAAAAGGAATGAAAAAGGAGGACTGAAAGCGAAAACCCTAAATGGGCGGTTTGAGTCATAGGGGGTTTATCTAAGTTGAAAACCTGAAAAGGCAGCTTAGATAAAGAGAATACAGTATCAAATTTAAAAATTCATTGGCATAGAGGCTAGCAAATTCAAAGAAGCTCTAGGTTGTTAAGTGTATCAGATAGTTGAATTTTCAGAAAAACCTTGAGATGTATTATCATGATTGTCTGACTGTTCATTTTTTAGCATTATCTTTTCATACCTATCTTTGTAATTCCTTCTTGGCCAAAGTTTGCCAATTTTTTTGCTAATAAAAAACATTTTTCTTTATTCTTTGTATGCCTCTTCTATTGATTATTTCCTAACCATTCTTATTCTTTTCTCATTAATACCTTGCAATGGAAGAAATGTGTGAATACATTCTTACTTTTTTATATTGAAATAATGATTGATAAATAAATAATAAACATGAAAGATTTTTACACTACATTGGAAAGGTCATGAGTGATAAAGGTAAATTTGAGATGTTCAGTTCTTGATAAAGACATTGAATTTGGAAAAAAGATTGCTTGCAAAAAGGATATGAGAATTAAATGAAAGAGATAATTGAAAGTTACGTTGACTTGGTCTTTGAAGAACAAACGGTTCAAGGTCCAAGAAAAAGCTTGAGAAACTTTAGTACCACAATTAAATAGGAATTAATTAGCCAGTATTTGCATAGCATGCGTTGAATTTCGCACGCATTGCATTTCGCATAACATATACTACATTTAAAAAAGTATAGTGCATAAATTCAATGAGTAAGGATATTCCAGGATCCCACATGAAGAAGACAGATGTGAAGACTTTTTGATTTTCAATTCTCATTTGAGAAAAAGCTTGTGAGGTAAGTTTCTAATCCTTGAAAAAAGATATCTCTTGGTATCAAGATCGATTTGTAAGACCCTTAGGCATGATCTTTTGAAATTTCTTCAAACACGATCTTCGACTCCTCTAAACATGATTGTCAATGAGCCATTTATTTTCTCAAAGTTCTGTTGCCTCTATTTAGAGGAGCTATTTATTTTTTCAAAAAATCATTGAGCCTCTGTTTAGAGGAACTTTATTTATTTTTTCAAAATCGTTGAACCTCTGTTTAGAAGAGCTTTGTTTATTTTTTTAAAGTCATTGAGCCTCTACTTAGAGGAGCTTTGTTTATTTTACTCAAAGTCATTAAGCCTCTACTTATAGGAGCTTTGATCAAAATTTTAACCAAAAAAATAACAAAAAATTAAAAAAGCAAAAAAAAAGTGTCGAGTTGAGTCTTGAATGGATGTATAAGTCTTTGCATAATTCCTGTTTCACAAAAAATGTGCAAAAAGGGGCAACTATAGACACTTAATTTGGTCCAGGCCTAGATAAATTGGGCCTGGTCCAAATGGGTAATATGGGCTCATTTTTCTTTTTAATTTTAATTTAATTTAATTTTTAATTTTTAATTTTATTATTTTTCATTATTATTATGATTATTATTGTTATTTATCTATTAATATTTATTTATTTATTTATATATTATTATTATTATTTTAGTTATCTATTAATATATTTTATTATTTATCTATTACTTTTATCTTTTTTTTCTTGATCAATTTTCTACTGAAATTAGGATTTGGATCAGAAAAAATTGAAATGAATTTGGCCGTGAATTTAGGGCTGGTAGAGTTGGAATTGGATTCAAAGTTTGAATCCCAATCTCAGATGAAATTGGGATTGATCAGAAACTCTTCTGATCAATCCCTATAAATAGATGTTGAAACAGAACCCAAGGACACAGAAAGAACACGGAGGAAGAAAGGAAAAACAAAAAAAGACGTTAAAAAGGTCATGAGTAATCTTAGGAATTTTAAAAAAAAATTTGGGAATTTTTGGTAATTTTTTTCTGGAAATTTATGGAAATTCCATATTTCAGTAGAATTTTCTGGCGAACTTTGAATTTTTCGGTGACTTTTCTCACGCCAGTTGAATTTTTCGACCAGTTACCCAGTTTTTGGCATACCATTTTCAGAAATCAATCAATTTTTCGGTGAACTTTCGACGAACAACCCAGATTTCGATAATATTTTTCAAAATTCAACGAGATTCAACCAGTGTTCTTGGGATTCTTTTAGAAAGAAAGAAGAAAAAAAGGGAGAGGAAAGAAAGAGAGGAAAGGAAGCAATATGCGAAAAAACAAAAGTGAGAGTCTTTTATACCCAGCTAAAACGACGTCATTTTGGCATTAGTAAAACCTAGATGATCCGTGCATTTCTGTTCGGGTGATCCAACCCGCAGCACAACCCGCTTTCGACCCGAGTTCGACCCGCTCCTCAGTCATTAAATTGAATCGAGCCGAACCGCTTGAGCCGCACCAAGTCGAGCCGTTTTCTATCTCCTAAGCCAAGCAGAGCTTTTTCAAAGTTTTTTTTTTATTATTTTATATATTATTATTATTATTATTATTATTTATTGATTAGATTAGAATTATTTGGTATTCCTTATTTTATTTTTATTTTATTTTATTTTATTTTTAATGATTTTTCTAAAATAAAATTCTAAAAACAAATATATATATATTTAGAAAAAGTTGAAAGTATCAATTTTTCTTAAAGATAAAAAATATATATTTTTGAAGGAAAGTTGATTGTATCAATTTCCTTTGAACACAAAAATTTTTTTTTTAAGGGAAAGTTGAAAGTATCAATTTCCCTGAAAAATAAAATGTTAAAAAAAAATAGTTTTAGGGAAAAATTAAAAGTATCAATTTTCCTTAAAGGTAAAATTTCTAATAATATTTTTGAGAAAAAATTGAAAGTATCAATTTTATCAATTTTTCTCAAAATTAAAATTTCAAAATTAAAAAAAATATATTTTTGGAGAAAAATTGGAAATACCAATTTTTCTTAAAAATAAAATTATCAAGAAAAGCATTTTAAAGAAAAATTAAAAGTATCAATTTTCTTTAAAATAAAAACTTCTAAATGTTTTAAGGAAAAATTGAAAGTATCAATTTTTCTTGTACAAAAGTAATGGGTTTTTTAAATTAAAAAGAAAATGATTTATATCAAAAGTTGAATCATTATTCTTTTTTTTTTTTTTCTTTTCTTTTCTTAAAACTTTTTAATGTTAAATAATCCGACGATGGAGTCTCTGCAAGTGAAACAGTAGTTTTCTTGTATACTCTTGAGATGAAGGGATTTTTTTAATTTTTTGCTAAAAGTATTGAAGTTAATTAAGAATAATTTCTAATAATTAATTATTTAGTAAAAATTTTAAGACTTATTGGATAACATGAATTTGAGCTGATATCATATTTCGATGGGCGTTGTGAGGGTATTATAACTTTTCTCACTCGTAACCAAACTCTCAAATCATGTTCTGATTAGTAAACCCGAACCTATTCTTAAGATCCTTAATCAAGCTTAGGTGCTCCTTAAGAGGATAAATTCCTTAAGTGGCCCAATCACATCTAAACAAAAAAAATTGGTGATGACTCCTATAACTAATATCTAATGATAAATTCTCAAATCTAAATGTTATGACATCCACCGTTCTTATTTCTCCGAGATGTTACCAGAATACAGCAAAAGGTTCCCCGACATTTTCATGGATGATTTAATAGCCCACCCAGAGAACAAATACAAGGCCTTCTTTCTTCTGTCAATAATGCCATGACCCGAAAGTAAAATTGCTAATTTGCTAAATATAAACCGTAAAATTCGACAAAAATTTTGAATTAATTTGACATTCCATTTTCTGGTTGGAACCTGACAAAGAAAAAAGAAATTCTATCTTGGTTAGCAGTCAACCTAGCCCTTTTTTTTTATTGTATAACTGATTCAAGTGTTGGCTAAGGTTTCTTTTTCTGTAGGGGAAATGGGCTATTTAGGTTTGACCTGGAAATTTAATTGATGGCCAGGAATAATAAACATACCGTCTACAAAAGTTCAAAAATTCAACTTCCATGCCTAAAAATGGTGTCATCGTGCCATAATGGCTTGACCTCAAGTATCTTAGTAAGCATTATTATAGCTAAAATGAACAAGGTTAGAGTGACAGCTTTAACAATGTCTATATCAGAATGATTCTTTCCCTTCAACTCTCTTGAATAAAAATCAAAAAGCGTAAGAGTGACAAAAGTATAATCTATAGGAGTTTAACCAATTGTCAAGTAATCCCTTTCCTTTAAGTGGGGAATAAAATAAAATCCTTGAATTGCCATTCAAGGCATCTTTATTCCATCAAACAGTTTTGGCCCTGAAGCCACTGTTATATAAACGTTTTCCTTTTGAGCTCCATCTCAAAATCATATTTGCCTATCACAGCTAATTTCTAACTTCCTAGCTCAACTTGTTTTCCTTTTTACAAAACAATGCCTCTGGAAACAAGCAAGCCTGACCAGTCCACTGGTGAAGAAGATAAACATAGACACCTTGACAAAGAAATCAGAGACATGGTCTCCGCCATAACTCACCGTATATCTGGTATTCATAGGCCCGGATCAAGCCACCGTGAAGATGATGATGATGAGCACGGTGAGAGAATTATAACACTTTGTGGAAACAATGCTGGAGCCACAATGCGAAGTGAGTTGGATGAGAAATCCAGTCCCCATGGAATTTCACTTGACGAACCTGATTCATTGAGTACCTATGTGAACAGCAATTTCCAAGCTGTCAACAATTCAATCATGCTCGGCGGCAGCTACAACACCAATGATCCAGGCGTCCATTTGGACGTTTCGGATATTTTTGAACACGAGGGCAAGAAGAAGCCAGCAGATAAGCCCAGAAGGAGAGGAAAGAAAAAAGAGAAGGATTCCTCCCAAAGTGAACATTCCGATTAAGTTAATGAACAAGAAAACCTGGTATAAAATAAATCTTTGTATTGCTTTACCATCCAAGATTATGTTTGCATGACCGCATGTAAAAGGTACAAATCTAAGGGAATTGGAGTATTCCCATAGCATAACTATGTTTCTTTCTTGTTAATGTCTTTGCCATAGATACCGTTTGGTTTTTTCTGCATGATTGTTAGCCATGGTCTAGGTTGTCAGCCATACAAATAATAATCAAGTGTTGAACTTTGGAGTTCATACTCATCCTCTTGAATTTTTTAATGCAAGAAGCTGACGCATTCTGATGAATTCTCTCATCCCAATGCCTCGAAGCCTGTTGTAAATATAATGGTCTATCACTTGTTTCTTATGAGCCCTTCAAATTTCAAACTATCACTTGTTTCTTATGAGCCCTTCAAATTTCAAACTGACATTTTGGCCCTGATATATCAGATATAAGTCATAACATGGTTTGCATGGTCTGCGAAATTCTAATGTGCAACATGGATTCTCCATTCCGTTGAAATCGAAGAATAAAAATAGCTATGTTTTTGCCAAAATCACTAAGTAGAGAGTGCATTTGAAAGTTAAGTTGATTAATTTGTTCAAGGGGAATTATTGCTGCATTTAACAACCATATGTGCAGGTTTTGAAAAGACAAATTACCATCATATATACCTTATTTCAACATATGTCAGTCTTAAACTAATTAATAAGCAATGCACGAAAGCATGTTTTTGCCACCTGAAGCATATAGATTCTTTAAATACTACATGAATGAAGTTGAGGGTAGGCAGCAAAATGTTACTTTGTCTCACGACAGATTGAATCACAGGAAACTGTGATGACTGGTAACTGAGTCTCTTGTTCTTTGATCTGTTTGGCTTCTTGTGCAATTGTTGATGCACAATCCTGCATTTCTTTGTTCTTGCCCCAAAGAAGAATATACAGTCCAATGATGACAACTATGGAACCCAATAAACTGTTCATTTGAGTGTGCCAGGCAAGAAAGTTAGTAATGAGTATTTATCAGCTTGTATATAAGCAGATCTATTAATTAGTCAGAGTAATTAACCTCCCCAAATTGAGTTGTTCATGAAGGATGGGGATATCAAACATGGCTGCCATTATCTGAACAAGGGGACTGAAGGCCGCTGTGAAGACAGGACCCCTCTTCTTGACACACCACGCCATGCCCACATAGGACAAGCCTGATCCTATCATTCCCTGCATTCACAAAACAATGGCATGCAAATCAAGGAAGAAGCTCAAGGAGTAAGGCATCAAGCATTGTACAGCAATAGACCGTTTTGAGCCTATTTGGCCCTCAGTTGTTTAGCGGCCACCATCGTAATCTTATGCAAAAATTTCCAATAAGCTATTTATTTATGGCACATTTCCACTAAGCTATTTAAAGCCCTAGAAGTCTTGGCTTGCGAGTGGCCTTCTTGTCTTTCATTTACGGTATTGTTAATTCAGTGAAAGTAAAACACTAATGCTGTCTGCAATGTTCTCCATTTTGGTTTGTGTAATCTACTTGGATTGTTAACTCAGGGAATGGAAAACACTAATGCTGTTTGCAGTGTTCTCCATTTTGGTTTGTGTAATCTACTTGGATTTGTAACTCAGGGAATGGAAAGCACCTGTCTGCAGTCTTTTCCATTTTGGTTTATGGAATCTACTTGGATTGTTAATTCAGGGAATGGAAGGAAAACAGTAATGATCTCTGCAGTGTTTTCTATTTTGGTTTTGTGGATTCTATTCGGATGCTATATAGAGAGAGTCCCAAGGAGTAGTAATTTCTGCAACCAGGAAATACAAAATTATAAAAAGTTACCTATACTTGAAGTTTGAATTTATGCCCTCACCTTCTTTGGTAATTGAATAGCAACAATGAAAAAGATGTTTTGTTTAGGGTACAAGGGAAACAGATTTCTAGTGCTAGCCTAGCCTACAAGGCCTTATAAACCTAGGCCATTCTTCCCTACTCCTCGACCCAAAACCTGCGGAGTTAAAATTCACTCTGTTATTACCTTCCTAGAATTAGTCATCTAACTACTTGACATTTACACCAAAGAAGCACTTTGTGATAATAACACAACCTACATAATATCATCTTCTACTTCTAAGAAGAGCAGACTTACAGCATAGAGGACAGTTATGATTTCCACTTTTCCCTTCAGAATCCACATAGAAAGGTCCCTGCTTGTAGACAAGCATAAGACAGCTGATTGAATAGCACCAAAGAAAGACATGATTGCAGTGCTGGAATATTGGCAGGGGTATCTTTTGCCTACATTTGATTGAATGATAAACCATGAAGACCACAACAAGGTTCCTACTATCAAAGCTAGGCAACCAAAAGTCCACCTCTCTGCCCTTCTAGAGGAGCTCAGCTTGATTGCATTTGCCATGTTTGGAGCCATGAATTGTGAGTCGGGTGTTTGAATAGAGGCGTTCCTTTATAAAGTGTTAATAGTAGGGCACCTCCACCACAAATCACCGAACCTAGTATTTTGGCTCTCCCACTGTTGCTTTTGAGGTTCACAGTTTCTATGCTGCAGTACAAGTGGCACCAGAGAAAGTAAAATTACCATGCAGGGATTGATAACTAAGTTTTGCTGAAGAACATAGTACCATAATATAAGAGCTAATCTGCATCCATACCGAAATGGTAACGCCATTAAAAACGTGAGCACCGGCACCATGTTGATGAAGACACATGCAAATGTAGCAGATGTATATTGAATTCCAAGGAGAAAGAAGTATTGTGTTAGTGAGGCCCTACAAGGAATTGTAATTTAGGTGTGTCTCCTGTATTTTTAGCAATAAGGCTAGAAGGAAATTCATGAATCTAGTTCAGTATAACTAACCCAACGATTGCACTACAGAACAGGTAACATAAAATGCGCGGGGTGATGCTTGGTCTGCTGTTCCTGCAATCAATCTTGGATCATCAGGTTGAGTTTAAATTACAAAGATATACTTTGGAAAGCGAACTTGACCATGTAGAGCCATCTAAGTTGTTTACAAAATATGAGTATTTTTGTCCTAAGCAGCTGAAGAAACTAATGACAGGGAACGGCTAAAGCCAAACACACTCAAGAAATCAGAATGTGGCTCACTATGAAAGGTAGAGGATTTTATCATAAATTATAGAAGAAAAAGTAGTAGGAATGGAAACCGGGGAGCTCCTACCTTTCCCAAAAGTAGCCAATAGGGGCCAAGAAAATTGTAGAGATTGACAGCCGGAATGTTATGAGGACCAAATGGTTCATCCCTTCATCAAGGACTTTCTTAAGAAGAATATTCACCACCGCAAAAGAAAAATCAATTGCTATCATAGCAATAAAAGGTTTCCATTCATTACAGCTCTTCAACTCTGCCATTAGATCCAGCATTCAAAGAACCAAGGTAAGGGTGATGCAACCTCTCTTCCTTTGCGAACTATTTTCTTACTAGCACAACTGAGACAGACTTGTGTAGCTCTAAATAGATGTACTCCGGAATAAGTGGGAAGAAAGAAAGATTAAATTCTTCAAATCACATCAATTCTTTAAGCAACCAACTTTGACAGTAGTTTAATAATTATTCTCATCTTTTCACATACTTTTGAATGATCCTTTCAAACAAATGGAGATTACTTTGGCAATTGGAATCCTTTGCCCGGCTCCTGCAAAATATAGAAGCATCAATGCATGTCCACCAGCTTTTCATTTCCATATTTTTTCTAGGCTCTATTGGGTTGTTAGACCATATTTTTCATGCCTGTCAAGATTTTATGGTCGGTAATATTACTACACATAATTCATATAGGCATATTCTTAGGGGCGTAGGAGAAATTGATACTCTTTCTGTTATGCATGGCATCTAATACTTAAATCTTTGAAACAGGGAAGAGAAGCATCCTCGCACCTACAACGTGGGAAACAAGAACAATGTGTCAAATCTAGCACCACTGCACCTGATCAAGAGAAAAGCAATTGATGTACCCTGTGATTAATAAAACTAATTGTTTGCTCTTTGAACTTTCCAGTTCTACAATCCAAGTGCTGAATTGCAAGCCATTGGTATATCATCTTAGAAGTCTACTTAATTATTCTTGATCTAATACAGGTTAAAAATCTCTAACTCTATAGCCCAAATTCTTCACACTGAATCCGAGCTAGCTAGCTTCCATCTATGGATGTTTGGCATTTATTCGTCATTTAATTCAAGGACAGGTAAATTATCTAAAAAGAATATTCATTACTGCATTTAGAATTAATCATTCTGCACCTTGGAATTTATGTATTGCTCATAGGTCATGGCAGATATAGTTATCCCAGAATCGAAAGAGTTATAAATAAAGTAGCCAATATGCTCCATGTTAGAAATTGTGGTATTCTCCTGATTGGAGATTTATATGTAAAGATCATGTGGGAGATGCTTTGGGTTTTGATAAACTAGGATTTTAACTACAATATATTGCCAGAGCTCTCAACTGAAATTCCCTCCATGCTCCAGCTCCTACTTTCCCTAAATTATGCAGGCTTTGAGAATGAGGTTTTGATTCTAGATGCCAAGAAACAACTTTGCAGTGACCACGACCATTCTTTTATGCCTTTTGTAAGAGACAACAGAGTACTACCTTTAAATTTCTTACGCTGTGGAATAACATTAAAAAATGTTCAGGAAATAGGCAAAGAGTCCTTGGTCCACTCATTCACCCAAACATTCTCTTGCAGATTATAAATCTGAAGGACGATTTTGACTCATCAGTTCTTAAAATATTGGCAAAAGCATTTTAAGTTCTTTTTCGTTGTCCTCTCTTTTATGCCTCTAATCAACGCATTCATTCCCTATTAGATTAGAAAGCTTAGATAGTAATCAGCAAGTTGATGTAAGAATTGCTTCCAAGTTCCAACCTATTGGCAGAACTGTTAAAGCAAAAGTAAATATGATGTAAAAGATCAACAAAGTGCGCACCTAGGCACATTTACCAAAGAATTTATTAACTGTTAGTGATCCTTTTGATTTTCAAGGCTGCATCAAAGCAATCAATTCGGTCGTCTTGCATTTTATAGATTGCCCTTTCAAAATCTTATAAGCTGTTATTGGTGCAGATGATCGTATATCCGATTAGCTTTTAATCCAAATTCAGCTATTCCCACCAAACAAAAGACCAATAAGATCGTATATCCGATTAGGACAATATCTAGCATTAGATAGTGATTAGGACTCCGATTACAGACATAATTATCCAATTAAATTTGTGTTTTAATCATCCCCATCAAGTGACATTCTGGTTTCCACATTGAGATGGCATAATGCCAAGCGATGAACTGAGAAAACAAAATCATTGATAACATCCTGTACGGGATAGGAGAAAAACCTTTCTGTAAGGATTTTGTGATCCAGTTTCAGTAGACATCTTTTATTATTAATTTTCACCTCTGGTTTTGGACACACCTATGTTGTCTTACCCCAGATTTTTAGTTGCTGGGAAGAACCACACAAAAGGGTCATTATCAATTTTCTTAGTACCATGAACCTCAGCCCATAATCAAAACAAGATGTTTTTCTGCAGTTGGGCACATTTGTCTTTCCACTTGGACTCTTATGGACTAATGTAGTATCAGTTTTCATATAACAGAATTTTCCATCCAGCAGACGACAGAGCAGAGCAGAGCAGATCCACCTATAAGTTTATTAGATTTAACCGAAGAGTGTAGTAGAAAATATGCACTACTAACGATGATCAAAGCAACCGCCGGCGAATCCGGTAGTTTTTCCCAGAGGTGTCTAGGATTTATCCATCAATGCACTGCCCATGTATTTATCAATTATGTCGATGAAAAGGATGTTTAGGGAAAATTTTTGGGATGTTCAAGGGAAATTTATTTTTAATTTTTTTTATTATCCAATCTTTAAGGTGTTCATGAAATCATGGACACCCTACCAATACACATGGATCCGCCTCTTAAAGCAACTTAATATTTGTGACAAAATTTACCATAATATCAATTGGTTGAAATCATGCAAGTCTAAAGATGGAGGCATCCTACTTTCCAATGTTAAATACCAACTTGTTGTATGCACAGTATAAAATATTAGAGTTATAGAAGCACTGAACCGAGGCTTGTAATTTGATTATTGCTTCTAAATTACAGCATTAATAATATAAACTTATCGTATTAAAGTTAAGAAACTTTTTTCTGCTATGGATAGATACTGGTTAAATCAAACTTAGAGCAACATGTTACATATGTGATAACTAAATTCTTGCGCGTATTACTGTATGTAATGAGTAGTACATTCTTTGGGCACAAAGTAAAGAATGATTAGTTGGTCAATGTTGTTGTTGTACAATTTATAAATGAAAGAATTGCATTAATCATGATGAATCTGTGATTGGCCGTAATCAATCAAGCACAGAAGAAACGTAGAGGTGAAGCCCAAGAGCAATTAGCACCGCTCTAACCGTTGTTGTTACAGTGCACAAATTGCTGCCCGGATGGCCAAACACCTTCTGTTGTTCCATCAATTTGAGACAGTGGCATCCTTACCATATTTGTTTTGTTGTTCATATTCATTTGCAACTCTATTGGGCACTGGTTTGAATATGGCAAGTACATGGTTGATTCAGTTGTCCCTGGAAGCGGCGGCATGTAGCGGTTGTAGAAGTAGTGATATTAAACTAGCCATTCGGAAGAACTTGGTTCATCTGTGTGCCCCACGCAGCTTCAAATGACGGGTCGTTGGACCACATCATGCTTGCCATGGATGTCGTTTGGCTTTGTTCATGTTGAGGCCTATGAACCCCAATTTGACCAACAGCTTCTTGATCATCAAGTTCATGATCATGATTTAGGAAAGGTCAGGCTTGCTAGAACCCGGATTTACAGGACTCTGAATAGGGTTCATGTTTCCAATTCCTTGAGGAGCCACGGTTATCGATCCTGACTCTCTGCTTACTTTATTGTTGCAATGGGGAGAGTTAGAAGCAACCCTAGCTTTGCAAACCAGCACAATTAGCAGGTGATAGGACTCTAAGCCCTTTGCCATCAAGCAACTTGGCCTTGAGTGCACCAAGAAACCCATCAGTCTCACTTCCCGTCCCACAGACTTCCTCAAACGAGAAAGGCTGAATGTTAGCCAGCAAGACGCGGTTGCCAGACGTATTAAGCTCGAGCTGCATCCTCGGCAGTATTAAAAGTTCCAAGCCAAAGCCTGGCCTTTTGCAAAGAGTCCATAATCTCAGCCACCCATCCCTCTGATGGTCTCTGCCTAACTCCCACGAATTTACGGTGTTCTCTGGATGATGACTTCCTTCTGCCACGCACTCCATCAGCACCGCTTAGATCCCCCATGGTTATTTTCCTTTTATCAAACCTTTGAGTAGCAGAGGTTCAGGATTCTTATGATTGTGATTTCTAAATGGTATCTTGGTCATTCCATTAGTCGACAACAAAGAAAATGGTGAAAATGGTAAAACCTGGTGTTAGATTTTTTTCTGCTATTAATGAATGATTTTATAATTTAATAAAACAAATTGATATATTTAATTCTAATAGGATACATTTAACGAGAGTTCAAATAATTTAATTGTAATTATTTACGTGTGAGTTTTACATATTTTATTAAATTAATATAATTTTATAGTTATATAAATCTTTGATCCAATAAGTTTTTTATACATAAGTTTTTAAGATTTTAATAAAATTAATTAAAATTCTGTCTTCACTTTTGAATAATTGATATCTAACATTGAGAGCCCCCAATAACTTTATGTTTGAATAAATATTAGTGAAGAAAAAAAAATAAAATAAGAGAAAGTTTTTTAAAGAAAAAGATATATATATGTATCGTTTATTTAAATAATTAAAATTAATAAAAAAATAAATGAATGCTAATGATCATAATTTAATTAAATAATAAAAAATAATATATCATTTTTTTTTCAATTATAACTTGGTTTTATAAAATAATATATGATATAAATTTTTTTGGTTAAAATATAATGTAAAATAATGAACAAGGATAAAATTATTAACGTTTTGATTCTTTTAATTTTTTAAATTTTGATTAATAAATATTTATAAATGTTAATTAAAGATAATAAAAATATTATTTAAATATATATAATGTATTTTTTTCATTAATTTTTTTAAAAATGATGCATCCTTAATCAATTATTGTAACATTTCCTTCTTTTTTTTTTTCTAAAGCAATTGAAAAAATTTATTTTTGTCGCTAGGCCCTCAAATCCAAAGTAAAAGTTATGATCATGGTAATTTATACTTATTCATATTTTCACCTCTTTTCTAAAGAAAAAGAAAACAATATATATATATATATATATATATATATATACTTAGTTTTGTTCAACCAAAACAATATAAATAAATTACTACATCTCGTCAAATTACAATTATATATAAATAAATGTAAAATTGTATTTCACCTTTGATACGTCACCTTCGTTTTTATCATAATATTTACATATTATTTTTATTAGCAATAATAATAGTTTAATTTGAATCAAATTTTATTTTATTTTTTTAGATATTACATAATATTATAAAATTTTAAAACTCAATTTGAATTTGAATTGCTTTTTCATACTATTCAATTCGAACTAAATCAAATTTTATTAATTCAGTTTGGTTTAGTTTATCGATTGTTTAAATTTAAATTTTTATTCTTTATATATTATTTCAATTTAAATTTTTAATATATTTAAATAAATTTTTATATAAAATAATTATTTTATTTTATCAAATTTAAAATATATATAAACTAATAAAAATATATAATTCAATTCATTTTTTTCGATTTTTCACTTAATCTGAAATTTAATCTAAATCTAATATATATTTAATATCCAAATTTAATCTAAATCGAATAAAAAAAATCTAAATCAAGACAAATACTATATTCTTGATTTTTTTTGTCACCTCTAATGTCCACATTCGATGTTCTCAAATTTTCCTTGTTTATTTATAAAATAGTAGTCAATGAAAATTTTGAAGTATTAAGTAAAAAAAATTTGAAAATAGTTTATTTACTAGTAAATAAAGTTTTGTATTTTCAATCTAATTTTGAAAGTTGAAGATATACACTTTAAAATTTAGAAAATTTAAAAAAGATATAATAATTGTTTCACATTTTAAAAATTTTTTTTCTTGATTTTTCTTTCAACTTTAGGTAATTGAAAAATTAAAAGAATTTGAAAGAAATCAATGAAAGCTAAGCATCCTTTCTTTTTTTTATTTTATGTCATATTCAAACGAAGGAAATAATTTCCATTTCTTTTTTTTTTTTTCATTTCTCTCCCTTTACCTCAATTCAAACATAGATTAAGAGAAAACCGGATAGAAAAACTAAGTTTTTATCTATGAAATTACAGTTGCTTCAATTTATTAACTATAATTATTCAAACAAATATGTGCATTAATTATTTTGTTTATGATGTTCTAATTATCAAGTATGTATTTTGAAATTTAATGTTTATATGTGATATTAAAGTCTCTTTATGTGATTTAAAACCCAAAAATTATTATTATTTAAAAAAAAACACTAAATTTTTAATTTTTTTAATTTTAATTTCGCATGAATATTTGTTTTTAGATAAAATTTTATACTCGTGGAAATTCCGGTGATCTTTTCTGACAATTAGATTAGGAAAGATTGAAACCAATAGCTCTGTTTTTCTTAAATCTCATGGCGATTTCTCGATCTCATTGTACAACGCCCAAACAGCCTGGGGTAAGTTCTCTCCGTAATAGTTTCCTGATTCTTGCGCCTTCCCGGAATAAAAAAAAAAATTGATACGAATGAAGATCGAACCTTAACTCGAGTGATTGGACTCGGTTATTCTCAAGCTGAAGCACTCTCATGGACTGCTGAGCTCGGTAACGCGAGCTTGTCACCCAAGTGGGGGTAAAAAGGTGATTATGAAAACCACCCACGAGCCATCTTTTCCCAATTGGCACTGACCTTCTATTATCCTTCCATGTCTAGAGCGGGAGGTCGTGGCTCCTCCACGCATCACTCCTTTGTGCACAGGTGATATGTCCCATCGTTCTAACTCCATGCTAAGGTCAGCAGGCTAGACACAAGCTCGATAACGCTACTGTTAACGTTTAATCTCAAAACATATATTTTAGAAGGAATGCAGTGGGCTTGCTCCTCTAACATATATTTTAGAAGGAATGCTTGCGTGGCATGTGCAGTGGGCTTGTCCCTACTGTAAGCGCTTTACTTCCTAATTGGGCACTTGGGTAAAATCACATTTTGCATATACTCAGATACGAAACAAGCCTTTTCCATATGGGTTCAATGATTCAATTTTGCTTTAGCCCAAGTTGGATAAGAATTTTATTCATGATTTTTTTAATAGCATGAGATATTTGTTATATTATTATATTTATGCATAACTCAATCATTACTATATATTATGCACATAATTTTTTATATTTTATTTCATAATAAAATATTTTGACATATTTAGAATCTATCGAAGGTACATATTGTTATAAGATATTTAAAATTTATGTACTAATTTTGAGTTAAATTTTATGTGTATAATTAAATAAATTTTTAAGTATCCATTTTAAATTCAACATGCATTAATTTTAAAAGTAAATTGGGTTTAAACTTCACTAGAATTTGGTATCACTTGTATCATATCAATACTGTTATTTGATAATTAGATGATATTAAATAATTAATTATTTGAAATAATTAGAGTTTAAACTCGTTGTGTGAATTGATTTTTTCTTTACTCTATTGACGTGATGTATCATTATTAAATTGTAAAATTTTTAATTTTGGTACATAATACATAAGGTTATGGTATTTAATAAAAATATTAAATTATTCATAAAAAATTTAAGACATTCAATTTACCTATAATAAATTACTTGTTGATTTACTGACATATATTCATTTAAAGTATCTCATAATAAAATATCGTATCTATAATGATCCATCAAGATATGCATTGTTATAACATATAGATCCATAAATCTATAGCTAAACTTAATAAGAAGACTTACCACAATCTTTTATTAAGGTGTGATTAGTCACCTAAGTGAATTTATCATTTTAAGGAGCTCTTAAGCTTGATTAAGAGTCTCTAAAGAATATGTTCTAACTTTCTAAATAAAACTAAGTTCGAAAATTCGGTTACATATAGGGAGGGTTATAGCACTCCTACAATACCCATCATAAGATGATACCATTTAATTTTAAATTATCCTAACAATCATCTTGAATATAATGATCTTGATTTCAATGTTTAAACATAAAAAATTACTTATAAGATTTCTCCATCAATCTAATAAAATTCTTAAAAATATTTTCTCACCTCAAAAGTATTCAAGAATCACATTTATTTTCTTTAAAAGGCTTTATCATTGAAAAAACTTAATCATTTATTTTTTGTTAAATTTTCAATATATTAAAAGTATATATAATTATTTCACCATTTGGGCCAATATTATAAATATTTTCTCACATAGAAATCTCTTAAATAATCATCCATTTGCGATTATCATAAATTTCATCCTTGGAATTTATTTTTTTATTTTACAAATTTTATTTTTAAATTTTTTACCATTTGGATCTATTTAGAAATACCTTACAAGTTTCATTTCTAAATTCTCCACCATTTTGGTTAAATTTGAAAAAATTTGTCACCTAAATATTTTTTAGAAAATTTGTCATTTGAAAATTTTAAGAATCTCATCATTAGATAATTGTTAATTCAATCCCAAAATTTTATTAATTTTATTATTTTTTATTTTTTTAATTAAAAATAAATATTAATTATTATTATTGAAATTTTATTTAAAATTTTCCTCTATTTTGGTTAAATTTTAAAAAATCTCCCATCTAAAAATTTTTAAAAAATCACTCATTCGTAATTTTAAAAAATTTATTATCAAATCAATATTCTTGAATTTTAAGCTTTCATCCCTAAATGAATAATAATAAAATTTTTCTAATTTTAAAAAAAATTGAACATTTTTATTTAATATTATATACTTTGTCCATATCAAATATAAATTTTTTTTCTAAGAATTATACATAAAATAAAGTGATTAAGTAGACAAATAAAGAATGATGAAATAAGAAAAGTTAGAAAAAGTACCAAATTTGACTAAAATGGAGACAAGCACATAGGTTTATCTATATAGTCCTCAAATCAATTCAAGCTTTATCAAATCATTTTACTTTCCTTGTTTCTTTTTTTTTTTCCACTTATCTTTCCTGCATGCTTTTCACTTTTAAGAACCCTTTTTTTTTTTTTTTCTAGTGCTTTCTTTTCCAAGACTACAAGGTCTTAAATGCCATCCCTCATACTAGATGGAAACTTTAGCTGCCAAGCCAGATTACCATTATCTCCTGCTTTTTCCTTTTTTTATTTCTTCTCTAGCTTATCTCCACCTTTTTAGATTTCTAGCTTTCTCTCATTTCTCTTTATAATTCTCACTAAACCCCAAATGATTAACAACCACTGAGACCTCCGTTATTGCCTGTGACTTATTTTCTAGTATTTCTTTGTTGATTGTTGTCACTTTTCTGTGTATATTGAAATCAATTTATAGATGAGAATCCAAATCCAAACAATATTTTAACCAGGATTAAACTTTTCAGGCAATCTATTTTATAGTTGGATTAAGATTAAATTTTATTTTTTAAAAGAACCTTTTATCCAACCAAACAATCATTCTTCAACCAAGTCTCTACCATTTTTTAAACTTTTTTATTAAAAGGATAAATAAACAATAAATAAAATAAAATAAATTTTAAACTTCGAACAAAATGAAATATCTACACGCATTAATTATTACTATTTTACACAAGAATGATCAACTATTTAATGACTTATGAAATATATCATAATTTAGTAGTTTACGATGAATGATCAAAATGCAAACACTTAGCTAAGTATGCAAAATAAACTAAAATTTTCAATATAAAAAATACACTTAGTTAATGTGGGTGTTTAGTTGTCAAAGTAACTCTCTAATTAAAACTTACAAGATTTTTTTATGCGCAAAAACATAAGTATTGTCAAATTATCTTATACAATCGCCTCTTTAAAATGAGTTATTGTATTTGGTAATTTGAAGTGGACAATTAAGCATCATGGTTGAGAATACTAGTTTAGAATGTCTATCTATCTAAAAAAGATAGATTTTTCAAAAATTAAGATATTCTCATATTAACTTCATGTGAAAAAAGCCTACTCATATGTCATATTCTCGATCCAAAAAAGAGTTTGTGATTATGTGCTTGGACATTTAATTTAATTACAAATAACACATCATGATCGGTGCTATTTATATGGATTATTGCTTATATGTAGAAAATTATATTCTTTTGTCTTTAATAATATAGTTGATTTTCAGTGATAAAGATTACGTAGCTCTTATTTAAAAAGATAAAAGATGTTTTAGAGCTTAATTAAACCATTGGTGTTTTCTTAAATATAATTGCTAAGTTTTGAACATTGTCATTAATTACTATTTAATTGTTAAAATCTTTGCATTTTGTAATGATAAAACTCTTTTACTTGAGATAATTTGTGAATCATTTAAATATCATCTAGTCATATAAATCCATAAAATAATTGTGACGTGCATGATTAGTAAGTTTTTTATATTGCTTTGTTCCTATATAACATTATTTGATAAAATAGTTTTATGAAAGATCATGCTTATACAAAATGTAATAGGTGAAATTAAGTTTAGTTATTTTGAAAGCATATGTTATCTAGCATAAATATATTTAACATGTTTAGAATATTTTGTTTTATATATCACGTAATTATAGTTTAGAATTTTTAGACATTAGGTTTATAAATTTTTTTATGGACATATGAAATTATATATAAGTTATAACAATTCATGAAAAACATTTATATTTTATAGTAGTCTATAGAAATAGTGGAAAAGTTTGGCTGTTAAAGTGGTGCAATTATGTCAAGATAAATATCATATGTTAAATAATTATATAGTGAATTTGCTTCACATAAATTTTTAAACTAGTTTTTAAAATCTTTTACTTTTACTAAATACTTACTAATTCAAGTAAGTTTTCATAAAATTAATTGTTTTATAGTTATGATATTATAATATTTTGAAAGAGTAGTAAATAAAAATTTATTTCTTAGTAAGTACTTAGAGTTTGTCTTTGATATTATGGAACATGATAACTATTATTATTAAAATCCTGGATAATAAAACTAAATTATGATAGTAAAATGGATATTAATTAAAGTTTCAGTCTATAATAGTAAGTAAAAGAATTAGTTTTGTAAATTTCTAGGTTTAGACTGAAATTTATTGTTGTTAAGGTTTGCTAGGTTAGGTTGCTTTAATACTTATGTCACAGCTCATGTTTGGTGATATTGAAAATGTAATATTCTTTACATGAACATTATCATGACCATGAGATTGGTTTGTACCATAGTTATTGTGTGTATATGATTATCTAAAAAAATATTTGTTATTGACATTTATCATATTTTATTATGTTAAGATTTATGGTATGAAAAATTTGAAATTTGTTGAATCTCATATAAGTATAAAGTATTTGTATTAGTAGATACTCTTTGTGGTAAGTTAGTTTTTAATTTTAAAATTTCTTATTGTCATATTTGAATTGACATGCCATAATAAAATCATTATTAATTGTTGAAGCAATTATTGGTAATATGACATTCTAAGTATTTTTGTTGATTAATAGCATGATTATAGAACATGACAAAAAATTTTAAGGTGTTTAAAATGGTACTGGGCATTTTAAATATTTACTTTTAGTGATCCGTAAAGGTTTATTTAAATTAGTACCTTGCCTTGAGTGATTACATATATAAATGGACATAACAAAATTAGTAAAATTTTTAAAATAAATATAAAATTTTTTATATTGTTAGGGGATTGTTTTTAGGTTACTACATGTGTTACCTGCCCAAAGAAGGTGCTTGAATGTTTTTATTTTAGAAATAATTATGAATCATTTTGTGAAGTGAAAAGATACATAGATCTAAACAATTTATCTACCCAAAAGGGATAAATATTCAAAAGTCTTTGTATTCACAATTATTTTTAGTTGAAAACATATAAGGTATAACGTTTTTTTTTTCTAAATGAGTTTGCCCAAGATAAAATTTTTATAAAGCGCTTTAATTATTAATGATAAGACTAGAAAGTTATTAACTTGATTAAAGTTTTTTTCGTTTGGATCATTGATTGACCTTTGTTCACAATTTCAGTTTGTTAGGGTAATTGTCATCATAATTAGTTAATGTTTGCCATGAGTAAAAGTTTTTGGATGTTTTATACTATATAATAAATGCATAAATTGTTAATCATTTTAATTTATCATATATGAGAATATAAATTTGTTGCATAGTACCTTATGATAGCTAATATGGTTTTCTTCCATACAAAAATGTTTTAGACATGTTATAATATCTTAATTTGTTTTAAGTAAAATTGAAAGTTGTTGAAATATAATTTTATTTTGACAAATATTTAGTTTGGTTATTTAACTTTAAATTAAAATATTAGTTTGATTATCTTAGCTAATATTATTAATCTAAAAATAATCGATTTTAAAGGTCATATTATTATCATTTGTTGACAATGCATTTTAAAAAAAATTAATTTTTTTATGAACTCACATTTAAAGGGAAAAATATTATTTTACACTTATCACATGTGTTAGAGTTTCACGAAATGAATTTTATACAAATAAATAAATTATTTATTTTATTTTATTGGTTCAATTCATTTTTTGATAATCTTCCTTGAATTTTGTTTTGATTTACATTATGTATTTTTTCGAACTAATTTTTAAAGGAAGTGAAAATCAACAGGAGTTTTTTTGCATATGTTGTTTTAAAAATTGATAAAATGATCTTATTAGATAAAATTATTAAGATGTTGTCTCAAGAGCTAAATTATTTTTAAAATTATAGCCACATCAAAATAAAATTAATCAGTTTGGAATCTTATTTTTTAAATTATATTTTCTTAAAATCAAATAACTTAATTAATATTACTCAAGTGAGAATATTTGAATTTTTTATAATATAAGGCTATTATTAATAAATAATTTTATAATTTAAATAAAATAAATTAATAAATTTAGTTTTAATATGAGACATGAACGAAAACTTAAATAATTATAATCATTTATATGTGAGTTTTACGTATTTTATTAGATTAATGTAGTTTAACAGTTAAGTAGACTTTTAACTTGTAAACTTTTGATGAAAGTTTTTTAGAATTATAATAAAATTGGTTAAGATCCTTTTTTCCCTCTAAGTAATCCATATCTACACATGGAAACCATCGTTTAGAAAAAAAGGAAGAAAAAAACTTAATCTTTGCTATAAAATTACAGGTACTACTGTTTATCAACTGTAGTTGCATGAACAAATATGTTAATTAATTAGTTTGATCTTAAAATTGAATGCTAACACCTGGAGCTCCAAATACTGGTTTGTCCACTTGCAGGCCTTTGTTTGGGTCTTTTCGCCTTCCGGGGTTAAATCTCTCCCTCTCTCCATCCTTTCTAATTCTGATTTCTCCGACACGATAAACTTCCACTCTCTCTCTCTCTCTCCCTCCTGGTTCAGACGACCCGGAAAAGGCTTTCTTTCTCTGAAACGTTAATTTCTCGTCTCTTTATTTATTATTTCTCTCCCACTGCTTCACTGCTCGATAATATACGCTGGTTCCCTTTTTTTTTTTTTTTTAATAATGGGTTTCGCAATTGCAAGTGCATATAATAGCAGGGGTTTTATTCGCGATTCGTTGAAGCACTGAACACCTTTTTTTTTCCTGGTATATTCTTCTTTTCTCTTTGCACAACTTTTTATTTTCTTTTTAATTTTAAATAAATGCATCAGAAGGAAAAAAAAAAGTTCAATCGTTACCGTTTTGATAACCAATTCAATGGAAAGTGGATCCCAAGTTTGGTTCATGCCATCATGTTTATCGCAGTTATTTTAGTTTTCCTGTTTGTTTAATTTGCTTTTTGCTTCTTTTTTGTTTTTTTTCTCAGTTTGAGATCAAGGACGAGCTGTGGAGTGAAGAACTATATAAGCGAAGATGTTTGGTGCAACTAACCGTCTGGTAGAAAATTTACTGGAAATTTATTTTAATTCAATTCGTTGAGCTGATGTTTCCATGAATGTATGATTGCTTCTGTTCTTTATTAAAACTGGAAGCGTGTGTCTAGTGACTTTTATGTTCTTCTACTCCTGCTTTTGGCAGTTCATCATCATCTTTTGGTGGTAAGTGTTTTTATGTATGTTTTCTCTTTTCTGTTATTATCATTCAGTTCTCCTTCATTTCATATTATTTCTGTTCTATTTAAAGATATTAGAGAATATGATTTTAATGTCTTTTTGTCTTTTGATATTTTGTGATGCTTTATTCCTAGTGTTCTAATACCACATGTGTAGATCTTTGAGTTGTTACGCTTACGAGTATACATACATACATACATACATACATATTGATATTACCATTAGTTGCAGTTTTAATTTTGTGGAAATGGAAGAATTTAGTGTTTCATTAGTAAGAAACTAACTTGTTTGTTTCATTATTCATTCTTGAATGGGAGCCATCTTTTTCATAAGGAGCAATTGTTATTTCTCATGTACATTTAATTTGCTAAGTTTGGTAATCTACTTTAAATTTTATGCATGTGTTGACTTTTTAGTCATTAGCTCTTGTGTAACTTGGTTTCCTTTCCTCGGTATTAAACTGATAACTTTCTTTTTGGATAGGGTCTTCTGTTTTTGGTCAGAAGCCTGCATTTGGCTTTGGGTCTACTCCTACTCAATCAAGTCTTTTTGGAAGCACAATGCAGCAATCATAGCCTGCATTTGGTACTGGTATATTTGGTTCCTCTGCTCCTTTTGGTTCAACTCAGTCTGTATTTGGTTCCAGTACCCCTGCCTTCGGTGCCACGAGCATGCCTGCTTTTGGTGCCACAAGCACCCCTCCCTTTGGTTCAACTGGAAGTCCAGCATTTGGGAGCACTGGAACTGCATTTAGTGTCTCTAATTCCCCAGTCTTTGGAACAGGAGGCATGATGCAGCAATCACAGCCTGCATTTGGTAGTGGTATATTTGGTTCCTCTGCTTCTTTTGGTTCAACTCAGTCTGCATTTGGTTCCAGTACCCCTGCCTTTGGTGCCACAACCACCCCTGCTTTCGGTGCCACAAGTACCCCTGCCTTCGGTGCCACAAGCGCCCCTACCTTCGGTGCCACGAGCACCCCTGCTTTCGGTGCCACAAGCATGCCTGCTTTCGGTGCCACAAGCACCCCTCCCTTTGGTTCCCCAAGCACCCCTCCCTTTGGTTTAACTGGAAGTCCAGCATTTGGGAGCACTGGAACTGCATTTGGTGTCTCTAATTCCCCAGTCTTTGGAACAGGAGGCACGATGCAGCAATCACAGCTTGCATCTGGTAGTGGTATATTTGGTTCCTCTGCTTCTTTTGGTGCAACTCAGTCTGCATTTGGTTCCAGTACCCCTGCCTTTGGTGCCACAAGCACCCCTGCCTTTGGTGCCACAAGCACCCCTGCTTTCGGTGCCACAAGTACCCCTGCCTTCGGTGCCATGAGCGCCCCTACCTTCGGTGCCACGAGCATGCCTGCTTTCGGTGCCACAAGCACCCCTCCCTTTGGTTCCACAAGCACCCCTCCCTTTGGTTTAACTGGAAGTCCAGCATTTGGGAGCACTGGAACTGCATTTGGTGTCTCTAATTCCCCAGTCTTTGGAACAGGAGGCACGATGCAGCAATCACAGCCTGCATCTGGTAGTGGTATATTTGGTTCCTCTGCTTCTTTTGGTTCAACTCAGTCTGCATTTGGTTCCAGTACCCCTGCCTTTGGTGCCACAAGCACCCCTGCTTTCGGTGCCACAAGTACCCCTGCCTTCGGTGCCACAAGCACCCCTGCCTTTGGTTCAACTGGATGACCAGCATTTGGGAGCACTGGAACTGCATTTGGTGTGTCTAATTCCCCAGTCTTTGGAACAGGAGGCACATTTGGAGCATCGAGCATACCTGCTTTTGGCACTTCCAGCACTTCTGCTTTTGGAGCTTCAAGTTCTGTTTATGGGGGTTCAAGCACTCCTGCTTTTGGAGCATCTTCTACTCCTTCATTCAGCTTTGGGTCTAGCCCAGCTTTTGGCCAGTCAACACCAGCATTTGGTAGTAGTCCTTTTGGAACCACTACATTTGGAGCCCAGAGTTGTCCTTTTGGTGAGTAATCAAGTCTCCATGATTAATTATAAACTTTGAAATTACTTAATACAGTTTGGGAAAAAATATATATTTTCATAAGCTTCCACCTTTTGAGTACTAGGAAGTTCATATCTATATCTATATCTATATATATATATATATATATATATATAATTAAATTCTTTTGAGTTCTCATGTAGGAACTCAATCTTCTGCACCGGCATTTGGAAGCACCAGCTTTGGCCAGTCACCATTTGGGGGTCAACGTGGGGGAAGTAGAGTAGCTCCTTACACACCTACAGCTGAAGCAGATAGTGGGAGTAGTACACAGCCAGCTGGAAAGTTGGAGTCAATATCAGCGATGCCTGTTTGTAAAGATAAAAGTCATGAGGAGCTGAGATGGGAGGATTATCAGTTAGGAGATAAAGGTGCCTTCGTAAAATATTGCAAAACCCTGAAAGTTAATCATTCTTCTTTTCTGTGCTTGACTTTGACTACCTTGCTGTATTAATTTGAAATTTCAGGTGGACCACAGCCAGCTGCTCAGCCTTCTGGAGGGATTGGCTTTGGTGTGTCAGCTGCACCCACAAGTCCTTTTGGCTCTTCTTCAACATTTGGTCAAACATCTGTAAATCCTTTCTCCGGCACTAGTACCAATCCATTTAGTCCAAAGCCTCCATCCTTTAATAGTACAGGTCTCACATCCTCGACTGTTACATCAAATCCTTTTCAATCGACATGTAGTCCTTTTGGAACCACTACATTTGGAGCCCAGAGTTGTCCTTTTGGTGAGTAATCAAGTCTCCACGATTAATTATAAACTTTGAAATTACTTAATACAGTTTGGGAGAAAATATATATTTTCATAGGCTTCCACCTTTTGAGTACTAGGAAGTTCATATCTATATATAATTAAATTCTTTTGAGTTCTCATGTAGGAACTCAATCTTCTGCACCGGCATATGGAAGCACCAGCTTTGGCCAGTCACCATTTGGGTGTCAACGTGGGGGAAGTAGAGTAGCTCCTTACACACCTACAACTGAAGCAGATAGTGGGAGTAGTACACAGCCAGCTGGAAAGTTGGAGTCAATATCAGCGATGCCTGTTTATAAAGATAAAAGTCATGAGGAGCTGAGATGGGAGGATTATCGGTTAGGAGATAAAGGTACCTTCGTAAAATATTGCAAAACCCTGAAAGTTAATCATTCTTCTTTTCTGTGCTTGACTTTGACTACCTTGCTGTATTAATTTGAAATTTCAGGTGGACCACAGCCAGCTGCTCAGCCTTCTGGAGGGATTGGCTTTGGTGTGTCAGCTGCACCCACAAGTCCTTTTGGCTCTTCTTCAACATTTGGTCAAACATCTGTAAATCCTTTCTTCGGCACTAGTACGAGTCCATTTAGTCCAAAGCCTCCATCCTTTAATAGTATAGGTCTCACATCCTTGATTGCTACATCAAATCCTTTTCAATCAACATGTAGTCCTTTTGGAGCCACTACATTTGGAGCCCGGAGTTGTCCTTTTGGTGAGTAATCAAGTCTCCACGATTAATAATAAACTTTGAAATTACTTAATACAGTTTGGGAGAAAATATATATTTTCATAGGCTTCCACCTTTTGAGTACTAGGAAGTTCATATCTACATCTATATATATATATATATGTGTGTGTGTGTGTGTTATATATATATAATTAAATTCTTTTGAGTTCTCATGTAGGAACTCAATCTTCTGCACCGGCATATGGAAGCACCAGCTTTGGCCAGTCACCATTTGGGTGTCAACGTGGGGGAAGTAGAGTAGCTCCTTACACACCTACAGCTGAAGCAGATAGTGGGAGTAGTACACAGCCAGCTGGAAAGTTGGAGTCAATATCAGCGATGCCTGTCTATAAAGATAAAAGTCATGAGGAGCTGAGATGGGAGGATTATCAGTTAGGAGATAAAGGTACCTTCGTAAAATATTGCAAAACCCTGAAAGTTAATCATTCTTCTTTTCTGTGCTTGACTTTGACTACCTTGCTGTATTAATTTGAAATTTCAGGTGGACCACAGCCAGCTGCTCAGCCTTCTGGAGGGATTGGCTTTGGTGTGTCAGCTGCACCCACAAATCCTTTTGGCTCTTCTTCAACATTTGGTCAAACATCTGTAAATCCTTTCTTCGGCACTAGTACCAATCCATTTAGTCCAAAGCCTCCATCCTTTAATAGTACAGGTCTCACATCCTCGACTGCTACATCAAATCCTTTTCAATCAACATCATCAAGCCTTTTTGGCCCAACTTCGTCAACAACAACTTCAATATTTAGTTCATCTTCAACTCCTACATTTGGAACTGGTTCATCATTCTTTAATTTGTCTGTCACTCTTTCTTTTTCAACTTCACCATCCATTTTTGGTACAACTCCTACATTTGGAACTGGTTCATCACTTTTTAGTTCGTCTATCACTCCATTTTCATCTTCACCATCCATTTTTTATGCTGGTGTAGCTCCGGCAACAACTCCTGCATTTGCTACTGGTTTAAATTTTAGCAGCAGTCAGACATCCCCTCTGTTCACTTCTACTGCTGCAATTGGGCAGACAGGCAATGCTTTTGGGCAGGTGACCTCTACCTTTGGACAGAATACTGGTAACTTTGGTCAAACAAGCATTTTCAACACACCTTCCACTGGGTTTAGTGGGAATATGTTTTCAAGCTCTCTATCATTGGCTTCTTCTAGCAACCCAGCTGGGTTCGGCCCAACAACTGTAAGCAACGCATGAAATCTTTACAATCATACGGCTTTTTCATCATATTTATGATCCTTTGCTCATGTCATTTGATTATAGAATGAAGCTACAATATTTGTTGCTTTAGTCTTTAACTTTGATCTAAGTATTCTGTTTCTGTACATTTTCATCATGCTTTTCGAGTGATGCAGAATTATCTGCATTTCTTCTTTTATTGAATTGAGAATTCAAACTAATTATCCAATGTTGAGCCCTGTCGTGCATGATTGATTGGGAAGTGGACTAGATATCTGATTTAATTGCTGATAAGAGCCAGCTATTTGATTCTGTATTATATAATTAATAAAGATCCAAATAAGAATTTTTTATCTTGCCAGATTTGGAAGCCTATCTTTTTTGTTGAATGAAGAGTCATAATTGATATTTTTATGAGGATAGCTTCTGCATATCTCAATATCAGGGTTAATGCGGAGTGATATTTTAATTTCATGTATACTTGTTGATTGAAATGTGTTTCAAATATTTTATGAAAAATATGCGTTGCTTTATGATTTTAGGAGTTCTGCTAGTTTTAATTTGCAATAATACTCTCTAGGTTTGTGCATGAGTCTCATGTAAACACAAATGCTTTTCTTAACTGTTTCTGAGCCTTAAGCTCAGAGTTTGATCCACTGTTTGTGCAGCCCTCTTTTGCTTCACCTTTTCAGCCAGCTCAGAGCAGTGGTGCTTTCAGCTTTAGCAATTTTGGTCAGAATCAATCAGGTAGTAGAAGTTTTATTTTGAATATTATCATTGAATGTTTGAGCTTTCTATGATGATGCTGACTATAATGATGTTGCTGGGCTTTATAGGTGGTGGATCAAGCATTTTTGGTCAGAGTAATATTGGCCTGTCGTATGTGTAATATCCTTTGGATTTTAGTTTTGTTTTCACTGGCACTTGTACATATCCTTATACATGGCTAGAAGCTTCTGCATATCTGTTACTAATATAATTTTTTCTTGTACCTTTCTATATGTGCATGCAAAAGTATGCCAGAACAAGTTCTATCCATGGTTATCCAAATAGTTATATGATTATATTTTGGAGCTTAATCCTGCATGCTCTTCTGTTTGACAGGTCTTCTACACAGAGTGCTGCTGTAGTACAACCCGTGACTATCACAAACCCCTATGGAACACTCCCTGCAATGCCTCAAATGTCAATTGGTCGGGCTGGGACTTCAGCATCTGTTCAATATGGGATTTCAAGCATGCCTGTAACTTTCTGACCTTACTTTAGTTACTCTAAGGCTTTGAGTTTGATCTACTGTTTTATTTATTTGCTGTAGAGCGTTCTCTGTCTCTTCATGCTAGTATTGCCAATGATTTTGTTGTAAATTAAAATATAATAGTATTAATTGGTTGACTGGTAATGAATTTATCAGGTCGTGGACAAACCTGCTCCTGTTAGAATATCACCCTTATTGACTTCTCGATACCTTTCACAAAGGCGGATTAGGCTGCCTGCAAGGAAATATCATCCTAATAATGATAGTCTGAAGGTGGGGGTACTGCCTCTTGTTAAAGTAGTAACTCTAATCTTCTGATTTAAAATATTATTAAATTGCTTTCCATATGAGGTAACAGTTCTAACATGTGTTTGTTTCATTTGTTAATCGATATATGCAGGTTCCATTTTTCAGTGATGATGAAGAGACACCCAGCACACCTAAGGTTGATGCTGTTTTTATTCCTAGGGAAGACCCAAGTGCTCTGGTTATTCATCCCACAAAAAATTGGCCTTCAGGAGATTCTGCAGAGATGGCATCACCATTGAAGGATTCATCCACTCTAGTGCACGAGAATGGTACCGTAAGACTCTTTCGAGCTCATCTGCATTCCGTTGGTGGGACTAAGTGAATTAATTAGGATTTGAACAAAAGCTTATAGATAGGGGCGAAAGTTGATTGCTTTGAAGCATTTTAACTTTTTGCAGGCTTTGTTTCTTCTTTCCATGTGTTACCTACCACCATTTGACAATCTAATGTGTTCTGCGATTCAAAAAATGCTATTGATTCTAAGGCCCTTGCTAATAGCATTTAATCTTTGAGAAGTCGGTAGTGAGAGTATTTTTTTGTTATGCTATTGATTCTCTTTGTAGTCTGTTGTGTTTCTGTTCTCTCTGTTTCTCTCAAACATATGCACAAACACTTACATACAAAAACCCTTGGATTATAATCAAACTAATGAGCTAACCAATTAATACCAATTGGCCAAGGGAAAAGATGGTAATGCCTTCTATTGTTAGAAGTAATGTTTCTGGTGCCATTACAATATTCTTATTGCACTGAGAAAATGCTGTGATTTTGTTTTCAGATGTATGGATATGTGAGTATTTTTTTTATGGTCTGATTACATTGATTTTTGACTTCTTGTGGCTGATTCTTTGGAGCATCCTTTTCATTTAGGCAAAATTTCTGGTGATGGCTCCAAAGCTGAAGAGAAAGATAGTAAGTAGTATCTTTTACATGAAATTATAATCAACTTTAATTTCCTGTTTTGCCATTTTATTAATTTTATGTCACAAAAATAGTTTCTTTGATTTAGTGTTTTATGATGTGAAAATTGCATGGGTCATAAAACATTTCCTCCCATCTCCAGTTCCATGGCTTGATTTAGGAACTATCTGTAGCTCCTGCAGTTTCTCCGTAGTCTGTTTTATAACTCTGTGCTAGACTTTCAGAAACAGAAACAGGGTAGCCTCTTGTCTATTCCTTTTCTTTGGAGTTTCTGATATTCATATGGGACAAGGCAAAGCATTAACGTAATCTTTTCGCCTTTCTGCAACGGTGATTCTATTTGTGATAAAGATCGGTAATAACTTTCAGATGAACTTAGGATCATTATAAAATGGCTTGCTGGCATTACTGGTACTGTTTAATTTCTTTTGATTGATATGATCATTGTAGAAAATCCAGTTGAATATGGCCTTGTGAAGGAGCCAAGTCATCCTGTCAGAGGTAACCAGAAAGCTAATGGAGTCCATGATGATCATTCTGTTCAAAAAGAGGACTCTTACATGAAGATCAGTGGCCACAGAGCTGTCGAGGATGCTATTGTCTATGAGCATGGGGCTGACATTGAGGCTCTAATGCCAAAGCTCCGGCGGTCTGACTACTATACAGAACCTCGAACCCAAGAACTGGCAGCCAAGGAAAGGGCTGAACCAGGGTACTGTCGCCATGTCAAGGACTTTGTGGTTGGGCGGCATGATTATGGAAGCGTCAAGTTCCTGGGTGAGACAGATGTAGGACATCTTGATCTGGAGTCACTTGTCCAGTTCAACAACCGTGAGGTGATTGTTTACATGGATGACAGCAAGAAACCTCCTGTTGGACAAGGTCTTAATAAACCTGCAGAGGTAACACTTCTCAATATCAAATGCTTTGATAAAAAGACCGGATGCCAGTACATGGAAGGGCCACAAGCCGAGATTTTTAAGAAAATTCTTAAGAGGAAGGCTGAGGACCAAGGAGCAGAGTTTCTGTCCTATGATCCCATCAAAGAAGAATGGAAGTTCAGGGTCAATCACTTCAGCATCTACAAATTGGAAGACGAAGAGAAAGATTACTCAGAAATGTGCTCTGTTCTCGATTGCTGATAAGATGGGGACACTGTTTGCTTCCTGCCAAGTTTTGGCTGGCCTTAATGTTTTGTCCCCATGAAGAGTTGATTTGAATTGTATAGAGATTGCCCAATTGTGGTATTGTTGTTGACTTTTGAGTTGTGTCATCGGAGTAACACATGAATTGTTGTCGTCTAGTAGTTTATTTATTTTCGTTCTTGCTGAGTATTGGTTTTGTTTTTGTATTTTTCTTTCTCTTTTCAACTCTTTCAACATGTTACTTCTGAATTGACATATCAGGGAAACTGCTGGTCAGGAGGGAGATCTGATGTTAGTGCTTTTTCACATGAAAATGTTTCCTCCGGCTTTGAATTTTGAATTGAAGTCTGTTATGTTCATGTTTCAATCATACATACATAGATATGTTTAGGAGGTGTTGCTATCTGTTTGTATAATTTTCTTCTTTCTTTTTTTGGACTGAATATGTATGTTCCTTCTCACTAGGAATATTGTTATCCAGTATCATTACCACTACTTATAGTTACTCTCAAAAATAACGAAAATATATAAAAAAAAAATCAATACTATCAAAACTAATGAAATATTAAACTGAAAACATCAGAATTTATTTATTTATTACGTTATATGGGCCAATCAAAGAGCTTTATTAAATTTAAAATGTTGGATCTTAAATAAAAACATTGTCGCAAGCCAGCCGCATTAACCTTAAAGAATTAGGTCTAAAATAAAAACACTGTAGCAAGCTAGCTGTGGACAATTCTTTCAGTGAGGGAAATTTAAAGTATCGGGTCAGCTGTATTAAATTTAAAGTATTGGGCCGTAAATAAAAACACTGTGCCACCTGTGGGCATTCTTTGGGACGGGGAAATTTAAAGTATTGGGTCAGCCGTAGGTAAATTTAAAGTATTGGGCATAAATAAAAACAAACCAGCTGTGGACGTTTTTGAGTTAGGGAAACGCATTGGATCATGTAACATTCATTCCGCACTAAAAAAGTCCTAAAATTATTATTATTTTTTTAAAAAAACTATTGTATATTTATTATACATAAATAAACCAACCTTCTTCTTTGATTTATATTTAAATAAGTTATTATTTCAAACAAAATATTAATTTATATTAAAAGTTTATTTAAGTATAAATTAAAAATTAAAAAATTATTAAAATACAAATTAAATGTTAAGTACTTATTTGAATACAAATTAAAAATTAAAAATTTATTTGTGTTCAAATTAAAGATAAATGTCATATTTAAAAAATAAAAGAATTTATCTAAATAAAATAGTAAAGTTTAAGAATTTTTTTATTATTTTAGTCAAAGCAATAAAGTAATAGATAAAACATAATTACTAAAATAAATAGTGAAATTGACAAATTTTTGCACTTTAATAAATTGTAAGATTTTTTGGATTATAACACTACAAATTTGTAGACCACAAAGAAAAATAATTTTATAATTTAAACAAACAATGTAAATAGTAAAAGAGTTAGTATTTGATATTGTGTCATTATAAATTTTTATTTACACAATTTGAATTAAAAGATTGATACATGTACCTTTTTTTAATTAATAAAATAAAATAAAAATAGTTTTCATAAGAAAATTTTATAATGTAAAAATATTAATAGATAAAATATTTTAAAATTTAAAATGAAATGTAATTTATGATAGTAATGATACTATGGGTCTATTTGGATGAACGATGAGATTAATTTCAATAAAATTAAAAAATTGGTAACAATGAAATTAATTACTATAATTATGAAATTAAAATAAATGATAATATAAATGTTTTGATATAAAAGCAATAGTAACAGTTAAGTGAAATATAAATTTTAAAAAATACCATTAAATACATTAGATTAAATTTTTTATATATAATAAATTTTAAATTATTTATTATTTGCTAATTTATCTAATAAATAGTTAAAATTACTAAAAATATAATATATTATTTATTTATGCATTTATTCGATTTTTAGTTATTTGTTTATTAATTATTTTATAATATATAATTATAAAAAAATATTTATTATATTTAATTAATAAACCTATTTAAAAATTTTAAATAAAATATAATAAAATAATAAAAGGCTAAGTCACAAGGATATTGTGTCCCTTCGTTATACTTTTTAGGGTAAAAAAGAAAAAAAAATAGTAAAGCAAGGATACTAAATTTAATAGTAATACTTATATATAAACTAGAAAAATGCTGAGTATTGCTGTGAGTAAAAATTATTTGTTTATCATTTCTATTCACTATTAAATTTTTTATAAAATTTATCTAATTAAAAAAATAAATAATAAATAAATGAAAATGATATGCGAATATTTTAATTGATCTTTTTTTTTCATAAAATATATCTAATAAAAAAATAAATACAAAATAAAAAATGAAAAAAAAAACTCACAACTCAACATTGACACCTCATATTGATTTTAAAATATTAATTTATTTAATTAAGATAGAAATAACTTTATTAGTACAAAACATATATAATGTATAAATTAAATAAATAATAAAATATATTTTTATATATACTTTGAAATAAATAAGGGTAAAACATTATAAATACACTTTTGATCCGAACTTTTTTTTAAATAACTCGACTTGTTTCAAGTTAATTCTTATTAAAAATAAAAAAAATGAAATAACTTTCTTAATCAATAATATCACATGAGTCTCACATTACAAATATTAAATATTAAAAAAAATAAATATTAAAAAAACAGGAAAAAGTAAATTTGAAAAATGATAAAAGAATAACTTAACAAATTGTATATCTTTGATATCAAGTTTGCGAAATAAAAAAATTTAAAATCTTAAAAAAATTTATTTAATATATAAAAATTAAAAATAATTACAAAAGAGAAAAAATGCAACACCTTAAGAAAGATTTTTAAACTAAAAAAAGAATTTAAAATCAAATAAATTATTTATTATATATAAAAAATATATAAATTCACAGCATACCCTTAATATTAAATGTGTGTCACACAAAAAAATACGTATTAAAAAATTTTAAAAAGTAAATCTAAAAATAAAAAATTTTAGAATAATGTGGATCCTACCTAAAAAATAAAATTTTTAAAAATATTTATTAAATATTAAAAAAATAAAATAAAAAAATAGAAACAAACAAGTGTCACGTAGCACAATTTAAAGAACGTACATAGAAAAATAAAAAATTAAAATTTTTTAAAAGAATAAGAGAAATGAAAGCCACCGTATGACACCGGGATTAAGTTTCGTGAAGGAATAAAATTTATTTAAAGGCTATATTAAAAAAAAAAAAAAACTTGGTAGAATGGATCCTAAAACAATTGGAAAAATCATGGCAAAAAAAGTAAAAAATATGAAAATAAAATAAAATAAACTTAAAATGCAAAAAAATAAAAAAATAATAATAAATAAATTATTGCACGTGACACTATGCAGTGAAGGGGAGGGTGCCGTATATTAGTAATTTCAAATGTACAAATGGATTTCGATATAAGGTCGCTAGGGTTAGGGTTTTTACAAAGTGAATGTTGGGTGGGCCGCCTAAGAGAGGAAGCAGAGAGTAAAGAGAAGATGAAGACCATACTCTCCTCGGAGACAATGGACATCCCCGATGGGGTTAATATCAAAGTGAAGGCCAAGATGATCGAGGTTGAGGGCCCCAGGGGTAAGCTCACCCGCAACTTTAAGCACCTCAACCTTGACTTCCATCTCATCAAGGACGAGGAGACTGGCAAGCGCAAGCTCAGGATTGAGGCTTGGTTTGGCTCCAGGAAGACCAGCGCCGCCATCCGTACTGCTCTCAGCCACGTTGAGAATCTCATCACCGGCGTCACAAAGGGATACCGTTACAAGATGAGGTTCGTCTACGCTCACTTTCCAATCAACGCCTCCATCACTAATGGCAGCAAGTCCATTGAGATCCGTAACTTCCTTGGCGAGAAGAAGGTCTCCTATTTCTCTCTCTCTCCCTCTCTCTTTCCCTTCCCTTTTTAAATATATTTTAATGCATATATTTATATTGAACCCGATTCTGATTGTTACCGTTATTTTATTTCTTTTATTTATTTATTTAAGGTAAGCATTTGTTTGTTTTTCTACGTTATGCATCTTTGTTCCGAATGCCAACACCCCTAATCGAAGCTTAAAATTCTTACATGTTCTTGACCTGTTATTTATTTACTGATGTATTGAAATGGGCAGCCCTTGCTTTTACTTTTTAAACCAAATTGTTCCTGTTCAAGGGTTTAAGGAACCAAATGTGAACCATTTTTAGACTTGAATTGCCATACTATTATTGTTTAAGAATTCGAGATTTTATTTTATTTTATTTTATTTCTATGACATATTAATATGGCTTGTTCTTCTTTTTTTGGCGTACATCAGGTTCGGAAAGTGGATATGTTGGAAGGGGTTTCTATTGTTCGATCTGAAAAAGTTAAGGATGAGATCATTTTGGATGGTAATGATATTGAACTTGTGTCACGATCCGCAGCTTTGATAAACCAGGTATTCTCTCCTTATTTAGGATTATTAAACACTCAGTAGACACATTACACAAATATTTCGTATTTGTCCATGTTTTATATATAGCTTTCAACTTTGCTTTTATAATCCGACTCTCTGACCTTCATTTTGAACAGAAATGCCATGTGAAGAACAAGGATATTAGAAAGTTCCTTGATGGTATCTATGTTAGCGAGAAGGGCAGGGTCGTTGAAGATGAATGATTGTTATCTCTTGAGTTGTAGTTATAGTGGTATTTTATTTTTCTGTCATATTATTATCTTGGGACCTTGGTTTTGTTGTCTTTCCCCTCTCCCTGGATTTCAGCTGCTGAATACAGGATCTTATTGCCATTTTAAGTGTTGTGTTGAAAATTTTGAATATCTGTTTGATCTTTAGTGCTCTAATTATATTTTGTTGCCGTTTAAAGTGTTGTGTTGGTTTATAGAATTCTTCCTCAACAAATTTCATTTTCTGCAATTTGCTTAAGTGCCAACTCTTTTAGAGTTTGAATTCTGCAGACTCTGACATACAGATTTTTGAAATTGAATCGATTTCACAGTATGAGGTTGTCAGAATCTAATGTACGGTCAATGCAGTTTAGCTGCGACAGATGCTACTGGTAAATTCATCATATTCTTGGTTCATTGTTATTGACTTCAATTTATTTTGTATATAAGGAGTCCACTTTCATTTTTTCCGCCTCTGCGATTACTGTCTGATAACAGTGGTTCCAGATACTTGTTTGCTCTGTTGGTCAGTTCTCTGTAGTTGCTAGTTTTTATTTGTTCAACCAGGCTCCAGCTGGTTGACGAACTCCTATTTCATCTTACTAATTTTCGAGAGACGGTAGTTAGAGTGAAAATTGAGCTGAAACTTGAAATGGGTGATGGTGAGTGCTTGAGCTGCAATAGGACAATTCTTAGGTTGAGAATTAGGAAATGAATAAATTCCAGTACCGTAAGCAACTCTGGCACTGCAATGGCCAGAATAATAGAGTTCTATTTCTTTAACTTCGACAATGGTTTCTAAGCGTCTAGTTCAAACACATTTAAGAATGAAGTGTGCTGAAGTTTGTTCTCTTGCCTGGTGGTAACTGGTAAGGCAGGACGGATCATCTCTACCTTCTTTTTTTTTTTTTTAACCTTTATTGAGTGTTTTCCATTGTCGTGTTTCTTTTTTTCCTCTTGCTAGATTGATTCTAATCCTTTACAACATTTTCAGTTTGATATCTATACCCAGTAAAAATCAATCCGTATTTGCAAGCACAATAACGAAAATAACAGTGAAATTTTAACCAGTTAACAATTTAGATTGATATTTTACATTTAAAAAAAAATACAAGAATTAAATTTGTTCAAATTATTATATAAAAATTAAATTTTAATCTTTGTACGAGTGTATAGATAGTCCCATAATTTGACCTTCAAAATAAAGCTCTAGTGAAATGTTGATTAGTCTTTCCTGCTGGCTCAGTACGTCTTTGGCAATTTTTCAGCTGTCATCATTTTGGGTCTCTGGTCTCTACATTGTACTTTGTGACTGGAAATGGGAAGGATAAAAACTAACTCGATGGTGGTAGTAGAATAACGGAGATTTCTGAGAATTACTGCAATTAAACAACCGGCGATAAATTAAGTGAAATGCTGAGAGAAATTAAATTTGCTCTTGCTAAAATCTTTGGTCGTTAAGACATGAAATAGCCAGTTGCTCCGATGTGCTGCCACTAATGCCATCATTGACACAAACAAGAATGTGGACATACGCTGTGAATAAACAAAGATTTCAATAGATATTCTTACGTCTCAATCGAACCCATTCTGAGTAACACTCTTCTTTTCACTGACAGTTCACTTATTTCAACTTAATTATTGACCTAGGTTTTTTCACACGACACAATAAAAGCTCCAAGGGATTAGTACATTCCCACCATCCATCTAAGAATGATGCTAATCACAATACATGTGCTTTCACCATATGTGCTGGACTTATAAGCCTGTGTTGCAGAAGATAAATTCATTTTTGCTGCCATAATCTCATTTCAGGGTGTTCTCGATGTCAATCACAAAGCGGTACTTAACATCCCTCTTTATTAGCCTCTCAAGAGCTTCATTGGCGTATTGAATTGGAATTACCTCTATCTGTGGGTAAATTTTATGAGCAGAACAAAACTCTATCATTTCTTGAGTCACTTTTGTACCCCCCGTTATGCTTCCTGAGACTGTTCTCATACCTGCCAAATGGTTGAGTCAAGCATTTAAGTTTACACTGCTCAAGTTAGAATAAAGACTGCAACACAAATAGTGTTACATACCCAGATTAAGGCTTGCAGGACTAAATTTGACTTCACTTGGGAACCCAACGAGGACATAAACACCAGCAATTTTCAGGAGTGACATGTAGGGATCAAACGGATGATCACCAGATGCGGTGTCAACTATAAAGTCCAATGATTTTGATAGGCCCTGCACCCAAAATATCAGCTCCAGAATGGTCAAAGATTCAAATGATTATAAAATATGAGCTTCTATGATGCTGACACTCCTTAGTCTTTACCTTCATCTGCTCTTGGTCAGAGGAGACAACAAATTTGTCTGCACCAAGCAGATTCAGAGCCTCCTCTTTCTTAGATATGCTTGTGCTAAAAACTGTTACACACAACCCGAAAGCCTTCCCAAACTTCACTGCCATGTGACCAAGACCACCGAGCCCAATCACTCCCAAAGATTTGCCAGGTTGGTTCATGTTATGGCGTATCATTGGTGTATAAACAGTGATTCCAGCACAAAGCAAAGGTGCTGCTGAAGCCAAAGGATAGTTGTTTGGTATTCTGAAACAGTACCTGTTGATTCAACACCAAAGCTGAAATTTTATCTTTGGTAGATATTTGCTATGGCTATGAAACATTATGCAAAACAAGTAAACAAATCGCAGAAAAAGTTAATTAACTCTAGAAACAGAAATATCAAATTGTTATAAACTATTAAATCCATGCATTTGTTTTATAGCATCTTTTACTTGACAAATATTAGATGATTAAACAGCTTCATGCCAGAAGAAAAGGAGTCATCAAAGAAAGAAAAAAAAATGAAAATTCAGCTTTCGTGAATTGGCAAATCTAAATGGATAATCTAATAACCTCCTTTAAGAAACTAAAAAACAAATTAAGTAAAATAAAACAAGAATTACAGCCACATAGTTTTGCATCATGAAATGCTTGCCTTTCAGGGACAACAATATAGCTAGAATATCCGCCTTTTGTGACCGTTCCATCCTCATCAATGCCATTAAAAGTGAAAACCGTCCCTTTTACACAATGAACTTCAACACCATCGTTACAATACTCACAATCTCTGCATGAGTTCACATAAGTTCCCACTCCGACTGGATCACCAACCTTGAAGCGTTGAACATTGGACCCGACCTCCTTCACAATACCAGCAATCTCATGCCTGTTATGGAAGCAATTATAATAGCCACATCAGCTTAAGATCAAGTTTAGGAACCATTCATAATTCTCAATCAAAAATCATACCCGGGCACCAAAGGATACATTGAATCTCCCAGTATATTCCTAGACCAAATGACATCAGCATAACAAATTCCACAGTGAGTAATTTTTATGGAAACATCGTCACTTCGAAGAGGCCTGAATACAGTTTACCAGACAAAAGAACAAAAGTGATCAAAGTAATGCAATTGAAAGATCATCAAGTTATGTGTGAAGCCAAGTTTCTTTATCAGATGTTCACCCTCTAAGCCAATGTCAACAAAAGATAATGAAAATTACTGCCTAAACAAACAATAGTTAGGCCAAGAACATGAACTTGGCATAAAGTTCAACGATTTTTAATAATCCAATGAATGAAAGGTGCTCTAAGAAACAATCCCTTTATTGCTATGTTCTGCAAAATGGCAATAACTTAAAATGTGTCAGTTGAAAGGAAAAAAGAATCGATCCAATGCACCTGCGACTGAATTTGTAGGGTGATAGAACTCCAGATGGATCTCTGGCAGCCCACCCAAGGCAATTCTCGGTTTTGGTCTGAGAATCCATGGTTAACTAACCCACCAATACAGCAATTCAGAGTCAGTTTTCTTAATGTCAATCAAATTTAAGAAAAAAAAAAAAAGAGTACAGATAACAGAATATAGTGTATCGACCACCATCTGATCAGTATTAGACAAAATTTCAGAAAAAAAAAAATTGTCTTATATGTTCTCCATCATAACCCAAATCCTAGATTCCAGTCTATGGCATCCAACTGTCATATTGAAGTTTTTTTGGGAGGAGACAATCAGAAAGGTTTGAGTGATGGGATTGAGAAAATGAACTTCATGGTTTCGTTCAGCAGTTAATGCTTCGTGTGGGATTCTGCGTTGTACGGTAATAAGTAAATTTTCAAAGAAATGCGACAAGAAAAAGCTTACCATAGATCGACAAAAGAGACAAACTGCTACTCAGTTCTATCTGCGCTCTGTTTCCTCATCCCCAAAACCACAGCCCTTTTAACACTTGTTGTAAAGCCTACCACTCTCCTTGGCGCATGCAAATCTCTAACGTCACCTCTTACGAATGCATAAGCTTGTTACATTTTCATTTTTGGGGGAATTAGAAGTACCGTCAAATAAGAAGTTTTATATTTTGATAGAAAAAATTAACAAAATTATCAAATAAAAAATTAATACAATTTTTTAATGTCATCAACGAAATTAAAATTGTGATTCATATTCCTTTAGTATATATTTAAAAAATAAAAAATAAATTTAAAAAATAAAAAATAAATTATTATTTTAATTTTATTTTTGAATTAAAAATTTCACTATTAAATAATTTCTCATATAATAAAAATAATTTTCTGTGTCAATAAATTAAAATTTTGCTATTTCCCATCAAGTAATAATTTCTTTCTATGACAGTGATTCATAAAAAAATTTGATTGATTTAGTTTTCAATATATTTTGTAAATTTTAATTAATAAAATTTTAATATAATAGAGATTAAAATTGAAAAAAATTGATCAAAACAAAGTTAATATGTGACAAATTTTATGCATGGAATATTTAGTTTTTAACAAATGTAATTTTACCTTTTAATTCGATTTAAACTTGATTAAAAGTTTTAAATTTGATAAAATATTTTGCTATTTTCTCATGGAGTAGAGAAATATCTTTTATTAATACTTTTGACTATTTTTAAATCAAATTAAGAATTATATTAGTTAAAATATGAGTGATAAATTTAATTAATCACTTTAAGTAAAATAATGAACTTATATTTTATCCCTAAATCTTAATCAAAGGATTAATTAATAGTTGTATAATTCATTACTTTTTTTTTAAGTACAAAGGAAGCAAAGACCTAAAAGAAATTAGAAAAAGCATCCTCATTTTTTCCATCCCAATATCAAATGGTAATAGTATAAAATCTTCAGTAGAGGAAAAGCAAGCTCGGTTGCCAGTTTAAACCCTGAATGCATAAACATTAACCAGGTATGCAAAGCTTATCATCTTTCAGTCGATCAGAACAGATTAAAAGTCAGCACAGTTGTATTCAAAAGATTCTACAGAAAAAGCCTAAAAATAGGTAAACAACAGAGAAGACATGATAGAAGCATTGAGCCAAAAAGGAAGACTCAAATACTAAGGGATCTTGTATAGCAATAAAATTGATTGCAGGCAAAGAACCAGGATACATCTTATTTTTTAGTTTTCTTCTTCCCCTTAGTGGAAGGCTTCTTGGTTTGAAGTTCAAGCTGTGGAGGTCCTTTTAATAGGTCAGTTTGAGGTTCTTCAGGCAGGGTACAGTGCAAAAATTTCTTGCTGGAACCAACTTGGTTGCAGAACAACTTTAACATTTGTCTCCCCCTCATCCATTTGAGCATTATCTTCATGTGTGTTTTGCTGTGTAATCCACCAATACCAGCTTCCTGTCATTAGAATAAAAAGCATCCAAATTAGAAACAAGAAGCTTGTACAGAAAATAAGAATAGCCTTCTATTCTATCCTTATTAAACGTTTTGAAAAGCCAAACAATAAATGCAAAGCAGAATCTTGGTAAACCAGCAAGATACATGTCTCAAGCAGAAAAATAAATAGAGCATAATATCCAAATGAACATAACTACACAAGTTTTATCGTATTATGCTACAGGTCTAATCGTCAAGGTGGTGAAGATTCTACTGTCTTCCTAGGAATTGCAAAGCACATATACTAACCCTTTTTCCACGTGTTTACTTGAAGATATTGACCATAACTTGTTCCCTGCATAACCCTCATGCCTAAAGTTGCAGACAGACATAACTCATGTGATCAAAAGGAAAGGAAGAACTCGACACATCATCAGAAATTTGCAAGATTAAAACGGACAGAATCAAAACAGAGCAAAAGAAATTACAACATTATCTGCATAGTTGGTATAAAAATACTAAGACAATCATTCTAATTCATCAGAAACGAAATGCAACTAACTGGCAAAGAGATACTGACAAAATGAATGCAACCGAGTCATGATAATCAATTATCAACAAATTAATATGTGTGAGTTAACTTCTTTTATTTCAGAATCCTCTGGAATTATAGGCATGCAATTCATGGATAATTTTGACATATCAATTGATAAAATGACAATAAAAATCAGTTTTTAAGTTCACAAATGAACTGACAAGAAAATTCTCTATCCACAACGGCATGATGAAATGGAAGGGAAAAGTAAAGCTTTCTAAGGCTAATAAACTTAAGTATTCAGAACTCAATCAAAAGGAAGAAATGATGCAAATTAATGAAGGCGATGGGCATTTTTGAAATGATAATCAAGAAAATACAGTCAATAATAAAATTTACCAAAAAAAAAAAAAAGAAGGGAAGAAAGAAAGAGGACCTTGGCGTGGATCCAAGTGTTGGGAATGGTGAGAGGACCGTGTTGCTTGATGAGATCGTAAAGGGAACTGGCGATGCAATTAGCTTCTGGAATGGGTACCTTTGGGTTCATCTTCCTCACATTCACTGCCCTACTCCTCGACATGTACCGAACCAACAAATTCCCAACGCCACCGTTCCCACCCTTTATGCTGTTCTTCACCATCCCTGTTAACCACATCTTCCTTTTGTTTCTGATTACTCCACTTTTTTCAATGCTTATTTCTTCAATGATTCTTCTCCGCCAAAGCTTTGAGGTTCTTCGGATTTCAGGGTTTTAAGAAACCCAGGTCGACCACGTTCGTCACTTGGACCATTGGGCTGAAGTTTATGTGCCTTTTAGGTAACTGAAATGGGCCTCCCTTCCCTACCCAATAAGCATGGAGTCAAGTAAATGACTGGTGAGGTGAAGAATGAAATGGCCCTTCCTGTCTTTCCGTCCATTTATTCTTTTACATTTTCTTTGTACCTTTTCTCCTTATTATTAATATCATGAAAAATGTTAATTAGTGTTTAGAGATATTGATTAAAATATTATTAAAAAATGCAATTAATAAATTATTTTTTAATTTAAAAAATAATATATTAAATACAAACAAAATTCTTAAATAATATTTTAATTATTTTTTAACCAATGCCTATAAAAACTCTTTAACATATCATATTATCATATATTTTTATCATTCTTATTTTGTTGTAAGAATTTTGTGTTAAATAATTATATTTTTAAAAATTTTAAAAATATATAAAACATGTCTCATTCTCTCTCATGATCATGAATCATAATATGTATCAATAACAATAGTTTCTTTTAAAAAATATTATCTTGATTTAAAAGTTTTTATATGTGCAATAGCAAATTTTGGAAAAAAAATGATTTTATATTTATTATTTGCTTTTCCTAACCTTTGATAACATTATTTTTGGAGGCAATGTATTTGGTACATAGAATAATATTCTATGGAGATGATTAAATAAGATAAAATAAGAAAATCAATATAATTATTAATTTTTATATTATTTATATTATGTGTGATTTGTGCAAAACTATTAGTAGGGGAGGGGTAACTTTTACCTCATGTCATATTTTGTTTACCATAGTGCACTTAATACAAATTTTTAAAGAAAGTTCCAAATGTACTTAACTTTAGATGTAAAAATGACAAACATGGAAAATAAGGCATATAAAACCAACAAATTTATATTATGAGATAATGGAAATTTAATCATTTAATTTGTTTTATAATTGTGTGATTCAAAATTCTATAAAAGCTGTATGGATACTTTTGGATGTTTCTTGTTTGGGACGGGGATGCTTAAAAAAAAATTTATGCGTTAAAAAACAAATAGAGGTATGAAAAAGAAGAAGAAGCAATATTAAAATAAGAAAAAGAAGATGGTAAAAAATAATAATAATAATAAGAAACAAAAAATATGTGAAAACCCAAAAAAAAAAAAGCAAAAAAGCAGCGGTCCACTTGCCTCTGCGATAAAGCCGATCCTGCAGTATCCACATGGCACGTATCTTTACTTTTACATTTTTTTTTCCTGTTTTCCTCTTTTATCCTTCCCTTGGGATTGAAGAAAAAGAGACCACTGTCCGTCTCTACTCTCCAAGAATCTCCTCCTTGTTCTTCGCATTTCGTCTGAATTTCCCCATCAGCTTCATCTCGTTTCCACTATTAGGTTTGCTTCTTTCCCTTTTTAATTTTTTTTTATTATTAGTATTACTTATTCGACCCATCTGCTATCTTTGCCATCACTTTTTTTTTTTTGACGATTTAAACTCTGCCCAAGTTTTTGATAATATTTTACTTTTATTAGTTTTGGTTATTCAGGTAAACTTGTTCTTCTTTGCCTCCTAGCTGTTTTCCCTGCATCCATTTCGTTAGATGTTGTATTGTTTTTACTCTTTCAATTTCCAATTCCATCAACTTTTTTTTTTTAAAAAAATTTTGCATGTTCCTTGATTGTGGGTTGCGTGCGATTCTGCTTTTGATTGATATCTGCGTTTAGGGTCACTTACCGTTCAATTTCTTGCAGCTTTTGCTCTTGTTCAAACTCAAGAGCATGTCAAAAAAAAAAAAAAAACTTTTATTTTGTAAAGTTAGTGACTATTTTAACTGGTTTGATCATAGCCGTCTGTTTTTCTGACATCGATCTGCTTGAAAAACTTATTATTGGGTTTTGATGATCGGGTCTTTTCTTACTAGCAACAGTAACTATTGGTGACTGAAACTAACCAGTTGGATCTGTAACTAGATGGTGTCTGAATTAACAACTGATGAAGCTTAGTTAAAGCATAAACTTCTGGCTATACGCAATTTACATTTTCCTTGATTATATGTTTTATTTTTCGACAAAAAAAAGTGTTAACAAATGGACTCTGGCAGTGTTAAATAATTTGACTAGGCTTATTATATTCATCTTGTAGCATCAGCTGTCTAGATGTGCTCACTCACCTACATGTCATTGTTCAAGATGTCATATAAACAAGTATGTTCTGTTTGTGAAGTTTTAGAAAGTTTCTTTGTTCCGAAAGACCAGAATACTTGTGTACCCATTTGTTGACTAATTGAGGGACTCCAGTATTCTTCAAATGGATAATCTGTTATGCTCCATTATCAGGTCAATCTTAAGTATGGCAGATACTGAAGACATTCAGCCTCTTGTTGTCGATAATGGGACTGGAATGGTTAAGGTGAGAAAAATCTGTTATTTATTTTCTGGTCTCTGTGTTTTTCACTTTAAGGCAGTAAAGATTTAATAACCCTCACATATTTCCTCAAACAGGCTGGTTTTGCTGGAGACGATGCTCCTAGGGCTGTCTTCCCTAGTATTGTTGGGCGGCCTAGGCACACAGGTGTCATGGTGGGGATGGGACAGAAAGATGCCTATGTGGGGGATGAGGCTCAGTCCAAAAGAGGTATTCTCACATTGAAATACCCAATTGAACATGGTATCGTTAGCAATTGGGATGACATGGAAAAGATCTGGCATCACACTTTCTACAATGAGCTTCGTGTTGCTCCTGAAGAACATCCTGTGCTCCTTACTGAGGCTCCTCTCAATCCAAAGGCCAACAGGGAGAAAATGACACAGATAATGTTTGAGACATTTAACGTTCCTGCCATGTATGTTGCAATCCAGGCAGTTCTATCCCTTTATGCTAGTGGGCGTACTACAGGTTAGTAGCAGTGTATGATGACTTACTTGAGACAACATGATGCTCCCTCAAAGTTGAATGCCAATTTGTTGACAATGTTGTTATTTCCAGGTATTGTGCTGGATTCTGGTGATGGAGTCAGTCACACGGTTCCCATCTATGAAGGTTATGCACTTCCGCATGCCATCCTCAGGCTTGACCTTGCTGGACGAGATTTAACAGATGCCTTGATGAAGATCCTGACAGAGAGGGGGTACTCATTCACCACAACTGCTGAACGAGAAATTGTACGTGACATCAAGGAAAAACTTGCTTATGTAGCACTTGACTTTGAGCAGGAGCTTGAAACTGCAAAAACCAGCTCATCAATTGAGAAAAGTTATGAGCTACCTGATGGTCAGGTAATAACCATTGGAGCAGAGCGTTTCCGTTGTCCTGAGGTCTTATTTCAACCATCACTCATTGGAATGGAAGCTCCTGGAATTCACGAGACCACCTATAACTCAATCATGAAATGTGATGTTGATATTAGAAAGGACTTGTATGGTAACATAGTGCTTAGCGGTGGGTCCACCATGTTTCCTGGTATTGCTGATAGAATGAGCAAGGAAATCACAGCCCTTGCACCAAGTAGCATGAAGATTAAGGTGGTAGCACCCCCAGAGAGAAAGTACAGTGTCTGGATTGGTGGTTCTATTTTGGCTTCTCTTAGTACATTCCAGCAGGTATGAAGTATATTATATTGCTTTCACAAGGTTGTACTACCTTTAATTCTTTTATCTGCTGTATTAGAATACTGACTTTAATTCTCGACTAATGTAAAAGGCTGAAGATTTGATGTTGACAGAAGAGTGTCACCTTGCACTGTTAAATAAAGAAAGAAACCAAAGAAAGACTTGACTGAAACTTGAAAGCCTTTGCTAGAAAGAACAGATTTAAATTAGAAAATGAAGTCAGTGGATCTTCTTAATGTGCTTTCCATCTTACATTGAATGCTTTGAGTTCTGTTGCATTTTTCATAGATGAAGTTGTACTTATTTATACTTTTGGTTATTCAGAGTTCAGACAATGTTATGCTATCAATTAACTCTAAATGTTGTGTTTTGTTTGCATTGAATGTAGATGTGGATATCAAAGGCAGAATATGACGAATCAGGGCCTTCAATTGTTCACAGGAAGTGCTTCTAGATATGTGCTTGTGTTCCTTTGCTGTTTCCTTCTGCATTTTGTGGTTTTGGATTTTCTGATTTGGTGATGGTCGGTTTGGCTTGCCTTTCATTTTGTTTTATTTTTTTTTTATTTTTATCCTAAGTGTATGTATGAGACATGCTTAGTTGATATGTATGATTATATGCTAGATTGTTTTGCATTGTATCGTATAATGGTAGACTTGGTCTCATTAATAATGTAATATGACTATTTTCTTCTTTCCTTTTGACTGTATTGTATCTTAACCAGCTGAAAGTTTAGAAGTTTAATGCTAGAAAAGCTTGTAACTTCCGGTATAGATCATTTGGCATCGAATGACCCCTGCTTTTCAAGAATCTTGGATACAGTTGTGTAGTGGATCAGTATCTACTTCCCTGCTCTTATCTACATCAACTTTTTATATCTGGCCGGAAAGTTAAAAAGTTGCGTGGCATTGATGATTGTTTGCACTACCTGAAGCAGCGGTGGGCAGTGTTGAGATTAAGGTTAGAACTTCCAAAATAAATTAAGAAAAAAGTTTTGTTTTCTCATAGAGATTTTATTTTAATCAAAGAACTGTTTTAAAAATAGCCTTATGGCTTGCACGCAACTTGTGGATTCATGGGAAATTTGAATTGGTCAATGCTCCCATGTAGAAATACTCGTAAAATGCCTAGTGGAAGGCACAATTTGAGGATCCTAAATTCTAGAAGGGAAATGGTAAAGAGTCCAATTAGAAGGCCCAACTAATCGATTCAACTAGAATTGGAAGTCCAACTGTTTGGTTCAACAGTCTTCAAGTACGGCAAAGAATCTTTATTACTGGAAGTTGAATACTGGCGGCAGAGGCAATGCTTCAAAGGAAAAAGAAAACTCCCAAGGTTGTCCCATCAGCCAAAAAGATAAAAGGAATACCGGAGACGGAGAATCTGTTGAATAATTGTCGGGCGTCAGTCAGAAACTCATAATGACTAGAAGCCCCGAGGTTGAATATGCGATAATTTACCAGAAAAGCAACAAGAAGCCGCTACAACATGTTTAGTAAGTTATTGGTTGTTAAGATGTCGCAGTTCTTATTGTACCTATTCAACGGAAACCGGTTTAATTTTAACAGATCTCTGTTTCTCTCCGGGTCCTCTTATTATTATTTTATTTTTTAAAATTCAGTTTTTCCGTTTAAGTGTATTTGATGAGCGGTGATATTGATGACAGTGAGATTAGCCAATATAAAAAGTTACTTGAAATGTAAGAAAGGTTTTGAGTATGTTAAATACAGAGGTGTACTGGTTGAAGACAAAATAAGTAACATATACATACGCTATGGAGAAGAGCAACCAAAGCTGCTACAGTTCTAAGGTTCCCTCTCGGAAATCACTGGTTGGGAACTGTTGTCAACGCATTGGTGGTTAGTTTCTTCTTGGGATGGAGATGGAGGAAAGCAACTACAGCGGCAAGTGGGACAAGAGGAATGGGAAGACAACCACTGCTGTATGCATTGTACATGGAAACCATGCTTACAGTTTGCCAGAACTTGAATTCCCTCTCCATCCACGAATTCAGACAAGCAAATAGCACATTCAGCCTCTGCTCCTGCCAGCTTCACCCCGGTTGAGTAAACCAGTATTGGAGCTGCCACCATGTTAGCTGCAGCTGCCTCTGAGACAGGCTTTCTCTGCTCAAGTTCTTGCTGCGTTTGGGGAAGGTGGTTGTTGTTGCGGGAATAGCGTGGGCGGCGCCTACCATCGCCACGTAGGCAGCAGCGAATGGCAGCGTTAAGAGCCAGAGAGCATATTAGAGCACAGAAGAGAATGATTAAGACCATGCCCACCTTAGCTTCAAAGTCATTTGAGTTGGAGTAAGGCCGCCACCTGCAAGTCGGGGGGTTACACGTTGAAGTTGAAGGGGAAGACATTTGTGGTTCCCGGGAAGAAAGCGGTGGGGACATGTGGATGAGGAGCTGAGCGATTGCCTCTGGCGGTGGTCGCATTTGGTTTTCCTAGTATTTTGGTTTTCCTTGTTATCTGCAATGTTGCCGGTTTGGGGTTTTACGGGGTTATGGCTTCCGAAGAAAGGGGAGAATGTTATTGGAATTTCTGGGTTTTGGCTTCTGAGAGGGAGAGGGGGATTGCGTGTGAGTAGAAACGAGGATGTTTATAGGCATATTTTAGTAGGCATCAAGAAATGCATACGTGCATTTGAGGTTAAATGCTGTTAACCTTGTGGGGTCTTACAGCACGTGTGTCCTTTTTCATTTGAGGTTAAATTCTGTTAACCTTGGGGGGACTTAAAAGCATGTATGTCCTTTTTCATCTCAACTTTTTTCTCTTGTACAGTGTGAAAAAAAGCCTTTAATTAATGTTTTTTAATTTCTTGGACTTTTTCAACGTCCTTTCTCCCCTAATTATATTCCAGCTTTTTTCAATTCTCCATGATCACCTAAACAGTGCAATAATCGTTGTTAAAGGAACCTTTTTATAATGCCAGGTCCCTGAAGCTTTTTCTGTAAAATTAAATCATGCCCGGCCCCTTCTATATTTTCTTTGGCATATTTTTTAATAAAATATTCTACACTCTTGCTGTCTTGCTTTCTGTACTGTTATGTGGCGATGGGCTCCATATATATTGTGCTTGAATCTCTCTTTCAATCATAGAGATGAGCACTTACAACAATCAAAACAAAAACGTCGCTAATGCAAGTTCCACATATTTGCTTTTTTGATAGGCCTTGACGAAGAGGTCACAATCCAACAGCCGAATAAGATATGAGAGACATAAATGTTTATAATGTCAGAAGTAATAGTCTGAAATGAAATGCAATCACTTATCCAAAGGAAAAAAAAGGCTCATGGACGACTGTGTTTCTTTTTCTTTTGCCTGATGAAGGCAGTGTTTGAGGTAAAGATAGGTTGAGAGGTAAAAGTTGTTAGGATAAGTTTGCAACACCTTTGAACACAGGGTAGACCCCAGAGAAGGCCTACAAGCTTTAAGAAGAGAGTCCTGGACAAGATAAGTTGATAAGGTTTTCAAAACCAAAGTGAACGAAGATGCTGATTGGTGTTTTTTGGTCTTATTAGCGGAGAGTGAGAGAAGGGTGTCTCAAAGATTTTAGAGATAGACCCTTTATTAAGACCACGTAGACAGTAACATAATTCCCTGAAGTTGTTCCAGGAAACGGACAGAGTTATGGTTTTGTGGCATAGAGCGGAGAGTGAGAGACTTGAGAGTCAGGGAAATAAGCTAAGGTCCACATGAGTAAATGAATATCAACATGGCATGGCCTGGCATTATGGCAGGACGCTGGCTTTCAGAAAAATACAATCCACAGATGTCATTGTGGACTGACCCACCAGGCCCACCAGCGCCAGGTTTACCATAAACTTCTTCTGAAATCAAGATGCGTGCGTAAAACACAAAACAAGATATTAAAATCAGGAAAACAGGGATGCGTTGCCTATTCTCCTTTGCCTTCAGGCAAATGCACAATAGCACATCGAATTGTAATGAGTAATGAAAACCTTTTACCCACCTCCATCCTCGCATCTAATGCGTTAGGTGGAGGTTGCTTTCTTCAGAGTACAATGATTTAGACCATTTAGTCATTTTCCTTACTTTTCTGCCCAGCTAAAAATGAAAAAAAAAAAAAACAGTACTAGTTTTCTAGTTGATCTTGCTTGAGTTTTTTCCCCGTTAATATAGCAAAAGAAAAGAATAGACTGCCCACAGAACTACATCGGTCGCCCCGTACTGTTAAAGTCAAGCCAATAGTACTTTTGAAGGTCTCGATCAGACAGAAGCCTTAAAAGCTTAAACAAATGTTCGTTGCCTGCTCCAGATGCCAGGATACTCAAATTTCAAACATGGTTAGTTAATTATTGGAAGGGGCTCAAGCTGCCGAAGAATATTCCTTGATTGCAAAACGAAAAAACCTTGAGAATATACGTTTCTTTTCGCGTTAACTGTAATGGGATTCGATTTGGAGTTGTAGACCAAAAGCTATGCGAAGTTGATGAGAAAGTTAAAGAAGTAAAAACACAGCTTGAAGAAGCAGCTATAGGTTTTAAACATTTTGTAATTATCATTCAATTCGCTCCGCACTTTTGATTTTTTTCAATTAGATTTCAATTGGCTCAATGGCTGTGGTTACCTTGCTCCGCACTGGAGATCATGTCGATTGATTGAAGATGATGAGTTGTCGGGTACCGTTCAAGCTCCTACCAATATGGTTGGCTGAAAATTTCAGTTTGTTTTGGCTTTGATTAGCCTCCGTAAGGGCTAAGTATATTTGATATTATAGCTTTGTCTTGGATTTTGGATAACCGAAATAATATATGGGTACAAGAATAGATTTCTTAATTTGGCTCAAAAAAAAAAAAAGAGTAGACTTTTTAATTAAGCAATATTTCAAAATCCGTTTTAAATTTCGTGAGAGAATTGGAAATGTTCTAATACTAGTAATAATTATTAAATGATTTGGGGAAAGTTAAAATAAAAAACATATTTTTCATTGATTAATATATTGGGTGGTTCACGGTGACGTTAAAAAAATAAAAGTTTGAACTCAGCGAACATAGCATAGGGTGATTAATTAAAAAAAAAAATTGATCAAAGTTACAAATAAGACAAAGTCATGGTCTATCACACATTCCACTTGTGCACTCCGATTTGATGGGGAATTTCGCATAGCTTTTGGGTTTGTTCTTGGGCCTTTAAACTTCAGACTGTTTATAATTTTTGGGTTTTTTTTCACTTTTGACTGGGTGGGCTCCTGTCATTGCGGGCCTAACTGTTTGGGGTGAAGGAAAACTAGAGCGGAGCGGGGCAATCGATCATCGAGGAGTTTAAGGTTGGAGGATTCGATCGTTGAACGATTCCCTGGCTCTAATTCCCAAACGGAGACACCGTCAATGGCGGGATCATCATTGTCGGCGGCGGCCGTGAGGTCATGGAGAACGGCGTTTCTTACTCTGAGAGACGAAACCCTAACGAGCCCTCCTTCCATTCCTCAACTTGTCCAATCCCTAATCTTCTCTCACTCTCACTCTTCTTTCATCTCTGCCGCCCCCGATCTCCCTGCCCACGAGGTATCTTTTTCTTTCCAAAATTCCACTTGCTTTTACTCTTCCTTTTCATGCTGATGGTAAAGCTTTCAATTTTTTTTTCAGGTGACTTCCGATATATTATTTCTCATCCAACTTGTTGTCAATGCCTCCCAATTTCAACAAGATTTTATCCCCACCTTTTCCAACACTTGGCACTTGGTATTGTAATTTCAGTCACACTGGCTTTTTCTTTTCTTCTATTTATTATTTATTGTGAAGAAGTTCCTGACTGCTTCCTTATTTGCCTAGATCCATGACGTCACTCGTCGAGTTTCTCTTGATATGAATTCCTCATCTTGGGCTTTGATTCTCGAATCCTTCACCAAAATGATGGATTTTTTTCTTGCCAAAGCAACCTCCAATGCTGCTTTGTATAAACCAGTTTTGGAATGCTTAGAAACTGTCAGGTTTCTTCATTTTGCCATGCTTTTATTTTCCCTTTTGCAATTATTTTTAATGCTTGCCGAAATTCTTAAGTTGTTTATTCCCAGATATCTTGTCAGTGAAAACCAACGAAAATGCACTGTGTCAGATGATGTTCAGTTGGTAAATTTTCTTCTCCACATCATTGCATGTTCGCACGTGGATTTAATCTCCTTGTATCGTCCAAGTGGCAATCAAAAGAGTACTATTGAAAAGGGAAAGAAATTACCACGATATGGTAGTTTATGGGAGGTTCAAACTGCTGCCTTTACTATGCTTGGTGAAGTATATTCAAGGACTGGTTCTTCTTTTCAATTTGATATTTGGCAATCAACTATTCAGGTAAGTTCTCTATTTGGCTTTGATGGCATCTGTAAACGAGTAGCTAAGATTGGGTTTTATGAATTAGGTTCATAGGAAGATGATGGACTTATTAGCATCCAAGAATTTGGTTGTGGAAGACATAGTAATGTCCAGGTATGGCTCTTTCCTGCCTCCTTTGCGGTTAAGAGAAATTGAGAAAATAAAAATAGATATTGCTCTTTCAAATTTTGATAAACAAAATTTCTTGTTATGTGAAGGTTTTATGCATCACTTCTGCATTGCCTTCATTTGGTTCTTATGGATCCTAAAGGTTCTATTTCTGAACATGTAAGTAAATCATTACAGCTTAGGGCTGTAGTATTGATTTGTAAATTTTGAATTGCCTTTTTGTCTTTGCTACTTCATGAATGTAAAATGCACTTGCAGGTGTCTGGTTTTGTAGCATCCTTGCGAATGTTTTTCATTTATGGCCTTACTAGTGGACCCCAACTCATGTCTGCTGCTGTTGGTTGCAAGGAGAAGGAACTTGGTTCACTGAGTCTTAAGTTTACTTCAGAAGAGCCTAAAAGAACAAATAATTCTCTGTATAAGCCCCCGCACTTGCGCAAAAAGGATGGTTTAAATACAAGGCAGGCTAAAGCTCAGGATTCTCAGATTTCTTCTGATCATGATTCTCCTATCGTTGATGTTACATCGTCAGATTCCGATTACAGTGATAATGATGGATCACTTAAAGATATTAATAGTTCTTGTTACTCAAAGGTTAGAGTATCTGCCATTGTTTGTGTACAGGTAAAATTTAACATCATTCTATCTTCCTTGTGACTCGCTTTTGATGCTTAGGTTTTCAAGGTTTCTCCATTTATAATAGCTTAGTTCTAGGTGATTTTTGACTATTCCATATTAAATATGTGGAAAAAATTTGAAATGTGGTAAGTCTTGTTTTTGATTTAGGAATTAGTAGGAATACTTGCAATGCCATGAGGGTGATACCTAAGCCTAGGTTATACAGTATAAATGGAGTCCTTTAGAACAGAAGCGATTATATTCTAAATTGTTAAATTCACTGATTAGTCATATGAATTGGCATTAGGAATAACTATGAGTTCTACACCGATATGTCATTGAAGGATCCTTTCTTTAGGTAGCTTTTTTTTAGTTTGATTTGTTATTCTATGCATTTAGGATTTCTTATGTCAGAGTAGAATTAAGTTGGGGAGGGCATTTACCTTGAAATCGACTTAAATTGGTTTATAATGTTATTTGCGTAACATTGTTTTAAAGTAAACAAAGTACTATTTTATGCTTCTTAAATTTTTTATCAGTCCATTTTTAATTCCTTTCTCCCTATGTACAGAGCCTTTAGCATTTCTGTAAACACCTGTCATTGGGTTGGTGTTGGAACTATTCTTATCCAGCTGTTTTTGTTTTCTTGCTCAACACTTTGATCTAGATTGTCCTTTAACATATGTTGCTTCGAGTTAGTATTCTTTTTTTTCTTTTTTTTTTGCAATATTGCTTTCTGTTACTCTTGTATTAACTCAGTGTGAGGTTGATACCATCAAACCATGGAAGCTGCTTGTCTTTGTTAGTCTTTTGCTTTATGGTTTTCGTAATTTGCTCGGATGCTTGCTGGGTGACATTTCCTTTTTTGGTCATTAATGGGTAATGTACTAGTGAGTGATCATTGACACTGAATACTTCTAACCGGGGCTTCCTTGGTTGTTTGTGTTTCTGGTGAAGGATCTTTGTCAAGCTGATCCCAAGTCCTTTACAACTCAATGGACGATGCTTTTGCCAACCAATGATGTACTACAACCAAGGTAATGTGATCCACTATTATTCTTATTGAACTATTTTGTTCATGGATTCTATTTTTTATTCCTTTTGTTTGTCTGTAGAAAGTTGTCTTTGTTTTCCATTTATTTCACATTGTTGACTGCAGGAAATTTGAAGCAACTCTAATGGCAACCTTGCTATTTGATCCTTACTTAAAGGTACAATTTTTGTTGTTTGTAGAGATATATATATATATATATATATATATATATCATCTGTTTTTCTTGGCCAATTGTTTAACATCTAGGCCTCACGCTTAATTTAGTTGACAATCATTGGATTATGATGCATGGATATTTTCATTGTTATTTATGACTTTACAATGTCTAGTTGGCAGATGTTTTCCTTAACCTCAGTAATACTTCTTGCTTACATGTGAATTTTACGATGCTTAGGCTCGAATGGCGTCGGCCTCAGCTCTGGCTGTCATGATGGATGGGCCTGCTACTGTTTTTCTTCAGGTAGCGGAATACAAAGAATCTACTAAGTGTGGATCTTTTATGGCACTTTCTAGTTCACTTGGCCAGATACTAATGCAACTTCATACTGGTACTAGAAATAAACAATTTTCCTCTGCAGTTCAACTTTTTTTTTTCTTTTTTCGGACTGTGCTTGCTTTTGGTACTTTCCGTCTGTGTTTCTTGTTATTTTTTTAATATAATTACCTATGGTAGTACTATCTTTCTCTCCTTTCTGATGTAGGTATTCTGCACTTAATTCAGCATGAAACTAATAGTCGGTTGCTGGTGTTGGTATTCAAGATTCTCATGCTTTTGATATCATGCACACCGTATGAGTCTGCCTTCTCATACCCTCTCATTGTTGTTAAAATGCTTGTTTATTCCTTTTTCTTTAGCTGACAATTTGTGCCTTTTCAGTTAATGCTTTCTGTTGTTCTTATGATGCTAAACCTTGTTTTCAGACTTATCATGTGCATAGAATTTTCTATCAGATATAAGAACACTGATCTGTAGAATCTTTTTTGGAGGAAAATAAAGACAAAGGTGGTGTTTGAGAATAAAAGACAACCTATGCAGAACAGAAAGATAATGAAGAGAGATTATAAAATGACTAGATTATTCGAAGTCAGTAGTGTAACATATGAGATTGTTGAGTAGCCCTATATCAATTCATGGGTGATCTTTCCTCTGCCTTCTTCCTCTCCTTTCTTGTGTCTATTATCCCGTCCTTATCTCTCTCTCTTTTCTTTTTTCTGCTAATCTTGTGTCTATTCATGATATTCTGATAATTATCTTGGAGACTATGATAACTTCTTTCATTGTGTGCATGCAAAATGATGTATGAATATGCTTTTTTATAGTCCAATTTACTACAGGTTTTGTGTGCATGCAAAATGGTGTATAAATATGCTCTTTTATAGTCCAATTTAGTGCAGGTTTGGAATTCACTAACTGATAAAGAACAAATAAGATACTTCAATCAATTGTATTTTGTGGGTCCCCTGGGACTTTATGAAGGATTTGATTCACAAAAATATTTGAACGATGAATAAGAATCTGAGTTTCAGTCCATAACGAAAATCCAGTATGGTTTTTATTGATTGATTTTAGATGCTTAAATAGGAACTCATTTGCTGGTATTCATGCCTTCGTTAATTTCATGTGTTACCTCCTTTCATCTTTTGAGAAAAGCTTTACATATGCATACTGGATTTATTGCATTTTGTTGCTTATAATTCCACAGATATTTACGAATGCCAGGAGATCTGTTGCTGAAAGTAATTTTGTCTCTGCAAGCTAGGATTGAAGCAGGTTTTCCATTCAAAAGTGATCAGACTGGTCTGCAGGTTAGGGTTTTCTTAATTGTTTTTATTATTTTTTGCTTTACTCGACACCCCGCTTCGCATCTCTTCAACTGGTGTGGATAGGCAGCATTTAGGTATTTTTGGTTGTGCAGAAAACTATATAAAATTTTCTTTTGTTAGGTCGCTGCTATTAGTTGTTTGACAGCTGCTTTATCAGTTTCACCTTCAATCCAAGTCAAAGAAATGATTTTAGAGGAAGCGTTGACAGGTTGGCACACTTTTCATATGTTTTTACTTAATTTTATATTATTTATTTTCAGTTAGGCTTTCCCCTTTCTTTCTTTTTTTTGGTGTGGAGGGAGTCAGAGATGGATTTCAGCTTGTGAAACTAATCAAAGCATATATGCTCGTTGTTGACATTGATTTCACATGAAAGAGGTTGCTAAAGAGCATTATGCTGATTGACGATTGCTTCTACCTTTGGTAATAAAATTAAAAGCATGGAGTTGGTAACATGCTTTTATAACCTCATCTCATGCTAAGGTGAGGAGAGGGAAATTCAAGTGACTGAACACCAGAGTGAGAGTCAGAGAGAGTGAGGCATAGGAATCTACTCTATTGTTCACCTTCTTCTGTTCTTTGTGCTCAATTTTTTTTAAAAATATTTTATATTATCACTAACATATATCTTTCATAAAAGATTAGTTTTTTACCTTTGTCACTTTCCTTATTTATCCCGATCTTGCTTGCTGTCATACTAGTGTCTTTTTAATAAGTTTTTCCCTAATTCAAATTGGAACATCCATACATACATGTAAGTGTTTGAGAATAAATGGTGGTCATGCCCTGCTTCTCTCCAATTTTGTGAACCAAGACCTGCCGAATATTTCGCTTGTGAGTCATGAAAATGTTTACTGGTGCAGAAATTGCTGCACCATCTCACATGTGATTGGAGATTTTTAATTTATTACATTGCAAAACTTTCAATGCTCAATGATAAACCAGTTTTGCTTTGGCCTGTTTATCGTTGAGCATTTCTTTAATGTGAATAATTATTCAGGATATATGGGTTCCGTATCCAGTTTTGCAATGGCCCATTTGCTGTCTGAAGCTTTGAGTTGTATGCATGTATCAAAAAGTCAAAATATTGTTTTTTTTTTTTTTGGTCTCTCTTCGAGAAATTATTTGCTAATTTAACCTCGGAATTCTATTTGAAGCCTTATTCCAGGTTTTGTGGAGGCTGACAATAAGTCTGGTGTTCTTTTTACATTACTTAAACATTCTGAACGACTAAGCAACCCAACAATATGCTTTGAAGCACTACAGGTAATTCAATTGAAGCTATAAGCATCTAATATGTTGGTTAATTATGTTGAGTTGTGGTGGCTTATAAGTTATCAATGCTCCTTTGGTTGAGCATGTATCATTATGTATCCCTGATCCTTGTTTGTGCATTTTCCTCCCTTTTCTCTGATGAATACTTTATGCACTTCACAATTTGGTAACGTGTATTCTGAATTTTTGTATGATTCTGGATAAATCTTTTGTGGTTATCTTATATATGTACCTTTCATTCAATTAGACATTGATAAACTGTCTAAGCTTGAATTATCTGCTTGTTACAGCAAAGGTAGATGAAATAAAGGATGCTAAAGAGGGAATGAGATCATGTTTAAGTGTAATGAGCCACAGGATCAATAAATAATAAATGTAGTATCAGTGCAATAGAACTGATGAGCCTTATATTAAGTTGATTTTGAAGATAATGCTTGTTTGTTTTTATGTTAAATGAGCATTTCCTTCTCCGATGACAACACACAGACACAGGGAAAAATGAAGGAATTGGCATTTGATTGATTGTGATCTATATTAATTAAGCTATAGGTGGGAAAAACAGATTGATCAAGATATATATAAAAAAAAGGATATATATATTTTGTTTGGTATTGAAAAGATACTTTTCACTCTTATGATTGCGCAATCCTGTGTTTTGAATGAGAAGCATAATGATGGAGGACATTCTTGCAAATATTGGGAGAATATTTATTCGGCCTAAATTTAGAAATATTGAATTTAAACTGCTCTACGGGCTTGTTTGTTTGGTTTGTTTTATTGGATTTTGCTTGGTATCTAGGTAGGCTTTACTTCCCGTGGGCTTAATTGAAACTTGAGATTTGAGCTTATTCAATTGAGGTTTTCTTTGACTATTTTGATTTTTTTTTACCAATGAGTATTTTGATTTAAGAATACTTATTACACACAAATATGCACTGCATGGTTCAGGCCCTTCGAACTGTTTCACACAATTACCCTGACTTAATGTTAGTAAGTTGGGGACAAATTTCTGCCATTGTTCATAAAATTCTGAGAGAAGCTACTGCTGAAGTTCCAACTAAGACCTGGAAGGAACAAGCTGGAAATACTATTGTGTTTGTTGGGGAAAAAATGGTTACAGCTGCTATAAAGGTAAGTTATCCTTTGGCAATTGGTTTCTTCTTTAAATTTTATTTGTGTCTTATTGTATGTTTGTGAGTGACATTTCAGATCAGATCCTTTTGAATGTACTCTTTATAGGCATTAGTATAATTTATGTTGTGGTTCCTTTGGATTTCGTTGGTCTGGAAACTCCAGAAACACATCCTGTGCACCAAACAAATGGAAGGCAGGCAGATTGGTCTTGCTGGAGTTATTAGATATATTAGATCTTAGAGAAGTTTCATTTTTTTTATACTATATTGTGAGCTACCTATGTAATAGGTCAAGATGTTCTTTCTTCATGTGGTAGTTGTGCGTGCAAGTTTCCATTTCTGATTTAAATTCTTTTTGTTTCTCCTTGTTTGACTTGACAATTTATAACTTTTTATGCTACTTTATTCTTCAGGTTTTGGATGAATGTCTTCGTGGAATATCTGGATTTAGAGGAACTGAGGATCTTTCGGATGAAAAATTTTTGGATACCCCATTTACTTCTGATTGCGTAAGGTCAAAGAAAGTATCATCAGCCCCATCTTATGGACCACAGAGTATGGAGGATACAAAAGAACAAAATAAATGTTCATCAGGAATTGAGCAGTGGGCTGAGACAATTGAGAAGCACATGCCTCTCGTTCTAGGGCATACTTCTGCAATGGTTAGTTAGAGTCTTGTTCCCCTTCTCTTCAGATTTCCTGGACCACTGTAAGGCTTATTCAAGCTGAGTTGATGGACTTCTACTACTACTACTACTACTACTACTACTACTACTAGTATTATTATTATTATGTTTTTGTTATTTTATATGCAATTAGAGGTGGATGCATGCTCTTCTCTTTGCCTTTCTTTTTGTTTTTCCTCTGAATATCTACTTCCGATCCAATTATGTCATGGTGTAAAGGATCCTCCTAGCTTTGAATGGCTAAACAAATAGAAGATAAAACACCATAATTTTTGGTGGAAATCATTTGACCATCAAAATTCTTAACTTTCTGGCTACTCTTGGAGAAGCTTAAAAAATTATCCATTTGGTTTAATATGGATGGCCTTCAGTGCTATATGTAATAGCAATGTTTATCTGGTGAAGTTTTAACTTTTTAAACACCACAAACTTGTTTGTGAGAGCTGCAATTTTTTAGGGTTGAAGCATGCAATAAACTCTGGAGGACTAAAGAAATTTGTGGTGACCTGTCATCTTTTAAACTCCCTATTTTTTTATCCATACTCAACTATCTGGTAAAACCATGAAAATCAATTTTGGCCTCATTTGATGCCTTGCAGACATAAAGTAACTCCTGATAACTGCCATAATCTTTTTTATTTTATTCCTTATTTATATGTATTTTTGGTTGACAAATAGATGTTGAGTTGTTGATGGGCTGTATAAATTCTACTGCATGCTACTGTTATTGGTGCTAATTATTTATCCATGGAATTAATTTTCAATGAAGCTTATAAAAAATTTAGATGAAACTTAGGGTTTTGCTTTTTAAATTGTGATTATGATCTCTTTCCATTTTATTGAAGATAGTAAGTATGGTTCTAGATTCAAGTATTCTATTATTACTTGTATACGACACTTAACTGCTTCTTTTCACTGGAAGGTGAGAACTGCATCAGTAACTTGTTTTGCTGGAATCACTTCCTCTGTATTCTTCACTCTCACGAAAGAAAAACAAGATTTTGTTGTCTCATCTTTAGTAAGTCCCGATATAGCATTGTTCCAAACCTGATTTTTCTTATTGCTGTAAACTCACACAACATTGGAAAAAAATTGTAGATCAGTGCTGCTACGCATGATAAGGTTCCTTCAGTTAGGTCAGCTGCTTGTCGAGCCATTGGTGTTGTCTCTTGTTTCCAGAAAACTTCTGAGAGGTAATTCTACAATGTTGCTTAATGATCCACCCAAGTTTTTATGATCTTTTAATTAGTTGTATATGTTTGAATCATGAATGAAAAGTTTACAGAAAGCAAAACTATTTAGTGCAGGGATCCTTGGCAAGTTTATCCATGCTGTTGAGATTAACACTCGTGATCCTGTGGTTTCGGTATATTTTCCTACTGTTCTTGAGTTAGACCTTAAGAGAGCGTTTACATATTTATTTTTTAATATTTAAATATCACTTCTGAATATGTTTAAAAAAATATCACTTTAAAAAAAAATCACTTCTGAATGCTTTTGTAGGTACGAATACCAGCCTCTTGGGCTTTGGCAAACATATGTGATTCTTTCCGCCACTTTGTTGATGATTTTCCTTTAAAAAAGTCAACAGGTCTGTCTTGATGGAATTGTTTTTGAATTTTCTATATCTGATAATAATGTTTTTTCAAGTATTTAATTACTCTTTTCTTGACTCTGTTATAGAATCAGATACAAACTCCCAATTAGTGGAGTTGTTAACTGAGTGTGCTCTGCGCCTAGCAAAGGATGGGGACAAGGTATAAATGTTTGTCACATCTTACAATTGTTGGTGAGATAGGTATTTGATGCACACTTTTGCCTTTTTTTTGTATGCTTGTTCAGTAATTGATAACTTTTCTGGCTGATCCAGCAATGCTCGTACGTTTGTGAGTTATTTCAGTTATTAGAGTATATCTATTTTTTCATGAGTTTCTTGCTTTAGCTTTATATCTGCCATAAGTTCAATTCAGTAATGTACGAATTACTTGATCATACGTGAAAGCAAAGGGAGAGGATGGGAACTGGGAAGAGTATGGGTATCTCTCTTTTTACAACTTTGGAAAATATATTGGGTACCTTTATATATCAGTTGTGGATTTAATTTTCTGTTGCTTTGACATCATCTCTTTGTATTCTCTTAATCCATTTGTGTGAATATTGATATGTTGTAAGTGAGAATGTACTCATTAAACTTGAATCTGGAACTTGTAGGGTCAGCTAACAAATCCTTTTATGTGGATTTCTTCCATATTAGCCCAAGAAGAATTGAAATGCTATAAATTAAGGGTCATAGTGTCCTAGAATATCTGTTTTATGAACTGTCTATTTAACTGTATACATCTAAGTTATCATATATCATGGTTTATATCAAGTGTTTAGCCTTTTCCATGACGGCAGACTAGGAAAGCTGCTGCTCTATTTTTCTTATATTTTCAATAATTTATCCTGGGTGCTCAGATGTTAGATACTTGGTTTTGGTAATTACTAGTTAATATTCAGCCAAGTAATGGTCTATGAATTTTTTTTTTTTTTAATTCTTGAAGAGTGTAACCATCCTAATGGTACATCATTTATCGGCTTTTATCTCTCTTTTTCTTTTTATTAGATCAAATCAAATGCCGTGAGAGCTCTGGGAAATCTTGCAAGATTTGTCAGATATACAAGTTCATGTGTGCATAATAAGCCAGTGCCAAATACAGGATTTTCTTCTTCTTGCAACAATCTTACTATGTTGCCAGCAAGAAGCAATCTGAAAGCTTTTGATGCAGGCACAATAAATTCATCCTACCCAGCATCATTGAAGGATTTGGATTGGCTGTATAGAATGGTACAAGCATTTATTTCTTGTGTTACAACTGGAAATGTCAAGGTATTATCTTGCATTGTAATTTTTCTGCAAAACATTAAGTTCAACTTGGTGCAAGCACATAATCCTTATGAATAGTAATTTAACTATTCTTCACTGTCTGACTTTACATTTACCAGGTTCAATGGAATGTCTGTCATGCGCTGAGCAACCTGTTTTTAAATAAGACAATACAACTGCAGGATATGGATTGGTATGATGGTGCTAAATTCTTTTCACTTACATTCTTACAAATACGTCTCTATACGTTTGCCATTTCTTGTTTAATACAGTTGTATGTTTACTGTTGCTAACAATAAAATCATAAACCAGTCAAAATGAAAGGCTGGATAAATTATTGAATGGGCAATTTGCTCTTACATAGTTGGGCATGTTTAAAGAATGTCCAAGCGTACTCTGACCTCAGTCTTCATTATCATGTGATAAGCCAACCCTACATTTAAAAACCTGCACATTCAAGTTTGACAAGAGGAGGAAGTCGCAGAATTGTTGTCATTGTTTTATAGCTATTAACCTTATTTTCAGAATGATGCTCAAGGATAGGAAACTAGCTTGGCTCCCCAAGATCTTTTTCAGAGTTAATTTTATATGGTTGTATTTTGTAAATGCTTTCCCACTATTCGGTATGCTTCCTACCTGAGACAATTTTTAATTTCGAACTCCTTTTTTTTATTTCTGAACAACTAGAAGATTAAAGCCATCAATACCTCTTCTTAAGGATAAAATATCTAGCCTATCATGTATCTATTTAGGCATAAATCATAAATCATAGAATCCTCAACTTTTGTTGCCTTGACACATAATATAGTTACTGACCTGTGAGAAATATCTTATTTTCTTGTTTGGTTTCATCAGTGATAAGACTTTGCTGCTCTTATGCCTTAAGCTAAGAACTGAATGTCTTCTTAAATATTTGAATCAATTAGTTCCTACTTCCTTGATAATTTATGTGTTTTATTTATATGAGCAACTTGTTTTTATTTTACAATTTGTGATACCTAATTGAAATATATTTGTAACTTTGCTTATACACATTTATGGCAGGGCTCCGTCAGTTTTTGGTATTCTTCTGTTACTCCTACGTGATTCTTCGAACTTCAAGATCAGGATACAAGCTGCTGCTGCATTGGCTGTGCCAGCATCAGCACTTGGTAAATATTAGGATTGCTTACTGTTTTGTTGTCATGGTTATGATGCGGTTGTGGTTTTGTTTGCCTTGAATTTAAGATGCCTTCTTCAATCATTATTTATGGCTAAACTTGGACTTCTTAACTGGGATTGATTGTCACAATAGTTTGTACGCTTCTCTTCAATGTAAAGCTATTTTACTCTTTGGTTTGAGATTATCACATTGTTTGACAGTTTAAAGCTGGATTTATAACATTGCTTACTTTGTTTGATGCAGATTATGGGAAATCTTTCCCTGACATTGTCCAAGGTCTGGAGCATGTAGTGGAGAATCTAGGTTCAGACCAAATTTCAGTGCCATCAAGTTTCAAATATAGAATTGCACTTGAGAAGCAGGTTATTTTGTGCATATGTCTTTTGAAATAGTATAACACAGTTTAGAGAACCTTGCATTTTCTGCACTTATTGAACAAATGTTTTGTATCTAATCCTGGTCAATGGAGAATATGATATTAAATTAAGTGAAATTAAGAGAAGAAATTTACACAGCCACAATAACTCCTGTAAGTCTGAAGTTTCTTGACAAAATTTTAAATTGCTTCATTTGTTATTAATTATTTTCAAAAATAGTTTTTATAGCGTTCCAAGTTGATTAATACAAAGCCATGTCTGATCATTAATTGGATTTGCTTTTTCTTTTGCAGTTAACTGCAACCATGTTGCATGTTCTTAGCTTTGCTTCAACCACTGATCACCAACCTCTGAAAGATTTTCTTGTCAAAGTAAGCTTTAACCACCCTCATTTGACATCCACCATTGCTGTGAATGGATTCAATGAATTTTATATGAAATCATGTCTTTCATATAGTTTTTATTGTTGCTAATGATGATTTCTCACTTTGTATGGAGTGACAAATTTCCAAGACTAAAAAACAATCACCTAAAACTTAGAAAGTTGAAGCTTTGGCTTAACAAAGTTTCTGTTAGATGTTAACTATTAAGCACTATGAGCATGAGTTTGCTTAAAAATTTGGGAATGACCTGACGCACCTAGATTTCACATCTACTTTGAAGTGATGTGTGCTAATATAAGCATTCCTCGTCATAGGGGATCATATTCTCATTACTGGAAACTTGAAACAAAAGGAATCCCTGCCATTCATTATCAGGGATGGCCAATATTTGTGCAATATAAGCAATTGACTGCAAACAATATTGCTTCTTCAAAATCAAATGCTGGCAATTTATTCTGCTCTGCCATATTCCATTTTTGTTTAATAGAAAGCATCCTTTCTGGAGGACTGGTTTAAGATGGTATGCTCATCACTGGGGGAGACTACTGCTCAGCCTGAGATTGAAAGTGATTCTATTGGCAACCAAAAGAAAGAGATGATATCCAAAGCTCTACAATCATTGATTGAAGTTTATGAAGGCAAGAAACAGCTTACAATCTCTCAGAAATTCAAGAAGCTGGACAGTAGCATATCCTGAATATATCATAATCAGCCATTTTCATTTTGCTTGGCTGGCTGATCATTTTTGTTTTGTTATATGGGTAATCTTGGTTTCGAGCACCTTAAGGATTACTTTGAGTCTTTGAATCCTTGAATGGCAGTTTGCCCCTCAAAAGCCAATTCATTGGAATTTGGAAACACCCTTTCCTGTCCTCTGATTGAACATAGAGTGGGGAGTAACAGAATTATCCGGCGTGCATGAGGGCCCCTGATGGTGAGGAAAGTTTGGTGCAGGATCTTCGAGTCGTACACAGCTAGTCCTTCTGGTAGAAATTCAATGTGAATTAGATGAATGGGGTCCTGATGTATGTAAATTATGATGTTTTTGCTTGTAACCGTAGCTGTGTGCAGCAAGCGGTTAGACTCGGATGCATAGGAATTACTATGTTACCAATTTTGCTTGTAAGATTTAATTAGTAGCGTAATCAAAGGGGGTCCCTGATCAGACTTTCTACTATGTATTGCATTTCTCATACATCTATCAGGCTAGCGTAAGACCCTGAATTTAGATACGGTGGAGCAGAGTTGGTGTGCTTATGTCTGCCTCGGTGAGTTGAATAAAACAGAAATTTTGGCCGACTATTGCCGGTAACGGCCAACGTAAATTAGGCCTTCTAGGAATGTGTTCACTTTAAGGAAAAAAGAAAATGAAGAGTCTCGGTATTGTTGTTTTCCCCTTTGTTTTTTCTTTTCTTCGGTGAATTTTGAGCTCTATCTTACTAGGTAAGCTAATTTTCCTTTCCTTTTATCTCATACAAACAAACTTTGTCTTTTATATCAATAAAAGTTTCAAATCTGTTTTCTTTAAACCTTCTTTGAGATGTGTTATTAGAATCATAAGTCAATATTCAGTCAATTACTTTAATTTTGAGTCACTTGTTTTATTAATGGGCAATGAATAACTGGGCATATGGTTGGTTGGTAATAGCAAAACGCAACAATGCATATTTGTTGCGGTCGAACTATAATAGGTAGATCAGGTGAGGATATTTGCTCTCTTGAATGAATTGTCTACAAAACAAGGGGATGCAGAATGGCCTGGATGGGAGCGTGCTTGAGAGAAAAAAAAATTGTAGTAAATGAAAGCATCAATGAGCACACAAAGACATTATTTGTTTATTATATATGAGCCCAAAAAAAACAATTACGGGAAAGAAGCAATTCTTTTGACTAAAAAGTCAGGGTGCAACGTGTCCCACTAGCTACCAACGTCCTTTATTTCCACTTAAGCTAATGAATATGACGTAGTAATAGTAACAGTATTGGATTGAGATTCTATGATTCTTTGCATGTAGATTGTTCTAGCCCCGACACTTTCAACCCTAAGCCAAGAGGTCAAACGTGCGACATCATCAAATCGTAAAAGAAAACCATGAATTAGTCATCAACAGGACTCCTTTCTCACTTCTACTTTTATCGTTAGTTCCATTTTTTTTTCCCTGGTCACGCAACATTTTTGTCTCTCTATTCTTTTTCCAATGTGATTGGACATCACTGAGCCCACACTCGGCCTTTTAATCTGATATATATATATATATATATATATGTACGTATGTATGGACGAGTGATCTTTACCTAGACAATTATTATCACCTCAACTTGCTTTGGTTGATATTTCCCTTTCTTTTGGATATATCTGTCAGAAAGTGCAGAAAAAAAGAGTCATGCTTGATTCCAGACTGTGTGGTGGGTCTATCTTCTTGAAAGCTGGAACAAAATTCCCTACCGCAACTTTCCAAATGAAAATATTTTTTTAAAGCAAAAAAGTTTTTTTATTACGTCAAAGTTTGATGTTGGAACCTAAAAAGCAGGGTAAAAAATTGACTGGAAATGAAGACGGATGAGACAAATGAGGCTGGTCTCTCTCCTGTGAATGCTCAAATTCTTCCACTTCCCGTTTGTCCATTCTTAGACAAAATCCACGCTCTTGTAGAACTTAGATCTCTTACCTCTTCTTCTGTCCTTTACGTTATTCCATTTTTGGTTTAAAACATCCCAAAAAAATTTTGAAAAAAATAAATAAGCCCCACTAAGATAGTACATGTTATCCATTCCTCCTTTTTTAGTGCTAGTATAGTTCTTTTTCCATAAATAAGAGTCACCTACTCCTGTAATGGCGGAGATCTTATACTTTCCTTTTTCATGGTCCCTTATTATTAAAACCTCCCTTCTGCACCAATGTCTACCTGCTTTTTCTTAGCTACTTCTTTGGTCTTCTTTTCTCTATTTATTTATGTATTCATATGTATAAGATAAACACAAAGTTCCATGTACCCTTTTTACAGATACCTTCATACTTTGAGTGTCTGAAAGTCTTTACAAAACCAGATCACCTTCTTCAGGTACTTTCCCGTTTCTTTTTTGGGTATAAAATTTTCTTTTTTTTTCCCTCAATATAAATGGAACAAGGTTGCTGCTGCAGTGTAGTATGTTTTATGCTGAATATCTCCCAAAGTCAGGGTTTTGTTTCTTTTTAATTTGTTGTGAAAGATGAAGAAGGTAACCCCAGACAAAATGTATTGCAAGGTTTTCTTTCTTCCAAGAAGTTTGTAAGTTTCTTAAAGGACTCGTTTGTTCCATGATTTCCCTTTTTTTTTTGTTTTTCCTGTGATGGGTCTGCTGTAGTGTTCTGTTGGGTTATTTGATACGTTCTGGTACATCATTTTCGTGGGTGTTGAGATGCTTGCTTTTAACTGCCTTTCTTTTTCAAGTTCTTTTAGTTTAGGTATAAATCAAAATATTGTTGCCTGGATTCCCTTAAGGCGCTGCAGTCCGTATTCTCTTCTCTGTGTTTGCTCTGATTCTTCTGTTTATTCGCCTTATTCTTGTTAATCGGACGGCTTTAGAGTCTTTAGTTAATTTTGTTCTGTTCAGTCTAGTTTATGAAACTTTACTTTTACCTGCTTGAATTCCAGCATTATATCTGCAGTTTACTTATGAATGAATCACTTGTTTCCTGACTTACTTTGGACGAAATGTGGCCATCTTTTCTGTCAGACTGGGTTCTTGTTTTCTCTTTTCTATAAATAATTGAATATAGAATTAAACTAAAATCTTTCTTTTAAAAAAGGATTGGAACAAATTTGCCCCTGTAGCTACTTGTCGTATCCTTCCTTACTTTTGTATAAAGGAAATTATGATGACATCCTTTAAGAGAATTCGTATGCTGATATTTTTGTTTTCAATTGGTGCTATGTTTCAATTCTAATCTTTCCCCCTTTCATCTTTTTGTATATTAGCTTGTCATCAGATAATTGCAGTAGATCGTGATGGCCAAAGAGTATAGTGGATCGCCTAAGCATCATCAGCTAGAAGCAAAGAGGAAGCGTCTCACTTGGATACTAGGTGGTAGTGGCCTCTGCATATTGTTTTATGTGTTGGGAGCTTGGCAGAATTCTTTTATTCCCACCACTCGATCTGATGTATACACTAGAGTTCGTTGTGATAATAATGTCACTACGTCAGACAGCGGCAATGCTGTAGTTAATCCATCAACAACCAACTTGGACTTTGCAAGTCATCATCAAGTTGAGCTAGACGGTTCTAAAACAGTCAGTCAGTTCCCACCATGTGATATGTCATTCAGCGAGTACACTCCCTGCCAAGATAAAGTGAGGGGAAGGAAATTTGATCGTGACATGATGAAATATAGAGAGCGGCATTGTCCCACGAAGGAAGAACTCCTCCTCTGCCTTGTACCTGCTCCACCAAAATATAAGACCCCTTTCAAATGGCCTCAAAGCCGAGATTATGCCTGGTACGACAATATCCCTCACAGAGAACTCAGCATTGAGAAGGCAATTCAGAATTGGATTCAAGTAGAGGGTGATCGTTTCAGATTCCCTGGGGGAGGCACCATGTTCCCTCGGGGAGCTGATGCATATATTGATGACATTGGCCAGCTCATTCCCCTTACTGATGGAACCATCAGAACAGCAATTGATACTGGCTGTGGGGTAAGTAATTAACATCCTTTTCGATTTTTTTGCTTGCATAGTTTTTCATCCTTTAGAATTTGTTGCTATCTAATGGCTTAGAAACTTTTTAAAACCATGAATTCTTTTTTACTTCTGTGCTATTACAAATACCATATCTACTTTTGGTCTATGTTTATAACTCTTGCTCCAATTGTCTACCAATTGCCTCTGCTAGACTGCTAATTTTTTCATGGATGTTAGGTTGCAAGTTTCGGTGCTTACCTGTTGAAGAGGAATGTCTTGACAATGTCTTTTGCTCCTAGAGATACACACGAAGCACAGGTTCAGTTTGCTCTGGAACGTGGAGTTCCTGCAATGATTGGAATCATGGGTTCACAGAGGCTTCCTTACCCGGCAAGGGCTTTTGACTTGGCTCATTGTTCTCGCTGTTTGATCCCTTGGCAAAAGTATGGTAAGGCATATATGTATGTCGTGCTGTTTTGTCAAAAATAAGGTGACTCTGTAAGGAAGATGGAAATGCCAATACTACCTTCTATGTTTCAACAGCTTTGTATCATGTGACCTTTTATTACCCTCTATCACATTATCCTATAGGTTGAAAAGTTGTGTAATGCTAATAGTTTAATTTAATTGGTATAGATGGTTTGTATCTTGCCGAAGTGGATCGGATTCTAAGGCCTGGAGGTTATTGGGTTCTCTCTGGTCCTCCTATTCACTGGAAGAAATACTGGAGAGGTTGGGAAAGGACCCAGGAGGACTTAAAACAAGAGCAAGATGCTATTGAAGATGTTGCCCAACGACTATGCTGGAAGAAAGTGATTGAACAGAATGATCTATCAGTTTGGCAAAAGCCCATCAACCACATTGAGTGTATTAAAAGTAAGGTCTTTAAAACACCGCATATTTGCAAGTCAGACGATCCAGACACAGCTTGGTACTCTCTTTAGCGACTTTCATGCTTTTATTTCCACCTTTGACACACATACACATAAAGCCCTTTGTGTTCTCATTTTCCTTTTGTCATTTGTGCTAAAAAGGTACAGAAATTTGGAAGCTTGCATAACCCCACTTCCAGAAGTAAGCAGCTCAGATGATGTTGCTGGTGGCACAATAAAAAAATGGCCGGACCGTTTATTTACTCTTCCTCCTAGAATTAGCAGTGGCTCAATACCAGGCTTCACTGCTGAGAAATTTAAAGAGGATAATGAACTGTGGAAGGAAAGAGTAGCACACTACAAACGAATTATTAGTCCCCTACCCACTGGACAATATCGGAATATTATGGACATGAATGCTTACCTTGGGGGATTTGCAGCAGCCGTTTCAAAGTATCCAGTGTGGGTCATGAATGTGGTCCCTGCAAATTCAGATCATAACACTCTAGGAGTTATTTATGACCGAGGTTTAATTGGTACGTACCAGGACTGGTGTGAGGCATTCTCAACATATCCAAGGACGTATGATCTCATCCATGCTAGTGGCTTGTTTAGTATATATCAGGACAGGTAATATTTGAGAGGATGGCAATCTCAATCATGAACCTTCTTTTTTGATCTTGCAATTTATAATTGTGGTTGAACTTGTTTAATTTTGTTTATTGAAGGTGCGACATCACTTACATCTTACTGGAGATGGATCGGATTCTGAGGCCAGAAGGGACAGTAATATTTAGGGACACAGTGGACCTGCTTGTGAAGATTAAGAGTATAATAGATGGAATGAGATGGAAGAGTCAGATCATGGACCATGAAAGCGGACCCTTCAATCCAGAGAAAATCCTTGTTGCTGTCAAAACATACTGGACTGGTGAAGCAACCCAAAAGCAACGCTAGTAGAGATTTATGCTCTCTCTCTCTCTCTCTCTCTCTCTCTCACTTTTGCACTTTCTTTGTTTCATTTTTCATCTTGGGAAATGGTCGAAGTCACTCAGATTCCATCCAAGATGGTTTTTCCTTTTCAAAGAGTAAAAGGTTAGGTTTAATTAAAATGATTATGTATTTTATTTACTGTAAAAGTAAGCATTTTACTCCAAATCTTTGTCACTGTCATTGGCTTGATGCTAGTAGGATTAGCCGAACAGAAATGCTCAGTGCTTACTGTGTGCATTAACTGAAAAGCAAGCTCTCGTCTCTGCAGTTGTAATGATCATGTATAAATTGCAAGATGATAAGGTATAATATGGTCGGGATAGAAAACAAACCTGTCTTCTTCAATAGCAGATAGCAAGGCATCACAACTGCTAGAACGGTGTGCTTTTGAAATTTTCATTGCAGCATATTTTTAGATCTGCAGTACTAATGGTGGTTGAATTCGGACGTTAGTTAGACTTTCCAACTTCCATGGTGCAGTTTCGGATATGTAATTTTTTGTTTATAATTAAAATTATCAGAAACTGAATTGATTATTGAAATTAAAATTTTAATATTTTATTGGAAGTGATTGTTTTGGTGCAGATGATTTCTTTGTTTTGGTGCGGATGATTTCTTTCCTTCTTTATTTCGTTTTCTTTTCTTCTTTTTTTTTTTGGGTGGGCTATTGATGATATTGAATGGTTAGGTAGCTTTTCAATTGCAACCAAGTAGGGAATGACACGACTCTCACAAGTCAAAGCAAGCCAACAATCCTCCGTTAAAGAAGGGTCTTTTATAGTAATCGGTAGTTTATTCAAGTACTTAAGTTGTACCAACAAAAGGAAATTATAATACAACTTTGACAAAAGATATCCAACAAAGTTGTAGGAGTAATTGCGTAATTGGCAGAAGTGGCCGGCGTGAGGTCAAGGTTTTTGTCATAGTTGGATAAATTGGAGTTTGGTGAGTGGAGAGGCTTTCAAAGTTGCCAACCGCAATAGACCATGGCAAACTCCGAACCGAAGGCTACGGACCATAGCTAGGTTTCCAGGAGTTGGCTAGGTCCACTGTTGTACGGGAGAGAGGTCCTCGGCTCTACCTGTAGAATAATGGTAACATCTCTTGGAATATTTTAGCAATGTTGCTTATTGCCTGGACAAGCTTTTAAATGAAAGCTTTGCTCTGGAAACCACCGGTGAGTGGGATTAGTGCTCTAATGAACAATTAACAGTTATTACTTATTACCATTTCCCTTCATCAGGGAAGACCATCTTTTTCTTAGTATAGTATATAAGTTAAAACCAAAGTGGAATAGGTACTGTAGAGACCAATGTCTAGGAGTTAGGCCCCCTAACACCTACGAAGGCCGGAGGGTCCCGTCTCGACTATCCTCTACCCTGTGTGGTTAAGAGTTCAAATAATTAAGGATCGAGGCCATTGCCCGTGTTGGTGCTCTAAAAGCTAAGGTTGCTGCCTGCGGTTGCTGCTGGTCAACTTGGACCCATCTATGGTTTGTTTTTCTCAATAACCGAACACAAAAAAAAAATAAAAAAAAGTAAATAAAATATGGAACCACGGTTGGCGTTGGTGGTCCTTGTCCCATCCCTCGATTTTTTTTTTTTTTTTGGTTAGAGAAGAGAAATGAAGAAGCCTTTTCCTTTCCCTTTCCACCCCCACCCCCACACCCCCAGAAGGTTATGTTTCCAAAAGGACGAGGAAAGCACACCTTTTGTTCCTTCAACCTTTGAGCAACAAAATATATATATATATTATATATATTCATTTTTCATTTTTCAATTTATTGCCTTTTGTCTTCTGCAATAATAACTCAAACAAAATTCTTAGATATCACATCAAATCAAAGAATATTTTATTAGAAAGAAAAAACCTTATTCGAAAAATCTAAGGAGAAGAAAATGGAGAGGGTGGAGGAATCGGCGAATAAAGTGGAAGAAGAAGTAGGGAAAGTGGTGGAGCAAGCCAGAGAGTTGCACGAATCAGGCACTTCCCTCATATCGAGGATATCGAACGAGGAGCAATCTCTTCGCCAAAAAGCTAATTCTCTCGAATCCTCTATTCGCCGCCTCCGTTCCCTTCTCTCTCAAAAGCTTTTGGATCCCAAGCTCTCCGAGAAGGCAAAGTCCCTACCTTGCATCTTCCCTTTTCATTTTCTTTTTATTTTCTCTTCGATTGTTTATTTAATCGAATCTTAACAAAAAAATTTAAATTTGGATCCGAAAACAGCTTGAAGAGGATTTACAGAGAGCCAGATGCATTATGACCGATGGAAACGCCGCTGCTTTTCTTCCTGCCAAAGCTCAGGGTATACTAATTTCTCCTTGTTTTAATTAATTTGATTTTCCTGTCATTAGAGATAATAATTAATTAATTTGTAATTGGTAATGGCAGGAAGATTTCTGAGGATGTTTCTGGGACCAATCAATGTGCGTGCATCCCGCAAAGACGTCCAGTTGAAAGTTAAGGAGGAATATAATAGCTACAAAGTAAGAATCACTTCTCTTTAACTCTTTTTTTTTTTTAATTCTATTCTTTGATTGTAATTTGATTGGCATCCGAATGTATTCTTCAATTGCATGTCATTTCCCTCGTATACTTACACATCTCAAATTAGTAGTAGGATTTTTTCGGACTCATGATTTATTTGTGAATTATTTTATTAGAAAGAAAATTTGGAATGTTTTAAATTTAAGTATTTTTACGTACTTATTACTATCTCCCTTCAACAGGATAGGACTGCCTTTCTGTTTCTTCTTTTTCCATTAACTTTGCTTATTTTAAGATCTTGGATCTGGGAAGGATGCTTGCCTGCATTTCCAGTTCAATTGTACCAGGTATTATACAAGTTAATCATTAGGGTTTTTGTTTGGGATTCGGTTCATTTGTTGCTGATCTAATGCAGAGTTCTTTTTCTTGTGATTTAATGCTGAGTGTATTCAATGTCAGGCATGGTTGTTGTTCCTTTACACTGGTTTGGCTTTGCGAGAGAATATATTGGGAGCCAATGGAAGTGATATTCGTTCATGGTAATTGCATGTCTCCTCAAAGCATGTTTACTTCTATTATTGTTTTGTATAAAAAGGACTTTGTCATAAAAAAATGAGATTGTATATGCAGTACTTTTGAGATTAAAATAACTTGAGAGGTGTGTTTAAGTTCATGCAAATGGTGACTTGTGGCCTACATCATATTTGGACATATGCCCATTCTCCTAGCAATCAGATGGTCTCTCTCTTTTTTGTTTCTCTTTAAGGGTTACTACATGATTTTAAATTATGTCTTTTGTGGTTTTCATTGTAATGCATACAAAGGAAAAAAGTAGGAAAGAATTCAGAAACGTGACCTCTCTTGTATGTTTATGCACTACAGTTAATCATCCTTGCCCTATTGCATTTTCCTCCTAGAGTAATCATTTAATGTTAATAATTCTGTTATACCCTTAGGTTGGTGAACTTGTGCAATTGTTTAGGACTACTTGGAAGAGATCCTACAGAGTGCTTGCCAGTGTGTGAGTATGTGGTTGAGTGGAGAAGAAAAAGTAGAAGTTTGTGAGTAAGACGCTTTAGGGGGATAGAATGTCATGAGATCGTCAAACTGGAGAGTTAGAGTTAGAGGGACGTAGGTCATCAGTATGATTTTTTATCTTATTATGATGCTGAAGTTGATGTTTCTTTGTTTTGAAGAGTGGAATAAATCCTGGTTGTTTCTTTGAGAACATAGAAAGAAAATGGTGTCTATGTCTATGTTAAATTCTCCTTTGGTTACACCATCACAACTGATTCTATGTACTGGTTGTAACTTGTAACCATTTTCTTGTGTTGTAGATGGTTTATCTGTATCTTATCCCTTTCCTGGTTTAAATCAAATGTTTAGATCTTCCATCTGGTAATTGTTTATTGCACTGTGCTCACAGTTAATGCCTGGAACAGTCTCTTATTGCACTTTGCTTAAACGTCTTGACTTCTTGTCTTGGCTACATTGCCAGATTTGTGCGAGAGAATAGAGATTGACTTGCTTGTGATTACATACATGCATTTTGCTTGGTTATATAGCCTCTCCTAGTTTGTTTGCTGAATTACATTAGTTACAACGTCAGCCTGTCAAAATCAGTTTACTCAAATAACATCTATATTACATAAGGTGGGTGAGGAAATAAGTTTTATCCATGACCACTTTATCTGGGTTATTTGAAATTGTTCAAATCCACTTAGCAAGCTAATTTTAGCCATGAAGTACCTAGAATCTTGTGGAATCTCCTTTAGGATTGGTATGTTTTGATATTTTTTGGCAACTCCTTATCTAATCTAGATTTATTATAGCTTTGTTTGGATATGTGTTGATAGATTGTAGCTTACAACAGCCTGGGAGAATAATTATTATCTGCATTATGAAATACCTATATGTTAGTTAATTATCAATTCTAGAACTTCTAACGTTCATTGTTGATGTTTATCTGTAGTTTGTGTTGTGCATCACAATTTCCTGGTTAATCTTTCAACTCAATTGATGACTATATGATACTTTCGCAGGTGGATATACCATCATTATTGTGCAATGGTTATGGCCCTAGTTAGTCTCACTATGGAGATTAAAGGACAGCCTAATTGTGCTCAAAAGCAGGTCATTATTGTACCATTGTGCACTAATTATAATTTGTGTCATTGATTAACAAACTGTTAAATCCTGTGCAGAGAGGTGTAGAACTTTTCCTTCAATGGGCTATGATGCAAGGGGTTGCCATGCTTCTTCAAAATAGATATCAGCGCCAGAGACTTTATACGCGTATTGCCCTTGGAAAGGTGTTATCCTCTTTCTGCATCAAAAAATAAAATAATTTGTTACCTTTGTTCAACATTAATTCTTTTTGCATGCTAGCTATAACCTTGGTTTGAATCCCTTTCTGTTCTTTTGCATGTTACAAAATCTTACCCCTTGTCTGCCATGAGTAGTGGCTATTATGCCTCCGTTTCAGATCCTTAAAATTACAGAGAGCCAGCTCTAAATTCTAATATTTTATTGTTGTTTCCAGGCTAATAGAATGGATGTCGTCTGGGGAGAAACAGCTGGTGTAGACGGCCAGTTGTGGGTTTTATGTCCAGTACTTTTCCTTATGCAGGTAATGCAAGCTAACTTTTGACTAATTGCTGAGAATGTGTCGATAGGACAATGTCCATTTATGTTGTTCTCTACCACTATAAGGATCTAAAATCTTCAGTTCAAACTCACAATTTGTAGTGTCCTTATGGTTTCCATGATTTAGTATAGTTCAAGTCAGCAAATAAGTTAATCTCTTGTTGCTATCAAATTCTTATTTATCTTTGAAGTTGCATACCTGTTTTAGCTTGTTTAAATTCTTTAAGTGAATGCACAGCTTTAAAGGTGTATGTTTTAGCCTTTTAGGCATGCTGTAAAATTTTTAATTTTAGTTTTCGATCGACATAAAACTTAAATCAATCATATCCTGTAGGTTGTGTGAAGTGCTTCTCTAGGGTTGAACTTCCATTAGGTCATTAAACATCTCAAAGATAACTGCTTAAGGGCCATAGAGTATGACCAAGATCTTGCAGAAAATCTCAGTTGTTGGTTGCAAGCACAAAGTCCCTTTTCATTTTTTTTTTTTTTGCTGGTTTTCTAATCTTACATCTCTTTGCTCTTTCTCCTGCTTAGCATGAAGGAAACCAGTGTCCATTTTCTTTTCCTTTTTTCTCCCTGGATACAAAAGGGATAAAGATTGATGAAGCATGTCTTTTTGTCATCAGAGCATCTTGTTATAATCCAGAATACCGTTCTATTCATGAGTTATCCATTTTCTTTTGTAGTTTCTCCACTAATAATTGCAATTAACCATGTGCCTGTAAACATGATCATAGGGTTTTGAGGCATATGTTGGACTACTATTGCTCAAGACAGCATTTGTTGGGGTTGATTCTGAATGGCAGGTAGGTTCACTTCTCACAGTTTTGCTTCGTTCATTTGTGCCAAAAAAAAAAGTATAAAAATAGAAAACAAATTACAGTTGTATACATGCTAGAAATAACGTAATCGGTGATGGAAAACTGGGTTTTGGCAGGTAATTTTTTGTGGTGTCCTTTTCGTTTTGATGGCTGTTGGGAACTTTATAAACACAGTACAGACACTCATGACAAAGTCAAGGTTTAAGGCAAAGATGAAAAGAACTAAGAGCAAGCAGTAGTTGGATTTGTTAGGTCAATCTTCCATAGTTTTATAGTCTCATTTTTTTTTATGTTTCCAGCGTCTCAAACATGTTTGGTTTTAGATGAGGCAATGAAAATTCTTTCCGAGATTTTTCATTTTCACAGGGAGTTCAACTTCCTATGAAATTACTGTTGGTTTTTTTTTTTTTTTCCTTTTTCCGTCTTTTCCGTTATCCAAAGTAAAGAGTACTGTAAATTTGAGTGGAAACAAGCAATGCCATATTCTTGGCCGCTCTCACCTGACCTAAAGCAGCAGGGGATTCTCATATTTGGGAGTTCTCATGGGACAAAGATGAGGCAGCCGAAAACATGGCCTTTCTATGCTAGTTGTCTTTTTTTTTTTTTTTTCTTATTGGGCCTGAAATTCTTCACCATTTTGTAACTCTAAGAAAATGCCAAGCCCAATGGTCGGCTTTCTCATTACAAATAATTGGCTTGTACTGTAATGCAACCAGTTTTCATTTCTCCAATTAATAAAAGATTGAGAAAGGGGATTGTAAACTTTAATACGATCTTACTTAAAATCTGTATTCCCTTATCTAATTTTATGGTACTTTAAAAGTTGTGTTAGTTATTTATTCACCTGTCACTATTCCATCATTAAATGTTTTTATTCGATTTATCATATGGAGTATTATTATGTACATTTCCCTTACATTAATTATAGGTGATTGTCATTGATGTAATGTTAAATTTTTTATTTTTGTGATAAAGATGAAGTTGCTTAATTATACCCTTCAAGTTGTCTACTTACTCTTTAGTATCAACAATTTAATTAACAAAAAATAAAATGCAATATTTTTTTCAATTTTTTAATTCTGTGGAAGGAATATTTGAATCCGGATATTCCTTTTCACAAAAAAAAAAAAAAGTGATGGCTAGCTAATTGTATTTTTGAAAATATATACAGCCTTAAAAATAGTAGAAAAAAAAAAAGAAGAAAGAGTGTCCATAACGCAATGAAACACATGGTGGTGCATGTCCAATTGTCTATTCCCATGTGCTAAATGTAATAATGTTGGTGTTATTTTCTTTTGATTCCCCAAATATAAAGCAAAGTGGAAGAATATTGGGATAAGTATGTCTCCCCTCTGACGCTGTTCTCTTCCTTCCCTTTCTACCGTCACTTTAAAAATGTTTGCAAGCGAGATGAAAGTTTTTGTACGTTACAGGCTGGGCCCATCCTTATTCATATGTGTAAATCCAGCCACCTCTTCTCACCCCCGCGTGCTGCTGCGCAACTACTGTTTATTTATATATATACCACATGGTTTTATCATACGAATAGGGTTAAATAACTATTTATCCTTTAATTATATCACTTATGTTGTATTGATAATTAAAAGAATTAAAATTTACTACTTCCGTCGTCGGGAAATTTGAATATGTAAGTGTAGTTTATATAAGATTTTACATTAATTTAAATTAATTAATTTTAAGTTAATAACCCATTAAAAATGTATCTGTTTCTGGTAAATAGGGCTTATGCCTCACAAAAATCTAAAAATTTAATAAATGAAAAAAAATTGAGGAAAAGTTTTTAATAAAAAAATAAAAGGAAAAGCGAAAATCGGAGAGAGAGAGAGTAAAGGAAAGGAGGCGGCTCCGACTAACCCGGGTGATCGGCAGCAAATCTACCCTGAAACAAACAGATCGATGATCAATCGCTCGAGCCGACTAGATCGCAATAGTCAAAACCATCCACATTCCCCTTCTCTTTTTTTTTCTCTCACTTTCCATTCCTTCCTTTACTTTCTCTCTTTTCTTTTTTATTTTTTTCAAATTTCTATTTTTAACTTTTTGATTTTTCTATGTGGCGTCGAAACTCGCAAATGATTTAGCTTTTGAGTGTAAATTGACTTGACATTTTTAATAAATGCTGATTTATTATTGGACAATAAAATCATGTCAGCTTTTAATTCTAATGTAATTAGTCTTTGGATTAATTTTCCCATAAAAGAAATTTAAGTATTTGATTATGAATTTTAATTCTTTTAAGTTCAAATATAACAAAAGTATTATAATTCAAGAGACAAATAAATATTTAACTCATATAAATTCACATTATATTTTAATTTGTATACGAATTTACGATGTATTTTTATTGATCACCAGCAGTGGATAAAGATGTAAATGATATATTAGTACTCGCAAGTTACTCGAGTTCGATTCGAAGAAAACTTGAATTCGGTTCGATTATTATCGAGTCGAGCTCGAGTAGTTCGATTTATTGATCGAGCCACATTTGAGTATTTTTATATCCGATTCGAATAGCTCGCGAGCCTAATCGAACTTTTATATTTAAATATATTTTTATTATTTTAATTAATAAAATATTTTGAGTTCGAGTATAAATAATCAAATCCTTATTTAATATATGAATTGAGCTTATTTTTATATATTAATCGAGCTTAATTGAACAAACTCGAATAATTCGAATTTGATCACGAATCAAACTCAACCTTAAAAAATAAAACTCGATCGAATTCGAATCAAGTATCAAACCCTGAGTTGTGAGTTGAGCTCGAGCTCGAGCTCAAACTTCTCACTATTCGGCTCGATTACACCCTAGCAATGAGCAAACAATCCCCACTATAATTATTAACATCATAAAATACTATACCAATACACATTTATATTTATATTTATATGCTTATAATAATTACATAAAAAAAAAAAAGCACATGAAGGATAAGTAAGTCGATAAAGATGGGAAAATGAAAAGGCAAATCGGCAGTGAAAGAAAAGAAAAAGAAAAGTTACACGGCTATGAAGAAAAAAAAAAATTGGGAAGTCTGCGGTGCTAGAGAAAGGCCAGGATAGTGGTAGTAAAATAACAAGCACATGGGGAGGGGCATGTCAAAGGGGTTGAATGATCATCAAATGTCACCTTCGTTTTTCTTTATTCTTTTGTGTGTGTCTGTGCGTGTGGGGTGAGAGAAAGAGAGATATTGTCATTGTTTGATCTTGATAGGTATACGAAAGTGGGGAAAAGAGAAACTCGCAGTGCACAGTGCAGAAGATAGCTAGTTGGCAAAAGCTGAATTTGCAAGTGCAATTATGGGGACTACTGTGCTACGCGTAATTGCTGCCTACTTTTCAATTTGCATTTCTTTTCTTCTTGTCTGCCCACAAATTAAAATGTGATAATTTGTATATATGTGGTTGAAAAATAGATCTAACGAGTATAAATCACTAGAAAGAATGTCACTTTTTGTAATATTTCTATCTTGGTTTTACTTGTATTTGAAATTTCTTTTCACATCTCACTGAGCGTTGGCCCCCGGGATAGCATAATTATTGATAAGAGAAATTATTACATTAAATTTCCTTGCGAATTAACAGGATTAACTAATGTTTCTTTCAGTTTGGTACGCTTGTTTCTAATTTTTTTCTTCTTAAATATTTACTGTTTTTATTTGTTTTGCAATTGATAACAGTCAACATTGATCCATTAGATGTTGTCTTCATTTTTTTTGTTTATTAATGGAAGGAAAAAAGCAAGACATTCACTTTACAGATCAAGAACAACCAACTGACACAGTATCTGAAGAAACATTTTTTTTCCCATTTTGTTGGTTAATTATCACAATTCAGTGGCATTCCAAATTTCAAATTCCAAATCCTTTATGACCTAATAAGATATTGAAGTTAATTTTATGACCTCCAAATTTACAAATTCAACCATTAATTACCAGTTCAAACCCAAGAACAATTTCCTTTTTGTAAAGGGAAAAAAATGGGTCTAACAGGAAGATCCAACCGTGCATGTATATATATACACATACGTATATATATGTATGTATATACTAATACACTGGCACATTTATTTAACAGTAGCTGAAATGACAACGTCGGAACTGGTAACCAGTCGGGGAACTCAAGGCTACCTTGACGAGCAACAAAGACTTGAATAGTAGTAATAATAATAATAATATAATAATGAAAGAAAAAGGAGGGAGAAAAGGGATTGATCATGAAAAGACCAACACCTTCTCCCCTAGGAGTTACTGTTTCCGTCTGTACTTGTTCATTGAGATTCTGAACTGCTAAGCCTAGATACAAAGAATTATGACAGAAGACATAACTGATTACAAAGTTTAAAAGGGCAAGAATAGGAGTGAACAGGTCAGTACACAGTTGACAAAAAAGAAAACAAATCTAATTCTAAGAAACCCTGGAAGGAACGGATATTCTTTCACTTCTTTATTTATAACCAATCAAAGTAAGAGAAATTTTGACACAAAACATCTGCTTATCCTACTTACACCATACACGTACCTCTCTATGATCCATTGGTTCATGTTTCTTTCTGTCCTTCGACGGTGCTTCTGGTAATATATACCCAAGCTTATTTCCTGTCTCAATTCAGTCGTACACTTTTAGTGTCTCAATTCAATTCATTCGAAGGTACATATGGTGTACATTTTTAGTGATGGAGCTGCTGCCGAGGTTATTGAAACATGGCCAAGAAGGAGAGTGCCACATTCCTTCCTCCATTGGGAGTGGTTGCCTTCTGTCTTTGCTATTCTATCTTATAACCCATCTTTCTCTCTTCTTCCAATTCGTCATCATCCTCATCGTCATCTTCATCTTCCTCGTAATCCATATTATCACTATCAGGTTCATCAATCTTTTCATAGCCATCCAATGCTGTTGTTGCCGGTGCATCCTCTGCTCCTCCATCAGCTCCCACACAATGTCTTCTGGCTTCAATACCACCCCAGAAATCAATAAGGCATCATATAAAATGGTTTATCAAAATGCAATGGTAATTGAAAATGTCCAAATGACGATAGTGAGGGGAAAAAGAAAATAAAGAAGCCGGTAAGTAAAATAAATTTACCATGCATCTTTGCAGCTCCACCGTTTCCTTCTCCAAATAGACTCCTGGGCAAACCTTCTTTGCTTGTCAGCACATCAACAGTAGCTCCAGTTTTATTTTCAGATTGATCAGTTAGCAGCGTCAATGGCGGGGCCGCCGTGATTGGTGAGGCGTCAGTAGCATCTTGATGCTACCGTGACGTTTCTTCTTCAGGCCTATTCTGGTCACTAAAGCTACTGGAACCACCGCTAGTAGCACCTCCAAGTATTTTCTTACGGTAAAGGGTATCAAGTTGGTGAAAATAGGGGCAAGTTTTGGCATCCTCGGGACGTTTCTTATTACTTTCTTTGACCTTTTTGAAGTACTTGTTGATGTTCTCCCATTTTTCCTTGCATCGTTTGGAGCTTCTCTTGTAGCCCATCCTGAACATATCAGCGGAGATTTCTTTCCAAAGAGGGCCCTTGGGCACAGCCTCTTGGTACCGGGATTCAAGCCCACTCCTCAGGCTTATAAGTGCAAGAACTTCATCTTTAGGCCATCTAGACGAGGCAGGATCCAAGCTCCCGCTCCCACCAACCTCCTGTGGTGGAACCTGTTGTTCCGGGATAGCCATTACTACTTCTGAAAAAATAGGCTGTTGATGATACCTCACAACTTCTGTATTTTGAGGTTGCTGCTGCGGCTTAACAACTTGTGGCTGCAACGGATGTTGAAGGTGCGATTGTGACTGTTGCTGCTGTTGCGAGTTACGCTGTTGTTGTTGTGGTAATGACGGTGGCTGATGCAATGGCGGAGCTGCTGAAGGAATAGGAGCCCCTGGTGGAACAACTGGCACGGTCGTTTGTTTCGATGGAAGGGGAGCGGCGGGAACAGTGACAGTTGAGGGTAACTGTATAGTCTGACCAGTAATCTTTTGCAAAAAATAAATAATAGCAGCATCTCTTGAAGCAGAAATGGCACGTTCTTGAGCCATAAGTTCACGTTCGCGAGTTAAACTTGCCATCTCTTGTCTTTTCCAAGCTTGTTCTCTTATCATCCTATCTTGCTCTCTCTTCTCTATCGCTTCTAAATACCTCTGCTGCATGGCTTCTTGTTTCTGCATGACCTGTTTCAATAGACCCTCGAAGAACTCCATCATCCTCCTGGTGGTACTACCGCCCCCTCTTGAAGACTGCCTTTTACGTTTACGGCTAGTGCCAGCCATGTTCGACAGTTCTCCTCCGAGTTCATCCTCCTCGCCATCGTCGTCTTCCAAGCCTTGAGAAGAGGAAGAGCTGTTAGAAGAGAAGCTGATTCCAAATGGAGCGGCTGTTTTGGTGATAGGAGGTGCTGATGCCGGAACTGGTGCTCTTGCTGGCACTGTCGCAGGAGCAGACCCAGGCATGGGTAACATAGAGGAGGACATTGGAATAGCTGTAGTAGGTGGAATTCTGACAGAAGAAATGGCCATAGGAATCCCAACCGAAACGGGAGCCACGTCAGGGCTGGCAGCGGTAGCGGTAGTGACAGCAACAGTGGCAGAAGTTGTATGGAGAGCCTCTAGCTGGCTGAAAAACATGCAACTCTTACCATCTTGATGCCCAGCTCTCCCTTCTTTTGTTCGCTTGTAGTACTTGTGAAAGTTCTCGAATTTTTCCTCCCACTTTTTGGCACTCCTTTTGTAACCCAACTCCGCTAGCTTCCTGCGAGCGATGCCCGTAGTTTTTTCATATAATCAAAACACTAATAATTTGGCAATCATCTGAACTAGACCTTTTGCCAGGTTTTTTTCTGACTGTTAATTAATGCTAAGTGTCGAGAAAAGGAAAGGAGATGAAAGAATGAACGAAGTCTCGTAAACCTTCTAGTTATACTCTTCGTGCTTGAATGAAGATTGAACATGAGAAATATGGTAGGAAAATAATTTGATGCCTCCACTCTCACACAGTTACCCAACTGACCTCATCCTTCCTTCCATATAATAATAATGAATGATAACCGATTTGGTGTCTAAGTAAGCATTATTGACGTGAAAAGGAGGGAAAGACCAAAAACACAAATGAACAGAAAGAGCTGACGGGGAGAGAATGGAGAGTGGGCGAGCCCTCCCTTCCATGGCGTCTAAGAAATTTAATAATTAAGTAGTAAAAACAATTCCTCTCGGGATTTTCAAATTTCCGAATTTCCACTTGAAATTGACAAAATAAGATAGCCAAGCCAAGCGCAAGCCAGAGCAGTTGCCTGGATTAATGCTTTTAAATTACTTAAAAGTAAATAAAGGAGAATATTATATATATATAGATAGATATATATATATAAAGATAAAAGATAGGATTGGCTAGAGTTCATGTTTCTTAATTGTAAGAAAGAAGGTGGTAAAAAAAGGAAGAAGAAGAAGAAGAAGAAGATGCCCCAGATCGTGAGTCGTGATGGAAACAGATAGAAGCCATGTGCGTTTGTGTTCAAAATGAGAGAGAAAAAGGGAGAGCGGGAGACGTTGAGAAAAAGCCCATCCCATCAGTATTTCACTGCTACAACTAAGCTCTTTGATAGCAATGCATTATATTAATGATTAAATTTTTACCAGTTGTTGAATTTACTTTATTTTTGGCAAACAACATTTAGAAAAGGAAAAAAAAAAAAAACTGATTTTAGGTTACGGCCGTGTGGAGTGGGGGCGAAGTACTTTACCTGGAAACGTCTTCCCAAAGAGGGCCCTTGACGGTGGCATCATGAAAAGTAGCATCCATATCTGACCTAATCTTGAGAAGGGCAAGAGTCTCTTGACGGGGCCACCTATTACCACCTGAAACTCCAGCTGCTCCTCCGCCACCAGGTTGATCCCCTTCATCTCCTTCCTCATCTCCACCACCAATTGCTAACCTCATGAGCTCATCCAAATTACCAGTGGCAGGTGGTCTACTACTTATAGGCGATGCCGCTTCCACTAACTGCTCCGACTGGTCGCTTACCATGTGGCTACCGCTCACTGCAACCGTTGTTTGAGCACCCATCTCCCCATATTGAGATTGATGCCCTCCCCCTCCTCCTCCTTGCTGCATCTCTTTCAATTCTCTTGTTTTCCCTCAATGATGTCGATGAAGTTGCTGGTTGGCAAAAGTCGGAATAATCTTTTATCAGTGGTGCATGAAGATCTTTCTTCTTCTTCTTCTCATCAACGATAATATAATTCAGTTGAATCGTTTTCACATATTGCCCTCCTCCTCCCTCCCCCACACAGTTGCGATGCGAGAGGGCCGGGGGAGCTGCTGGTTTATGGCGGTGATGAGGATGTTGAAAAACAAAGAAAGAAATGGGCTTAATCGAAACGATAAGAGAAACAAAACAGTAAGCAGAAAAAGCTCGGTGAAAAGATGAGGTGATGTTAAATACGATTAATTTTTCTTCAAAATAAAAAAAAAAAGGACTCAGAGAAAGAGAGAAGACAACCGGAAAGATTGGTCGGCAGAAAGAGTAATCCTACGAGTTAGTGCTGCGATTTAGACTTCTATTTTCCCTTCTTTATAAGTAAAATTTTTTTGTTTGTTTTGATGGGAAAATTAAACTAGTTATAGAAAAAGAAAAAGAAGGAAGGAGGGTTGCAGTAAAGAAGAAAGAGAAAAGGGGCAGAAAGGCTTAATCAAAATCATCATCAACTGCACTGCTACTGCACTCTGAAAAATTTTGGACAGAATAAAAAAGAAAGTTAATAATGGAAAGAGAGGGAGGCAGATAAAAATGAATGGAGATGACGATTATGATGATGACGATGATTAAGAGAGAGAAGGAGAAAGAAGAGGCAAACCAAAGTAGATGTTGTGTTGTTAGCGGCTCTAACTTTGCAGCTAATAAGGAACAACCTATATCATAGTTTTTTTAAGTAAATTTATGGATTTTTTTATTAAAAACAACTTAATAAAAAATTTATATTTATATATGAACGGTGTTTAATAAAAAATAAATATTATTAAAAATATAATTTATAATTAAATTATATATATATTTTTAATGATAAATTTTTTTTAAAATTTTTACTAAAAATATTTATTTAAATAATATATTAAAATTTTTTTTAGTTTTAATTTTGATTCAATAAATTTTAATAGAGGATTTCAACTAATAAATCTCGTATAAGACTATTCCATAACATTTACTTGTTAAAACCACTTTTCAAAACATTTATTCCATTAAATTAAAAATAAAATTTTCAAATATGTTTTATATTTATTCACACGTCTACTATCTCTATATAATTCAAATAATTTTATTTTTAAAAATAAAAAGAAATCCGGAATAAAAATTCCTCGTTTATTCCTACGTGGCCATTACTAGTTGGGTTATTGGCCTCTCACCAACAGAGAACCTGGGATTTGCATCTTTTTTTATTTTTTTAATAATTTACCAACAGTTAGATGCATGCTTCATAAATGACTCGAGCAAAGCAATAGACATCTTCTACCTTTGGTAATGCATGCAGGTACGCTTCTAAATTTGTGCTGTTCAGGAACTCAATTCCAATGGCAATGGGAAAGAATTTTAATTGCATACTTTTTCTTTCTTCTACTCCTCTCAAGGATCCTTTGTTCCTTCCCCTGTCTTAATTAAACCAAATTAATCACCAATCAACAGGCATGGTCAGTGCGCCCGCCCTTGTCGATATGAGAGAACTTTACTTGAACGACCGATAAATGATTAATTTAATCAGTTAAAATTTTTTTTTGATAAAAAAATTTTAAATTTAAATGTTACTATAATTATTTATAAAAATTATTCTAATATACTATTTATAATTATTCATTTTCAATTATTAAATATAATATATATTTTTTAACATAAAAAACGAAATAACCTATTTATTTCGAAACTTTCTTACCAAAAAAAAAAAGAACAGAACTTTACTTGAACAGCCTTTGTCGGGAAAACCCCTTCTTACATAGTCCAATCATAACATTTTTACGAAAAAATTAATTGTATTGAGAAATGATAATAAGGCAAGAGTGAAATGGATTCAAATGTATTGAAGGAATTCAAAATTTATTTTAAAAAAATAATATTAAAAGATAATTTAAATTTTAAATTCTATAATTTTTTTTCAAATTACGATATACGATATTTCCTAGCGTATGTAGCATCGGTAAGTTATTTTTATACAATTAAGAATAGTAATCAAGCTTACGTATAATAATAAAGGAAGGGACAGGAACAGATCCGTACAGCTGTAACTGGGCCCAAAATATGAGGTGGTGGTAAGAACGTGCGTGGCGTTTCTCCCTGATTTGTGAAACCAACCCCCCCCCCCCTCCCCAACTGCCATGCCAGGCATCTTTTTCAATTATACCCAAATCGGTGCACATGCCTTATCCCTCTCCCCTCTCTTTGCTTCCGCATTTTCAAATCCTCATTTCTATTTACTCTTTCTATTTTTAAACCTCTGCTTCTCGTGATTATTTCCGGGCTTATAGTGGCCACCGGCCAGCCAGTGAGTTTTAAACTTTAATCAAAGTGGTTATTGATTCCACTACATCCGAATCAGTTGGTGCTCATTATTTTTTTGTGGTTATAGCCCAACACAATGTCAAATCAAGAATTAATAGCTTTTGCAATCTTGGAATTTTGATTCTCAATTTTTAAAAAATTTTAATTAAATATTTAGCTGAATCCGACACATGTTTGATATTTATAGTCAAATTAAATAGTTTCACACATAAATGACTAAAATAATATATATATTTTTGTGATCAGAGATCTAATTAAAAATTTTTTACAAATTAAAAACTAATAAAAACTTGAGCCAAAATTGGAAGACTAGCGTGTTATTAACTCTAAAGTCTGAAGTCAAATCAGTTCAAAATGTAGGTATAAATAAATGTTTTTCTGGTACGTTCCCGCCGGCGACAAAAAAAAAAAAAGCAAAAGCAAGCATCCCCAAGCATACCATGTCAATGAAGCTAGGGTTGAAAAGACTGTAGGTAAAAAGAAAATTTCACTGAAAAATTTGTGTTGAAAAAGAAATAATAGTAGTGGGGATTTGCTTTAAGAAAACAACAATTGAAATGCCATGGCCAAATAAATATCCGAAAAACCCAGGGCACATGGAATACTTTAAAATCAAAAGGAAGTTTGAATAGCGTCTTTTCAACGTCTCAAACGCAATTCTAAACCACGAAAAAAAAGGAGCAAACTGCTTTTTGTGTTCTGAGTTGTATTTGCATTCCATTTAACTCAAATTAATGAACTCAACCAAAATCCAAAAACAAAAATAAAATGCACAGTGAATTGCGATAGTGGTCCAAACTCCAAATCAACTTTTGGTGTTCATAACTTCATATAACAACGTCGAAAAAACTCTTAATCAAAGCTGATTTTTCCGTGGTGAAGATCTTGCTCTAGAGCTGAAATTTGAAAGCAATTTGAGCCCAGAGAAGAACAAATTTCCAGTAAAACTGTAAATACTTCGGCTTTATGTTAATAAATAGAAATCCCACTTGAGTATGCATTTTTGTATTTTTCATCCAATTGGTATTAAAAATATATTAATAATATTATAAAACAAAGGGAAAAGGGTTATTTATTCCCATGGTCGGTATTTTTTCTGCCCCAACATGCTAATACATAACTCGTCGAAAGTATAGGAAGCGATTTGCTTCTTTGTTGCTACATTCTTGTCAAATTGGAACCAAGGTATGAATAAAACAGAAGGCAAAAATGAGATTTCAGCTGAAAAACCTCTTCCTCAAATCAATTATTAAAAAAAAAAATTACAGTGATTAAAAATCGGGTTTAAGCACATAAAGCAAAAGAAGACACTTGTCTTTAGCAGTTCACATCATATACGTATTTGGCAAAAGCTACAGGCGTGGATTTATGGTCAAATCCAAATTGACTTACATTTGACAATATCAAAGAATTTGCCTCGACGATTAGGAAATCAAGGCATCAAGCCAACATTTCCATGCTGCAATGGCGGCATTGAGCGGTCAAAGCAGGATGGCTATTATTTCGTTTGGATGATCGGATTGAAGGAGACTCACTCCATTTGGTCCCAATAAGATAAACAAACAAGTATTTTCTAGTAATAAGAAAACAAAAATCCTACCTGTTCCATCTACACAGTCACGATTGCAAAATGCATAAACGAGTATGCCATAAAATACATGTTCACATGCAGCATCAGCGCCCTTTACCACCACCCACCCCGCCTCCCCTCACAGAAAAAATGCAACAGCAACTATGTCACTGCTGAGTTCCATAACAAGAGAAGAAAGTTCAAAGGAATCCAAATAACTGGTGCACTTTTCATGCAACAGTATATAATATTGTAGGGATAGGAAAATCTTCCGAAATATAGAAGGGAGCAACTAACTGAAGTTTTAGATGTGTCCCATCTAATTAAATCAACCAAATTTGTAACGGGTTCAACTCTCAACTACTAAGTTACAGTTTCGTCCACATATTATTAGTGGCTTATGATTCATAAAATATCAGTCAGTCAGCTGGAGTGAAGTATCCCAGTTTGATACACTCGAAATTCTCATCAAGTTCTAAAATAATCATTACAAAAGCATGAGAAACTATGATGCAAGAAACAAATGTAACAAGGTACATCTAATATACTACGATTCTTAGCCTTACTAGCCAGTTACTGAGTTAACCTTACAATTTCGCAAATGTGCCTCTTATAAGTTTTACAGTGCCATCAAATGTCTTGATCAGATTGACTTCTTAAATCCTAGCTTCACCCTCTTCCCAAGCAGGTCCCATCAGTTCCCTCTCAACCACGACAGTGAACCATAGTTTCTAAACTACTTGAAGTAACTTCAAATGAGTTATAGCCTAGAACAGTTAGTCCGAGTAGCGGCATAGTATCTTCTAAAAGAGATAGAATAAGTCCTATAATGAATTTAATTCCTGATTTCCATTCCATAAAATCTAGAAACCCTCGCTTTTAAATTCCTAATGTTTAGCAGAAGTTCCATTGATACAGTAAGGTTGTTCACATAGGACATTTCTAAGCAATTCTGTTAAGCAGACCTTTAAATCATTTTTTTTTTTCTTTCTTTGATCTGAGACCTCTCGATCAAATTCATGGTCATCATTTTCACACATTAATATGCTATACTTGTTATAGTACCTTTGTTTATATATGCTAGCTTCGCTTTGGGACTAACAATTCAACCAATCATCACCAAAGGAACGCTAAAAGAAAACAATTCTTCCCAAACTTGAAGTTCAGCTATGTGGAGAAAAGCTGAAGACAAATTGGAAATTCTGAAATTACATGGAGTAATGAATAAACAAAATTAAGCTCCACTTACATAAAATTATCATTTTTCCCGGCTCTAACATCTAAAAGCAACTTTCCCGATCATCAAATTTCAGTACATCAAGTACAATCAAAAGGGGAAAAAACTAATAAGTATTAAAGAAAAGAAGAAATGATGTCAGAATTATAAAATAACCCAGTATCAATTCCTATTTAAATTGCAAAAGAATGTAGAAAACTAAGCATGCAGGGACACCTACTTTGGGTTATCTATGATACCACTCTACCCAAATGAATGGCCAAAAGAAAGACATAAATCTTCAGCCATTGCAGCAGCATCTCCTCCATTTTAACAGTTAGTCAACATAAATCTTCACGGAAGCATATGTGTTTCTCTAATGAGAAAAGATAATGTTTTTGTTCTTTCTATTTCAAGCTAGGGAAAGTACTCCACAGAGATAATAACCAGGCAAGTTTATCTTCTAAATTGCAACCTCGCCATTAAAAAAAAAGGCCAGTTTATAGGCCTTTTCTATTTTTGTTGTTAATCCCATGAAGGACCAGCTACAATTCCAAAATACTAGCATGAGAGTTATAAGCTCAGTGAACTGAACTTACATTTAGCCAAGTCAAGCAACAGAGCAAGTCCATTTGGCCATCTGAGCTTTTAACTAAGGCAGTTGGACTAAGGATCCCAGCCTCCCAGGTGCAAGCCAACATGTTGCAGACACAATAGATTCATTTTACTGTTGGACATTTGAGGGAAAATAAGTGGTAAATTTAGACAGGTCTGTATCTGCTTTCCTCCATAAAACAAAATCAAATAGGATAGGTGTTTTTAACAAAACAGCAATAACAACAAACAAGATATACAGAAAAAAGAAGAAAACAAGCAGTAAAAAGGAGAATATTTTGACTAACGCCCCAAATTTCATAAAAACTTTTTTTATCAGAATGCCAGATCAGAGCATATCACACACCACAGGAAGGATAGAACTGCAGCGAAGAAAAGGAATCAAAGGTATTCCAAGAATGATGATCTAAGCACAGAGAAAATGCCCGTTTATTGATATATATATATATATATTTTGGCCAAGTTCATTGGTTTATATTTCATGGCATAACACTATGGACCTCATTTCAAACATTTATAACTGATTACAGAGGACACAATATATCTCATTGGTTTATAACAATCATTGATCAAGAGAAAGAAAACCAAAAGAACATTATAGAATTACCTAAATATCTGGCTCTTAAAGTTCTGAAAAATCACACAGCTAGTAGGTTAATGCCTAAAAGTCTAGAAGGAACTAATAGATCAAGCGAAAGTTCCTTAGGGGTAAAGTTAGCAGCGTTAGAAGAAAAGGCAAAGAAATGGATCTAAAGAAATAATAGATGTCCTACTAGCATAGTTAAGATGCTGGATGAAGCATGTTTTCTTTCCATCACACGGTCAAAGACAGGATATACATCAGAGAAGACAAAATAACAACAATTTAATCTAATGATTGCAAACATATTCTCTCAAGTCACTACAGCTATTCTAGACTGAACAGAAGCTTGTCTGGCATGAGGTTTTCTTACTAAGCATGCTTTTAAAGAAATGACTTGTATTGTAAACCAGGACAAATTGGGACAATGCATCCACAGGGCTTTCAAAAAAAGACGCAGAGACTGATTTCTAGAGTTGCTCAAAGTTGTAATCACTTTAGATGACCTCTGTTAATAATAATGATCCATTGAAGCAAAAAAAGAAAATGAAAAATGTGCAACCACCTGGCTAAGGATTATGCTACTATGATATAAAATGTAACTCAAGTCTATAAAGCATTAATTCGGTTTCATGGAATCAATCATGATCAAACTAAAAGGCTCATCTTGAATTATGATGAGTACATATAATGCCCTGAATCCTGATCAGCTCGCTCGCATACTCCCCTCTTCTTTTTCAAAACGCATTTTGTCCTCTCCTTAACCTCCTCTTAAGATACGTCGTCCTTTTATGATAAAGAAGAAAATAACATAATATCATTGATAGAATCCAGGCTTTTACAATCCAAATAGTTATGGGGCAGGCCTGATATACAAAAAAGCTCTGGAGAAAGAAGGAGAAGAAAATAAAAGGGAACTATATGGTCAAGTTAAAGCAATAAACAAATGAAAATGGAAAAGGACTTGGTTTGGAGGGGTGACTAAAATCTCATAAGTTATACTTAAGTTCAATACAGCTTTTGTTAAAAAGGTAAACTTGTATTAATTAAACAGACTTGAGTAGCTAACCACAAACAGACAATCCCTGTTGCGTTGTCTAGCTTGAGATCCATAAGTGTTCAAATTTAAAATGGATGAGGACATAAAAACTAGATTACTAATGCATTTTGTTCAATTTTGTTCAATCTGTTTTGATATAAGATTCTTCTCCTTTACTGACATATTACTTTCCCTCCTCTGAATTAGTCATTGCGCAATCGTAAAATTGTTTGCATGGCCAATCACCTAGATGGTAAGATTAGGTTTATTCCAGACCAAACATCTCCTTTCAATTGGAGCAAGCTCAAGAAGAACTATGAAAATTAATGAAAGCATGCGCAATGCCTAGAATCTGGAGGGGCACCAAAAATAAATTTAACAAAATCAATATTTAATATCGACAAGTAAGTACCAATGTCACTGCATCAGCAAGTTCAAAATGTTAGCTATCAGTATATGATGAATACCTTCTGAACAAAAATGAAGGCAACGAATTGAATGACTGAGCTGAAGTTGCAAACCAATCTTCAACTCTATCAACTGTGTACAACAAAGCACTCCAATATCTGATATAAGGAAGTAAGCTAATGAGAAAAATGTTCAATGTCAATCTCAAGGCAAACCCCAAAAACTTACATGCAGCTAAAAAGCATAAGGAACAAATAGGTTTGAGGTCCATCTTGAAGCCTGTATGTATACTCAACAGCATCCCTCCATCATTCACAGAGAATCAGTAAAAGAACTGCGAGCTTCCTTCCCACACTGCCCAACTGTTAATCTAAGGAGTTCATCACCAGTATTGTTTATCTTGCAACATAACCGACGCGGCACCTGCCATAATACATACAAATTATCATGAAAACGAAAAGGCCAGAAACCACCTAAAGAGGAAAAAAACTTAGGAAACAATTATGAGAACATGACGCACCAGATGCCAATTCTTTCCAAGAGGATACCCTAAAACCTGGATGTTCTGCACATATTGCAATGGAGGGGAACGTGGAAAGCAGAAAACCTTTCTTTTCAGGTCATCTTTGGCTTTGGCCCGAGCATATGAACCCAATGTAGCATTACCATCTTTCATTACATCTTTTAGGAAAAATAGAACTGGCTTTTTGCAAACAGATTTGTAAGAACCCCTGGTGTCATGATCAAATTCGTGGGGGTGTCGTAATTTATTCCAGGCAATGTAGGTATGCTCTGAACGTTCTAGCTCACGAGGTGGCACAATATTTGGGAACACTTGAACAACATAACCGAGTGAAACTAAAAAAGTGAGGCGCCTAACACGATCATAACAGATTGATCGTTGTAGAAAGCTCCTGGGTTCAATTCTCATAGCTTTTATAAACAGTTTTAAACTGTCTAACGAACTTAATCCAGGAAAAAATGGATCCACATATTCAACATGGTGGATTGAAACGAATGGTGCAATTGGATGAGAAGATAAAAGACCGTGGGCATTTCCTCTAATATCCCACTATCAAAACAAATATAATAATTAGTTAATCATATTTAACTATATTAATTAGCAGAATTTTAATAGTTTATTTTATGATTACCTGATGAAAACCATTCTCTCTGGTGAGTGGAACACCGAGTTCCGTAATGCAGGCGTGTAGACGATCATCGCTTCCATAAAGCTTCGGATACCTCTCGATGCAATCGTCGTGGAATTTAGAGAGAGCCTCCGCCAGAGGATAACTAATGGCAATGCCGCCACCGCCAAACGCCATGGAGTGACTGAAATACGCGTTGGCGGAGTGGCTTTCAGAGGGTGCCCCGATGTACATCATCTCGGAAGAATCATATTTGTTTAAGACTGCCACCAGATTGTCTACATTGAAAACCGTGTCGTCATCTCCTAAAACGAACCAGCGGACGTTTGGCAGACGGAGACGGAAGGATTCCGTTAAAATGCGAGAGATTCGGAGACCGGAAGGATGGCCCGTTGGGTTAGTGTAACGGAAACGTGAGATGTCTTCGGAGACCATGAGTGGTGGAAGCGAATCGTCGGCTTCTTCAGGTGGGACCTGCTCTTCTAACCAAACGTGACCGCGCATTTCCGACTGTCGCCACCAAAGCCTAACTAACTCTTTCCGTTGTTTCCATAGATGTGAAGATCCTGCTATTCCAAATAAGATGTCGTTCAGAAAAAGCTCTTTTTTCTCATTTCCACGCTCCGAGAGGCTACGGTTACGAGGAGAGGCTGGTGGCAAATCAAACCGAGGAGGGGGAGGAATTGATCGAAGATAGGGAGAAGAAGACCAGGGAAGAGAGCGGGAGAGGTAATGGGGACCACCTTCCCAGTCCTTGAAACGACGCCAGCAACGAGTGGTGGTGCCGGAGAAAACAAGAGAGAGCCAGGCGCTGGTGGAGATAAGCAACGCGGCAACCGCAACCACTGCGGTTCCCATACGGCTCTGACGCCAACGACGACATCGGCTTCGAGGGAGGCGTGGAGATGGCTCATTGGATATGGAGAGATTATTATGGCAAGGCAGCATCATGACATTGAGCAGCCTCATCCTCAACGCTCATTTCCGCCACCGCCTAATCAAAACGGTAACTGAAAAAATAAAAATCAAAGTAAAACGGCAGGGAAAAACCAATGTGTTACGTACAAAATGGATAAAAAGATTTGAAGGGTCTTGAATTTGGTAAAGAATTTGCAGTTAGAAGGACATAATTGGATTTAATTAAAATCAAGAGCAATTAGGGGTTTTCTTCTATCCCTTCCCCCACTTTTTTTTTTTTTGGTGTTTGGATATTTTTGTATTTGGGAAATTTGGACTCCGTTTGTGCGCTTTTTTCAAATTCTGAAACTGACCAAACGCAAAAGGAATCGGGAAAGATCGATAAATAGAGCCGTTGCGTTTTTGTAGCTTTATATATACTGGAAGCCCTACTTTCCGCTGTCTTCCCTGTGTTGGTTGATGTCCCCAGAAACCATTTTCCAACGTCATCCAATAATTCTTCTTTGGAATTGAAGAAGGCAAACTTTTGTTTGTAAAGAGCATTTGTTTTTATCTCACCTTGGGCAGTTTTTAATGCGTAATTACTGCTAATTGCCAAAGTAGTTGTCTGTACCCAAGTGTTTTTTTTTTTTTCTCCAATACGAACGCAAACGGATTATGCTAAGCTTTGAAACAAGAAATCTGTGTATGCATTTTGTCTGCATGCTTATTTGCTACCCAAATTTCCATCCTGGAAAACAGTTCCCACGCAAATTCGAATTCAACGGGATAACTGTGAGCCATGGCCCCCGGGCCCCACGCCCAGGGTATGGTCTCAAAACAAAAGAAAGGCAGAAATTCCCCACGTGTCTCGCCGAAAGTGAGCACTTTTTGAAGAATATAAGGCCCGAAGCCCATTACTTTTCTTGGGAAGGCCCGCACGTGGAAGCCCCAGTCTAAAGTACGAAACTCCGACGCTGAGGATGGACTACAGTGTACAAAGACTTATCAAGAGAGAAGGCCCAAAAAGAAAATGAAAGTGAGCGATCATTAATATATAAAGCAACCGGCAACCGTCCACCAGCCCCACTGCTTTCCTTTCATTCTGAACACTGATATGGACATTTCCAAGGATCACGCTTCTCAAATTTTCAGTAAATGCATAAAAAATTGTCTGGCAGGAGCTTCTCGTGATTGGTATGCCACTCGCGATCATCATGATTTGCATTTAAAAAAAAAATAAAAAGGTAGAAAAATTTGGAAATGATCATCGTTCTTGGCAAAATGGATTAATCAAGTAGAACGAAAGGAAACTGATGAAAAATAAAGCTATAAGAGGTTACTATCTTTTATCCTAGTGATCTTTGAAAAATATTACACGTGAAAACGAAATGTAAATGTTTCTTTCGGTAATAATTAAAAAGAATAAATTTTAAATGAGGACTAATTGTATATTTCTATAATTATAATATATTACTAAAAAAATTTAAATACGTTTGATCATAAACAAAAGTTCTTAACGAATATTTGATTAACTACCTTCTCTCCATATTCACTCACACAGTCACATGGGACAAAATGATAATTTGAAGCCATAGAAGAGTCAATTTTGGATTAACATTTTTCCCTCCATAGCCCACTAACTTTTTTCAGTTTGCTAATTATAAGTCAAATTTTATTTTTTTAAAATATAATTTCTTCTTATATTTAAACTCACTCTCCCCTTTTTATTTTCTAAAATAAAAATTACTAGATATACTATTGATCGCTAAAAATTTCAATTTTACTGACGAAATTTTTAATTTTTATCTAAATAGAAGTGGATCTAGATATCAAATTTTGGGGATAATGACAAAGATGAATATCATTTTGAAATACTCATTGGATTGAGGATGAAGATATATAATATAATATACATCTTGTATTTGTATGTTATATATTTAATAAATATATAAAATATATATTTGTTACTTATCTTAAATTATTAAATTTTATATTTAAAAATATCAGAATTTGAATTATAATTATTAAAATTTAAAAATAAATATTTTATTAGTAGATTATATAATTGTTAATGCAATAATATTTTTAATTATAATTGTTTAAACTTGTTTTAATATATGTGTATAATTTGTAAATTATTATTTATTTCAATAAATATTAAATATTTTAATTTTTAAAGAATCACAAATACAAAAATTATCTTTACCTATTAAAATTTATTGGGAATAAGAATGAATATTAATTTTTATCCAAGTAGATTAGGATATAAAGATGAAAATATAAAAAAATAGGGATGGAAATGAAAGAATGTTTATATATATGTAAAATTGGGAAAGAGAAAGATACATGCGTGTATCTATTTTGGATTTTAAAGCTACTACTGCAAACCTACGTTGCAATCTGTAGTGTATTTTCTTTCGGGGGTTAGCCCTCGTGTCTTATTTTTTTAATTTGAAATTTTTTGATGTTTGATAATTATTTTAAATTTTAATTAATTTAAAATCAAATTAAATTAAATTTCATAAAAAAAAATTTTTTAATATTTTTTTTATTTATAAAATTTAAAATTTTAAAAATAAGACACGAGGGCTTTCACACGTCCCCTTTGCTAGTGTTATATACTTATAAATTTAAATAAATAGAGTAATAATAATAATAAAAAAAGGGGTCCCTGCAGTGTTGTCTCTTTTGGTGTTATGGAATAATGGGGGAAGGCAATCTGCGCCTAGCGATTTGGTTGGTAAAGGGTGGCGTTCAGTGGTATTAGGAAGTCGCTTTTAAGTGTATGGTGACCATCCAACTACATTGGGAAATTGTGGTTGGGGACATAATCAGTCCTTTAAGCCTATTATTTTTCATTGGTCTTTCTGCCCCAAACTCTGAAAAACATACTTTTAAGCCTATTATTTTTCTTTGGTCATGCTTCCAACTTTTGATTTTAACCAAATTATTATTTAAAATTTTTTTTTTTTACTGTCTCAGTCTTACCCATTTTTTGTCAACTTTAAAGAGGATAAATAAGAAGGAAAGAAGATATCAGTGAAAAGGATAAGAGTGGGATTTAAGAAAGATACTCCAAGTGGAGTAGAGAAAGAGAGAGGGGAAAGTATTAGTAAAGGAAATTGAAAGTAGAGTTAAAAATGGGATGATGCCTATGGTAGCCAGATGCCGAGATCCGCCTAAAATGCTGCCCAAATTGCTGTCCACATGCCATGTCGGTTTGATCGATGCCTAATCCAGCCCCGAATGCAGCAAATCAATGCTCAGCAAGCAAGCATTATATTTATGTCAAATCCACAAATAGGTGAGATTTTCAGCATTGACTTTTTTTTTTTATGTATACTTTATAGAGAAGGAACTTTTTTTTTTAATGAAGCATTTTACTTATATTATTATTATAATTTAAAATTTTATATGTAATTTATACATATAAATAATGAAGAAACTATACATAAAAATAATTAATCTTTCCATAATTATTTGTTATTATTGAACAATAACAAGATTATAAAATGAAATACTCCTTCTTTATTATAACATTGGCCACGTCAACAATTAATCGTCATTTTTTTTTATAATTTAGCAATTAACTTTAACAAAATTTAATTAAAAACATAAAAATTGTACTACTAAAATGAATTGAACATGATGAACAAAATCTTGTTATTATATGATAAATTGAAAATTTTTGTTGTCTCATTAATTTATATCATAACTTTATATGAGAATGATGACTTGATAATAACAAAATACAAAGTTATTAATAATTAATTTAATTGATTAATATAATTATTTTTTAAAAAATAATTTTAAAATTTAATATATATAATTATTTTTATTTTTAAATTTATTATTTATAAAATAATAAAAAAATTATTTAATACACTATATTTAATAAGTTATAAAAAAATAACTACCAAACATTGGATAGTAATGAAGTTTTTGGTAGAAATGAAGTAGTTATGGTCATTTCCCCGTGCAGCCACGATCATGATTATAAAGCATGACATCATAAATAACGCGTATACAATGATATTAAAATTGCAAAATATTGAAGTATAAAACGGCATGAGTTGCACATTATAAAAAAAGGCATGGGTTGTTAGATTGATTAAGACTTTATGTGAAATTGACAATGTTAACAGCTTACTTTTTAATACTTAATACTTAATCTACTATTATCATTTTTGAATTAATATGCAACTTTTCATTTAAAATATAAAGTAGAATTAAAGAAAAAAAAAAAGATACACATGAAAAACAAGGTTTTTTTTTATTATTATTATTAAGATCTCATTTCACTGTCATTTGGATCCTTTCATTGTTTTTTGAAAATGATATATTAAAAGTGCTTATTTATCAATTTTCTTAAAGATTTATTTAATATTTTTTAAAAATTTCAAAATAAAAAATAAAGCAAAAAAAATCTTTAAAAAATACAAAAACAATAAAAAAATTCACCAAAATAAATTTGGCTTCAAATATATAGTAATAAATTTTTTTATAATCAATTTCGTAAACAAGGGAATCGTCCTTAGTCTTTGGTGTTGGTGCTGGCATGCCACTATCTTACTTTTTTTTTTTTTTCAATAAAAATTTTAAATTTTGTTAGATGAAACAAATAAAGTAAATAAAAAATAAAAAGAAATTCTCAACTTTCAAATTTTTGTAGTACTAGTATATTTAAAAAATAACCAGACTATATTTTGAATAGCCGATCGGTCAAACTCAAATGGCTAATTGCTCAAAAAGAGAACCTCTTTGGCTTTCCTTGGAGGTTTCCATCGTTTCTCTGCCTCTTTCTCTCTCCACTTAGATCGGACTATTAGATCGAGCTTTGTAGGATTCTGCGCGTTCCCATGGCTACAGCTTTGACTACTGACAAATCTAAGGTTCGAAGGGAATGGATTTTAGGTGTTTCAAATTTTGTCTGCTGGTACAGGCGTTGTTGGTCCATCCCATCCATTCTCTTATTACTACCAATGCTCATTTTATCTTCTCTATTCACTTTCTGCGTCGCTTCCCAACCCATACCTTCTACTGTTTCCCACACTTCCAGTGATCCGCCGACACCTTCTTTAAAACCAACCCAATCGCACGTTAACCCTCAAATTGCTATTCTCATCACTGTTTCTATTGTCTTGCTTCTTGCCTTGTTGTTTGCCATGGGGTTCTTGTTCAGATTCCTCGGATGCGGTAAATCCTCGGCAACCGCTCAACCTGATCAAAACAAGGGAAAAGATTCTGGCGTCGAAGGTGAAGGGTTTGCCAGGAAATTCGGATGGGAGGAGATTAAAGTCGTGACTAAGGATTTTTCCCGTGTAATTGGTCAGGGAGGGTTTAGCAATGTCTACTTGGCTAACTTGTCTGGTTCCAGTCAAGGAGCAGTTAAGATCCATGTTGGTAGTGATCGACTAAACCAAGTGTTCAAACAGGAACTGGATATTTTGCTCCGACTCCGTCACGACAACATCGTTAAGCTTCTTGGTTACTGCGATGATCTAGGTGCGTTGCGTGAGGCTTTTGCTTTACTCTTCAAAAAAAGAAAAAGAGCAGTCTTTTTTATTACTTTAGAAATGAAAAGTTATTAATTGAAAATTTTTTTTTTTAAATTTTGTGTCCAGAGGAAGGGGCCATGGTGTTTGAGTACGTTCCTAATGGAAACCTACAAGAGAAGCTACACGAAAGGGGAAGGGAAGTACTTCCATGGAAAACCCGCACGGCCATAGCTTTCCAACTCGCCCAAGCAATCGAATACCTACATGAAAAATGCACCCTCCAAATAGTTCATGGGGACATCAAAGCTTCTAATATCTTGCTAGACGAGCATTTTAATTGCAAGCTCTGCGATTTCGGGTCAGCAAAGATGGGTTTTTCTTCCGCGGTGATGCCGCCGTCGTGTTCCAGGACGAAGCAAGTAATGATAGGCTCACCAGGTTACACTGACCCTCATTACTTGAGAACTGGGTTCGCCTCCAAGAAGAACGATGTTTACAGCTTGGGTGTTGTTATTTTGGAACTTGTTACTGGAATGGAGGCCTTTTGCCCAGAAAAGGGACAGCTATTAACATCAATAGTGGCACCCAGCTTAAGAGACATTGCTGAGTGTGGGGCGGAGGAGAAAGTGGCAGAATTGGTGGATCCACGCCTGGCTGGAGAGTTTGACTTGGAAGAAGCCAAGGCTATGCTTTCAATTGCTGCTCTTTGTCTTCACCAGTCTCCCACTGTTAGGCCTTCTGCTTCTCAAATCATGCAAACAATTAAGGAGAAAATTCCTTCCATCGACTTCCTATTCTCACCAGGCAAAGATTGCCACTAGTAACTAATTGATGGAAAGAACCGTGCTGATTGGGCTTATTGCTTTGAAAACTGAAATTGTTAATACGTAGTTGCATTTTTTTTTCCGTTTCTTTTCTTGTAAGTAGATTTGCAAAGTCCAAAAATCAGGGCGTGTCCTGGACTGTGTGCCCTTAGATTATAGAAAGAAAAGATTCGTGTGGAAATTCAGCACATGTAAATTAAATCATCAAATCTTTAGGACAACGATTTTACTGTAAAGTGGAAAGTAAAAACACATTGGACAGGTGCATTGGATTTTGAATGTTTTGCTTATTATACTTTGATTCTGGCCGTCTTGAAATTCTGGCTTTCAGTTGCAGCAATTCGATGGACAGTCGATTGGGACGTAACGTAAACGCGTGCCTTTGTATTTTTTTTTTTAATTATATTATTTGATGAGAAGCATGCTTGCTTGAAATCGAAACATTTGAAGGATAGAGCCCAGCCCAAATTTACAGCCCGAAGCAGAACCGAAGGGGGCCCAAAAATCTCAAAAAGTCAGAAAAATTGAGCAGGTTGATTCATAACGAAGAGAGCAGGGGAGTGGAAGCGAAACAGTCGAGATGCTGTCGTTATCTTTGGTACCGTTAGTAATTAAAATGCCCGCAATGGCTGCGGCCAAAGGCGCCTCAAATCCAAACGACCATCCAAAATTCCCATCCTTAAATCATCAAACTCCGAAAGCAAAGATTTGGTTGGCTTTTGTTTGAGAAACCAAAATCCTATTCCAAAGAAGGCTTTGCTGCCTATCCCAGCTAGCAGATTTTGCCCCAGTTACCTCCGCTGCCTATGGAATCCTTCTACTCTCTGGCGGTCTCTTTGCCTGTATTCTTCTCTGCATTCACATCTCTCTATTTGCTTTCTTTCATTTATCAGCAATTGAATATTTACCAACTATATTAGCATAATTTGCAATTTGAAATTTGCTTCTAGTTAGTCAGGGAGTCAGGGATCACTCTTTGGAGGCCTCAGCGGAGCTGCTCTCAAGACATCTGTGTGTTTGATATATCAACTTCTTCTGCATTCTGTTTGGACCTTTTCTGTTTAATAAGGTTGCTTATTGAGTTGTGGTGTTCATTGAAAGATGGATCCCACCATTACGGTGCTCCATTGTAACTGCTTGAGTAATATGGATATACTTGGGTGTCTTAGTGTAAATATGTTAAAATCATATCAGGCTGAATTGTTCTTTGGTGTTACTGTCAAAACTGGGGCATCACTCAAACTATTTTTGATTGATTGTTGTTTGTTTTCTGTTTTTATGTATAAGTTGTTGCATTTCTCTACTTGCTGTCTGTAATTGTTTTTATAGGTGTGCTGTTATTGACATGCATCCTTATACTATGATATAGCAGGTCTCTCCTGCCTCTTGGATAAATAAAAGATTTTTATCTTATCCAAAAAAAATATTCTTTGATGTTGCTGTAGGAGCTTTTCAGATCTATTATAATTTCCAATGTTGGATGCTATGCTGCTACGAAAATCCTGTTGAAACCCGCAAGATACCATTGGGTTTTTGTCTCATCAATGTTTCATATTCATAGAACAAATCTGACTTTGATTTTTTGAGTTTGTTTCTTTTTCTGGAATGTGTTGACTAAAAGTCGGGTTTCATTTTACACGTGAACTTTGCTTGTCTTGGACCTCCCCTCAGCTACTTGTATATTTAGACCAGTCTTTCTCTTCATATTTCAACTGAATCTTCTTTTGTCATTCCTTAAAATAAGGTTACTTGGAGGCATGTTCTTTTGTCACTGGACACTTCTTTAGCTTGCATTTACATTCTTCAGAAATCATTTTTGATTACATATGCCTATTTTCATTGTTCTCAAGTACTTAGTGCACTACAAGTTGAGTCTTTAATGAACATTACTTGTCAACTTCTTGGATTCTGTGTATATTTTTAGTTTAATATCCAGTTAACATGTGCTTTTATTCACTTTGGATCACATAAATCAATATTATAATTGAAAGTCAGAGTGCTGTTACTTGATGCCATAATGTTGCTCAATAGTTCACTTTTGCAATTGTAGACACATCTCTCTAATTAACATTAATGTGAATGATATTTGCAACCTGTAACTGTAATATTGTCTACATAGGCATTCAGTTAGTCATCTTCTGAGTTTGGAAAATTATACCATTCAAGTAACTAAAAGTTGTATGGTTATGTGAATTGAATGCTATTCATTTACACACTCCATGGGTAGATAGTATAATTAGTTAACTTTTGACCTGGGGAAAATGAAGGAGTTTGGATATGGTTCTTCCTCTTTCTGCGGGATACTTAATTCTCCTCCATCTCATCCTTCATATTTCCTTCTTTTCTTATTATCTCTTTAATTTTTGACTCCTACATCATTCAAAGCATTGTTGTTTCCAAATTTTGACTTGCATCTTCACATTGATTTCCTATTGGAACAACCTAAGTCGTTCTTGAGAAGAGTGAGGTTCACATCTCACTCCACTTCATCAAGATTGAACCAACAATCTTGGTTAAACATCTTATTCCGTCTATGAAGTATCTTGCTATTAGGTATAATATAATAGCCTCTTAAAGTGTAACCATTTTATAAATCATCCCAATGCTTACATTCTTCTTTATTTTTTTCCTTTAATCACATTACAGCTGCTATTAATTTTGTCATCCTCCTAGGAACCATGAAGCATGTGAAAAAGTTTGTGTAACTTAATACAATTATCATTGTCTGTTATGTCAGTTTAAATGAATGATTTAATTTTGTGCTCCATAAGGATTTCGCAAAAATGATATTTGCATGATGTAGATGTAATTTTATCATAACTAATGTAATTTGATTTCTTAGTGCTATCTACTCGGTTTTCTTCACTTTAATTTGCTTGATTTTTGTAGGGTGCTCATGGTTATTGCTATACAGATCATTTAAATTTTAGTTTGCCTGTGACCTGGTATCTTCTTAAAACAGAAGTTATTCTACCATAAAATGCAATATGTAATATTTGATTGTCCAGTTCAGGCTTATTTTCTTATGCAAGCATCAGAGACTAAAGAATTTGGTGATGCCCTTGGTTTTGGGTCTGCCTTCCTTTTCTCCTCTGTGTTTGGTATGTTTATTTTTTGAAATTTTTGGTATTTTTACCTTTTACCATATTTGGTGATGACTATGCTGCATGCACACAATATTTTAGATGCATTTCATGTCAGTTCAGTAAAAATCAATATATGGAATTTGAGGTCTAATCCTTATCTCCCCGTCTCTCTCCCTATCTGGTTACTGTTTTAGGGATACGATTGGCAGCTACTCGAACTGATTCCTGCAGGTCCTTTATTAGGTCTTTCTATCTGTGCATTGGTTGTGTTTACCTCAGCGTATTTGCAAGATAGTCTTTGATCCTTGTCTTTTATATTTGGCACAACACTGCTAGAAAGTAATTACCTCTTGTTAATGCGACAAAATTATGTTACTTTAATATGATATTTGTATTCCTTTTGGAATTAGCAGCTGAAGTACTTCAATAACTTGTCTCTGTCTCACTTGCATTCTCAATGCAAGTTTCTGCATTCAGTGTTTACCATCATTGATGGTTTAATGTGCTATTTTGCATCTCTCAACGGAAAAAAAAAAACTATTCGACAAATTTTATATACGTGTCTTGTGCATAATGATACGGCTCCTGTTGATTGAAATTTAGCACAGTTTTTTAGGTAGAAGTAGTAGCATTTTGAAAAGCAACATCAATTGATTTTCCTTTTTGGTTTTCTTTTTTTCTTTTCACACTTTTTTCTAGGGGTGGGTTGGTTTATTTAATGTTGGCAAGGCATAAAGATTGAGTGAAATGCTTTGTTGGAAGTCCACATGCCTTTCTGCTGATTGAAAATGCAAAACCCATTTGAAGTTAAATAGAAATTAGTCTTCCACTCTAATCTTTGTTTGATATTGTTCTAACAAAATTGTTTTTGCCTGTGATACGTTCACGTAATAGGGATATGTGTTTATGAGATTAACCACAAGGTGTGGAAGTTTATCATTTATCCAACAGAAAAAGGGAAAAAATAGTATTTTGATAAGCTGATCAGAGAGGTTAAATCATAAAAGTAAATTATAGGAGTTTGTATTTTCTGAGAAAATACATGAATTATCAATAGAATTAAGAATGTGGTGGAAAAGGAATTTCTAAATTTGGTATTGAGACCATGAGGAACATATAAAGAATGTTCCCCAGAAACTTGTAAGAAACTGAGTTATAGTTAAAGAAATCTTTAAGTGTTTGGTGGGGGAGGCTGCCGTCTGGCTCGGTTTAGCATGGCCCCTCAGAAGGTTGCTGGTTATGAAGAGTTGGTAGCTTTGGTTTTTGCAGTGCAAAAGTTGGCGATTTGAGTTCTGTAGTTGGTTTTAGGAGATGAAGTTGTTTAATTTGGCATAGCTGATATCATAAGCTGAAATAAAATAACAAAAAAAAAAGGGTTTGTTGGGCTGGCTTATGGCCATGAGTGACATAATCAATTGTTTTGCTATAACCGCGTTTGATTCTTAAATTTTTTCGTTTAATACTATGATTTATGTTTTTACTTGTTTCTTACATATTCCTGGTCCCTGGAACATGTGCTAAATGTCATTATTTTTGACAAGTATTTTTTTAAAGGCAATACAATTAACGAACTTTTACGTATGGATGTACCACTGAAAATGCTCTGCTTGCTGCATTGTACATACATCATCCATAGACATTTTCTCCCTCGTCATCAAAAGCATATATCGGTGGCAGTAACATCCATGAAAATGCATTCGTGATTATTCATACAATGAAACTATCTGTATTCATGCATAGTATTTAGGGATGGGAATTCAACCCGACTCCGGCAGGTTCCGACCCGACCCGACCCTATGAGGTAGGGTTTTTTTTTTTTTTTTGAATTTCGGGTTTTCGGATCGGGTCGGGTAATGTTAGGAAATAATCGAGGTCGGGTTTTAGGTATACCCGACCCGATCCGACTCGATATTATTTAAAAAATTATTTTTAATTAATTTTTTAATTAATTATTTATATATGTATATTTATGTAATGATATTTTTAAATATTTATATTTAAAAAATAATATTTTTATTAATTGCGAGTCGGATCGAATCGAGTACGGATTATATAGTATCGGGTTCAGATCGGAATCGAATATGAAAAAATAAAAAAAAATTCGGGTCGGGTCGGGACGAGCAAAACCCGCCCCGACCCCGACCCGATGTCAACCCTAATAGTATTACATTACAGTACAGGAAAAGTCTCTTTATCTGTTT